GTAGCCCATCCCAGCCTTGTGCAGGTCTACAATTTTATCCCTGATGTCCTTACACAGCTCTCTGGTCTTGGCCATTGTGGAGAGGTTGAAGTCTGTTTGATTGAGTGTGTGGATAGGTGTCTTTTATACAGGTAACGAGTTCAAACAGGTGCAGTTAATACATGTAATGAGTGGAGAATAGGAGGGCTTCTTAAAGAAAAACTAACAGATCTGTGAGAGCCGGAATTCTTACTGGTTGGTAGGTGATCAAATACTTATGTCATGCAATAAAATGCAAATGAATTACTTAAAAATCATACAATGTGATTTTCTGGATTTTTGTTTTAGATTCCGTCTCTCACAGTTGAAGTGTACCTATGATAAAAATTACAGACATCTACATGCTTTGTAAGTAGGAAAACCTGCAAAATCGGCAGTGTATCAAATACTTGTTCTCCCCACTGTATCTGTATTTTACTTTGCTATTTATATTTTTTGACTAAGTAACTACTTTTACTTCACTACATTCCTAAAGAAAATAATATACTTTTTACTACATCAATCTTCCCCGACACCCAAAAGTACTTGTTACATTTTGAATGCTTAGAAGGACAGGAAAATGGTCCAATTCACGCACTTATCAAGAGAACATCCCAGGTCATCCCTACTGCCTCTGATCTGGCGGACTCACTAAACACACATGCTTCGTTTGTAAATGATGTCTGAGTGTTGGAGTGTACCCCTGGCTATCTGTAAATGATGTCTGAGTGTTGGAGTGTGCCCCTGGCTATCTGTAAATGATGTCTGAGTGTTGGAGTGTGCCCCTGGCTATCTGTAAATGATGTCTGAGTGTTGGAGTGTGCCCCTGGCTATCTGTAAATGATGTCTGAGTGTTGGAGTGTGCCCCTGGCTATCTGTAAATGATGTCTGAGTGTTGGAGTGTACTCCTGGCTATCTGTAAATGATGTCTGAGTGTTGGAGTGTGCCCCTGGCTATCTGTAAATGATGTCTGAGTGTTGGAGTGTGCCCCTGGCTATCTGTAAATGATGTCTGAGTGTTGGAGTGTGCCCCTGGCTGTGCCCCTGGCTATCCCACGTCTTCTTCTTTCTTTTTTAATGGTACCTTCTGGTTTGCTTAATATAAGGATTTTTTAATTATTTATACTTTTTGATACTTAAGTATATTTAATAACCAAATTCTTTTAGAATTTTACTCAAGTAGTATTCTACTGGTTGACTTTCACTTTTACTTGAGTCATTTTCTATTAAGTTATCTTAACTTTTACTCAAGTATGACAATTGGGTACTTTTTCTACCGCTGACAAAAAACACTCAGTGACACAATATGCAACAATGGCTGTTTATTATCCATCAGGGAAAGATCAAAATAATATAAAAATTTAAACACAGTCTCCTGAACGATCATATAACATTAATATCCATATGATCATAGCATGTACACCTAGCCTGTATAGACCTGTGCTATATTTATCCATGGCAACGTTATTAAACATTAACCTCACCTCAAGTCATTTACGTATCTATACCTATGTTATTATAGTACAGGATACATATTAAAACACATACAGAAGGTAGATCGGGATCAATGAGAAATGGCTTTCAAATGCTGTGAAGCAACATACATGACCCACCATCAACACGGTAATATGGAAGATTGCTGTCCGTCAAATGGACTGCAGTTCACCGTCTCCAAGGGTGCGCCTGAAACCACACCCTATTCCATACAGTGCACCACTTAAAGACGAGGTCAGCGTCTCAAATTGCATCATATTCCCTATGTAGTGCACCAGAAGTAGTTCACTACGGGGGGGAATAGGGTGCCATTTTGGACGTACACAGAGCATTAGACTTTGGTCTAAAGTAGTGCACTACATAGGGAATAGGGTGCCATTTCAGACAAGACTACAGAGCATTTGTAAATGGGTCAGCTTGGACACAGCTGTATTTAACATCAATAAACCAAACATACTGTTGTGTGCCTCGTGTACACAACATGGCACAACGGTCTGGTCCGACTCACGAATTCACCAAAACCACACCTATCGACTTAAAAACACACAGAAACGTTGTTTTTGTTCTGTTGCACGTACTATAATACACAGTAAAGAACCAAGGCTTCTGTCAACCTAACAGAGCGTGTTACTACTACAGATGGACACGGTAAACGTAAAGGATTATAGCCTGGTTAAACCAGACTGAATGCTGCGCTCACCACTGTCTCACTATCAACGGTGAAACGTAGTGACATCAGAACAGAGGCCAGGCTAAAGGGATTTTACAGGCTACTGGATTAGATACTGTATACTATGTTATTTTCCTGGTGCGATATTAATAATCTATCATCATCAGCAGCCTATATATCACTTTACAGACATGACCTATTCTGCTTTTACCGGCAAGGGTACATGCTGCTTTAGCGAGCCAATGTACAATAATATAAACTGACACTGCAAACATGGGCTCCACTGAGGTTTATCATTTTATAGTTACAAGTTGATCTGTAAATTCATATTTATATTGCTCCAGTATGTTTAAGTGGATACAGCGAGCACGGAGTCGAAATTCCAGTTTGAGCAACAACAAAAAAAAGTATTATTCAACGATAATATGAATAAAAACACGTTAGAAGCCTTTAGAAACCGCTAATAACAGTAACCATGGAGACACAAAGAACAGAGCTGCATTCTACCTCACATACATCATAGAACATATACAGGAAAATCCAGGTCTGTACAACGACAACAAAACATGTTTAGGATAAAAATACTTAAAAGAAAATCATATTGAACATCATCACACAATCAGACAAGAAGACATTTCACAGGTTTTTGAAATAACTGACATTCGGGTGTACACATCTTCACATTTGTTTCAAGTCTAGTATTGTATACACATTTTTTTGTAATATCCATCTTTTACATTTTAAAAGTGATCTTCTTGAGACTAAAACCTTTTCCACTGCAGTCAAATGTAGCTATGCAGTAGTTCCATCTCTAAATGAAAACATCAATAAAGGCTAGGCAGTTATTTTCTTCCCGTTTCAGTTCATAAAATGAGATGTTTGTATTAACAATATTCTATGTTTTCTATATATACCATATCACATCTATGCTCATGTACTAACGTTAACAGCCACATTTGATGTTCTCACTTGTAAAGGTTAAAATCCACAATTACCCAGCAGGCAAAACTGGTTGAAATAATGTAATGATGACATCATTACAACCAGCTTTGCCCCATGGGTAATGAAGTCTTTTATTTAGCATTTGCTTCACAGGGTTCCCTTAAGGATTAGTGAGAGGATTGACCAATGGGAATAAACGTTCATAACATCTAACATCTGTCCATCTACAAACAGCAAATACTGTATCTTCAATGGGGAATTAAGAATACGTTTTGGAAATGTTCCATTGGTTCCATAATTCCCTTCTGCCCCTTACAGACAGAACTATTTTGGTTCACCTAGTCGAAATTCTTAACTGGATTATAGTAGTCATTTACTTATCTGGAATGTTCCATCCTATGCAAACCTTAACACTGTGCTTAAATTGGTTATTATTAAACATCTGTTAATTATTTCACTTATAGTCAACAGAATAACATGTTCGCTCGAAATGCACTCCCCATAACCTGAAATAATTTAACTCCTCTCTAATATGGCTAATGTTAATGACGGGGAGATGACGCCAACAGAACATCTGGTATTTCAACTGTAGACAGACTAACCTGTAGCTATCTAGCAACTAGGTAAGATCTAAAAACATAGAAATACAATAAAGTCAATTTATGTAAAAAAAAAAAAGGTAAAACAAGGTAGAGGCTATCACGCCTTTTTCCTGAGAATCTAAGTAATACAAAACAAAAATTCAACATGGACAAAATTGTGACAATCCTTTTTAAATATGATTAAAATACGCATTTTTTTCGGCATGTTGTCATGACAACAATACAGCGCTGCAAAAAAAAATATTAACTGTTTCTCAAAAAACACGACAAAAGATCACAATCCTACTACACCGGGTCCCATGTGGCTCAGTTGGTAGAGAATGGCGCCTTGCAATGCCAGGGTTGTGGGTTCAAATTGCCACAAGGGGACCAGTACAAAAATGTATGCTCACTACTGTAAATTACTCTGGATAAGAGCGTCTGATAAAACGTAAGAGATGTACTAGTTCGTGCTAAGCGTCTTCCATAAAATAAACACCCTTACAATGAGATCACTCACTGAAACCAATATTTATTTATTTTTAACATGGCAATGGCTCTAGTAAGACTGTGTTGTATTCTTCCATTCAAAGCTAATGAGCATTAGCTCTGGATAAAAGCTTCTGCTAAATAACTAAAATGTAAATGTAATTGAAGGGCAGTGCAAGGGGTTGTAGTGTCTGTCCTGGCACACGGAAGCAGATCAATTCATCTTGTGTGTACTATTGTTATTACTATGTGTAATAACTATGTGCACCGGTTGGCGTGTTGGTCCACGTAAGGAGATAGGTGTTCCGAGTTCAGTCAAATTATTATTCCTACATTTAGGAAAACCTTTGAAGCAAAATCAAAACAGTATGACACATTTTCATTTATATCTTCTTTTTTTTTTATCTAAGAATCATCTGAATGGCACCGATCATCCCTTTTCATCTGTCCAGTCTGTCCCTCACCTAGCCTGGGTGACTACCTCACTTAGCCTGGGTGACTCCCTCACTTAGCCTGGGTGACTCCCTCACCTAACCTGGGTGACTGCCTCACTTAGCCTGGGTGACTCCCTCACCTAGCCTGGGTGACTCCCTCACCTAGCCTGGGTGACTCCCTCACCTAGCCTGGGTGATTCCCTCACCTAGCCTGGGTGTCTCCCTCACCTAGCCTGGGTGTCTCCCTCACCTAGCCTGGGTGACTCTGTTCCTGCTCTCATGCCAACTGACAATTCCATAAGGAGTTGACGAGAGAGCAGACTCACCCCCCCACCCCCCCCCACACTCCCCCCTGTCTCCCACCCTCACCTCCCCCCTGTCTCCTACCCTCACCTCCACCCTGCCCTACATGCCCGGGTCGTCGTAGTTGTAGGTGGGTGCCTGTGAGTACTGGGGCTGTTGTTGCTGCATGGCTCCCTGCGCCACCCCTACAGCGGCCTGCTGCGCTGCCTGCTGGACGTGAGGGTTCTTCCAGGCCCCGGTGGTCCACTCCTCCTGGGCTTTACTCATACTGCCCCCAGTGCCACGGTACATGTTGTGCACCTGGAGAGAGTCAGGGAGACGGTGTTAAGAGTGAGTTATGCTACTGCAGCTCATTCAGAGTCCTGTCTTTGCTCATGTTGTCCCTGGTGTTACGTTGTTCCACCTGAAGAGAGAGACAGATTGAGAGATGGTGTGAGAGAGAGATTTATAGAATACTGCTCCGGTACCACGGTACATGTTGTGCTTCCTGGAGAGAGTCAGGGAGCGATTGAGATGGTGTTAGAGAGATACAGTGCTGTGAAAAAGTATTTGCCCCCTTTCTAATTTTCTCTGCTTTTGCATATTTGTGATACTGAATGTTATCAGATCTTCAACCAAAACCTAATATTAGATAAAGGGAACATAAGTGAACAAATAACACAACAATTACATATTTATTTCATAAACAAAGTTACGCAACACCCAATGCCCCTGTGTGAAAAAGTAATTGCTCCCTTACACTCAATAACTGGTTGTGCCACCTTTAGCTGCAATGACTCCAACCAAATGCTTCCTGTAGTTGTTGATCAGTCTCTCACGTCGCTGTGGAGGAATTTTGGCCCACTCTTCCATGCAGAACTGCTTTAACTCAGTGACGTGTGGGTTTTCAAGCATGAACTGCTCGTTTCAAGTCCTGCCACAACATCTCATTTGGGATTAGGTCTGGACTTTGACTTGGCCATTCCAAAACTTCCAATTTGTTGCTTTTTAGCTATTTTCATGTAGACTTGATTGTGTGTTTTGGATCATTGTCTTGCTGCATGACCCAGCTGCGCTTCTGCTTCAGCTCACAGACGGATGGTCTGACATTCTCCTGTAGAATTCTCTGATACAGAGCAGAATTCATGGTTCCTTCTATTAAGGCAAGTCGTCCAGGTCCTGAGGCAGCAAAAGCATCCCCAAACCATCACACCACCACCACCATGCTTGACCTTTGGTATGATGTTCTTACTGTGGAATGCAGTGTTTGGTTTTCGCCAGTTATAATGGGACCCATCTCGTCCAAAAAGTTGACTCAAGTTTGCCAAAAAGCACCTGGATGATCATCAAGACTCTTGGATGAATGTTCTATGGACAGATGATTCAAAAGTATAACTTTTTGAACGACATGGTTCCAGTAAACCAAACTCTGCATTCCACAGTAAGAACATCATACCAAAGGTCAAGCATGGTGGTGGTGGTGTGATGGTTTGGGGATGCTTTGCTGCCTCAGGACCTGGACGACTTGACTTAATAGAAGGAACCATGAATTCTGCTCTGTATCAGAGAATTCTACAGGAGAATGTCAGACCATCCATCTGTGAGCTGAAGCAGAAGCGCAGCAAGACAATGATCCAAAACACACAATCAATTCTACATGAAAATTGCTAAAAAGCAACAAATTGGAAGTTTTGGAATGGCCTAGTCAAAGTCCAGACCTAATCCCAAATGAGATGTTGTGGCAGGACTTGAAACGAGCAGTTCATGCTTTAAAACCCACACGTCACTGAGTTAAAGCAGTTCTGCATGGAAGAGTGGGCCAAAATTCCTCCACAGCGACGTGAGAGACTGATCAACAACTACAGGAAGCATTTAGTTGGAGTCATTGCGGCTAAAGGTGGCACAACCAGTTATTGAGTGTAAGGGGGCAATTACTTTTTCACAAAGGGGCATTGGGTGTTGCATAACTTTGTTCATGAAATAAGTATGTAATTGTTGTGTTATTTGTTCACTTATGTTCCCTTTATCTAATATTAGGTTTTTGGTTGAAGATCTGATAACATTCAGTATCACAAATATGCAAAAGTAGAGAAAATTAGAAAAGGGGCAAATACTTTTTCACAGCACTGCATTTATATTACCGCAAGTAACACACCGTAGAGGCCAGACTATAAATATGATTTGTCCATCGACTACATTGCGGACGAGTCAGGGATATTAATGGAATCTATTTAACAGGGATATTAATTAACAGTTCAGTGTTCACATCCATGAAGTGTAAATGTGCCTGAGTTAGCAGAAGAGAGCATTTTCACCTGTCTGTAGCACCTGAGGTCCTCTGTAGCTCAGCTGGTAGAGCACAGCGCTTGTAACGTCAGGGTAGTGGGTTCGATCCCCGGGACCACCCATACACAAAAATGTATGCACGCATGACTGTAAGTCGCTTTGGATAAAAGCGTCTGCTAAATGGCTTATTATTATTATTATTACCTGAGATGTGAGTGATATTTCAGTGCTGATCTGGGATCAGGTCTTCCCCTTCTCCATGTAATCTTTATTCATTCTGACCTAAAAAGCAAAACTGATCCTAGATCAGGCCTCCTACTCTAAGACACTTTATATGAATGTGGGCCCTGATCTCCTGTGACTATAGCAGCCCATCAAAGTTGTTGTCCTCTTCAGGTCAAAGACACTAAAGGATGCTTGCCAAAGATGAACAGATGTTAAAAAAAAAAGTGCTATATTTCCTGCCGACTCCCACGTAAACCAAGAAAATGTGGTCAGAAAGATAAGATGTTACATTTGTGGGTTTGACTTGACAGTTTGCTATTGGCCTCGACAGAGAAGAGCAGTACTAGAAGTACTGTAGTAGTTATGGGAAACTGTTGTCGCAGCTGAATCATATCCACAGAAACCACATTGCACATATTTCTAGAGTCCATTACACTCTAGTCAGAGTGAGAAATGTGCAAGTCAGAGCTTTAGCGTAAAGTGCTAGGTAGGTCTGTGGCAGTCACGATTTTTTTTTTTTTTTTTTTAATTTATTTCACCTTTATTTAACCAGGTAAGCCAGTTGAGAACAAGTTCTCATTTACAACTGCGACCTGGTCAGATAAAGGCATGCGATAAAACCACCACAGAGTTACATATGGGGTAAACAAAACATAAAGTCAAAAATACAATAGAAAATATATATACAGTGTGTACGAATGTAGTAAGTTATGGAGGTAAGGCAATAAATAGGCCATAGTGCAAAATAGTTACAATTTAGTATTAACACTGGAGAGATAGATGTGTAAAAGATGATGTGCAAATAGAGATACTGGGGTGCAAATTAGCAAAATAAATAATAATAATAATAATATGCCATTTAGCAGACGCTTTTATCCAAAGCGACTTACAGTCATGCGTGCATACATTTTTGTGTATGGGTGGTCCCGGGGATCGAACCCACTACCTTGGCGTTACAAGCGCCGTGCTCTACCAGCTGAGCTACAGAGGACCACCAATTCAAAGCTAATGATAATAAATAATATAGGGATGAGGTAGTTGGGTGGGCTAATTTCAGATGGGCTGTGTACAGGTGCAGTGATCGGTAAGCTGCTCTGACAACTGATGCTTAAAGCTGTCGGTCTCACAGTAATTGACCGTTAATTAACATAAACACATTTAGCATCTCCTGGCTTCCACACATAGCCTACAAGCCACTGATGCAGACCTTTGGAACATCTACATTTTAAAAAGTCTAATAAAGCCATGTAATATAGCCTACACCTTCACAATAAATCCATTATTTATTTTCTACAGGTCTAAAGAAGCATGATATGAAGAAAATCTAGTCTAATTCAGAAGAACAGAATAGCATACTCTGAGTTGTCCTTATGTTAGGCTCTGATCTGGCTATGCCATATGGCTGTGGGCTACACTAGTTCATTTAGCAGACAAGATTGGCTTAGAATTCCGTGGCATTATTTTATAGTATGAAGAATACAGTTGAACAAAGCTGAATAAAATAGAAAGGATATTTTCTCCAAACGGTTTGAGGGAGTGCGCACATGCGGCTATTCTGTGTTGAGCGGTTAACAAAGAAATAGGTAATCCTATATGCTTAATTTAGAGTTATTAATGTAACTTTAGTTGTTCTACAAACGTTGGGCTATATGTTTTGATTTTTAATACATTGTAAGGCTGCATGATGAGACTCAAATGTTGATTTGAAAAAAGTTGCTTGAAAGGCATGAGCTCTGCTTAGTTTTTCTGCGCAGGCTGCAAACACTTCATCAGTCTCTCATTCACAATTTGACAAGCACTTGATAATGCCTAGAATTTCACGGCGGCATCCCCTTTGTGTGGCCGTATCCATGCCTTTTGCGGCCAGTGGTGGTTGTGCACTTCTCCCTGACTGCTGCGCGCTCCATCACGTGATCGGGTCTTTCTCACAGGCTACAAGTGAAGACAGACACATCGGGGACGCAACTGCGCGCGTCCTTATCCAATTCCGAGGTGCATATTGAAGATATTGGAAGAACTGTCCACATTTACTTTTCGTCAACCAACAAGATGAGTAGGCCTAACGAACAGCAAAAGCACTAGCCTATGTCAATCTACTATCCCCCATAGTACAAAAGTTGACCTATTCTATTCTGTGTGAGAAATAAATATTCCAATCATAGTCTGGGACAGTTGTGGGATGCGATAGATCCCAAATTAATACAACCACTAGCATCAAAAAAACCTGTTTTAAGCAATGAGCCTGACGCAACAGATGAGAACGTTTGGCTTAAAATGTTGATAAACTATTCGGCTATTTCTTCACATTAATAAGCGCAGCAATGCGCACATGGCAGTAGGCTATAAGCGCAAATGTTCCATTAGCGGGGAAAACACCATTATCAAAAGTGACCGCAAATGCGACTATGCACGAAATGCTTTTATTATAAAGGTGCATTTTTATGGTGAAAATGATCTTCCCAAACTTGAAACTCACGCGCTGCGTATGTATGGCCAGTTAGGCTCTACACCCCTTGTAAAGCGGATGAATGTGCTTAATTTTAAGCAGTTATTTGGCCACTTTAGTTGTGATACAAACCTTATCAAAACATATAGGCCTATGGGCTAGGCTACATGAGGTGTGCGACTACGATTCGAAAAAGTCGCAAAAAAAGGCAGTTTCTTATGCTGGGCATCATTCACAAGTGATAATATATCATTCACAAGTGACAGGCTAATATTGTCACCCATCAGACTATTCTTGATTTAATATTGTCTTTACATATACTAAATAATAACAGTACCAGTCAAAGTTTGGACACACCTACTCATTCAAGGGTTTTTCTTTGTTTTTACTATTTTCTACATTGTAGAATAACAGTGAAGACATCAAAACGATGAAATAACATATATTGAATAATGTAGTAACCCAAAAAGTGTTAAACAAATCAAAATATATTTTAGATTTTAGATTCTTCAAAGTAGCCACCCTTTGCCTTGTTGGCTGCTTTTCCTTCGCTCTGCGGTCCAACTCATCCCAAACCATCTCAATTGGGTTGAGGTCGGGTGATTGTGGAGGCCAGGTCATCTGATGCAGCACTCCATCACTCTCATTCTTGGTAAAATAGCCCTTACACAGCCTGGAGGTGTGTTGGGTCATTGTCCTGTTGAAAAACAAAATGATAGTCCCACTAAGCCCAAACCAGATGGGATGGCGTATCACTGCAGAATGCTGTGGTAGCCATGCTGGTTAAGTGTGCCTTGAATTCTAAATAAATCACAGACAGTGTCACCAGCAAAGCACCCCCACACCATCACACCTCCTCCTCCATGCTTCACGGTGGGAACCACACATGCTGAGATCATCCGTTTACCTACTCTGCGTCTCACAAAGGCACAGCGGTTGGAACCAAAAACCTCAAATTTGGACTCAGCAGACCAAAGGACAGATTTCCACCGGTCTAATGTCCATTGCTCGTGTTTCTTGGCCCAAGCAAGTCTCTTTTTCTTATTGGTGTCCATTAATAGTGGTTTCTTCTGAGGCTGGTAACTCTAATGAACTCACCCTCTGCAGCAGAGGTAACTCTGGGTCTTCCTTTCCTGTGGCGGTCCTCATGAGAGCCAGTTTCATCATAGCGCTTGATGGTTTTTGATGCCAAGAGTGGGCAAAGCTGTCATAAAGGCAAAGGGTGGCTACTCTGAAGAATCTAAAATCTAAAATATATTTTGATTGGTTTAATACTTTTTTGGTAACTACATGATTCGATATGTGTTATTTCATAGTTTTGATGTCTTCACTATTATTCTACAATGTAGAAAATTGTAAAAAAAAATAGAACAAACCCTTGAATGAGTAGGTGTGTCCAAACTTTTGACTGGTACTGTATGTCTGAAGTTTGTTTTGATTTAGAATGGACCATTATCATGCACCTGTCTTGAAACAGTGGCAAGCGGGAAAAATACATGTCATCTATGCACTTAAATAGGCGACTGGAAGACACTTTTTCCCCGTGGTTTATTTTCATGCCAACCAGGTAGGCTATACTCCTGTTTTAAAGAGAAGCAATGTGCTGAATATTAGGAAAGTTGAGAAATAAATATAGTAGGCCTAGCCTATAGAAAGCTGATCCTCCTATTTTTAGTAGAGGCCATCACTCTGTTTTCTCCGCGCAATTGCATAGCCTGTTGAAATGTTGCGCAACATGAGCTCATGGACTCTCATGAAGTGTTTGATTAGATTTTTGATTACATTAGCATTGAAGTCAGAGTGATTAGAGGGACAATAGAGTGCTGAGTACCAGGCAGTTAGCAAGTTTGGTAGGCTACTAATGACCAGCAGCAGCATCAGACCTCGGAGAAGCCTAATAACCGTGACTAAACGGTAACGTGCAATTTGACTGCCTTTCATGACTCGTGACTGCCGGTGTGGCTGTAACAACGGTCACCGTAACAGCCCTAGTACTAGGCAGTGCCGAAGTGGAAGTGTATGTAGCACACAAGACGCACACAAACACACACACACACACACACAAACACACACAAATTGTCAATGTATATAGTACTATGGTACCTTGGTGAGCCCGATGAAGGAGAGGACAGCCATGGCAGTGAACATGATGGTGGGGATCAGCATGACTACCAGCGAGCCTATATTGGTGCTAAAGAAGGTGATGGTCGCCACCAGCCGCTGGAGGAAGGAAGAAGAAGAAAACCAAAACAAGTTGACAGGAAGTCGACGCCTGTTCTAAGGGCGGGGTTTCATAATGATAACAACGCCGTCAACTGTAAGGCTATGGCCGAAAAATCCGGTCAATCAACCAATTAAATTGTATAGGCCCTTTTTTTACATCAACAGTTGTTCACAAAGTGTTTTTACAGTAACCCGGCCTAGAACCCCAAAGAGCAAGGAGAAGTGGCAAGGCAACTATGGAAGAACCCTTCCCTAGAAGGAAGAAACTTTGAGCGGATCCAGACTCAGAGAGGGGAGACCCAGGCTCCATCCTTACCAGACCCCCCAGCCTGGGATCCCTATACACTGGATGATGCTGATCACCACCTGGGCCATGAACACGAAGAAGAAACGCCATGAAGTTGAACGAGCTGTCAGTCCCTACAGGGGGGGGAGAGAGAAGTAAATCTAGTCAGAAATCCAGGATTGAACCTACTTCGTGGAGGCTGCTGAGGGGAGAGCGGCTCATAATAATGGCCGGAACGGAGCAAATGGAATGGCATCAACCACCTGGAAACCACGTGTTTGATGTATTTGATACCATTCCACTGATTCCGCTCCAGTCATTACCACGAGCCCATCCTCCCCATTTAAGGTACCACCAACCTCCTGTACTACTGTATATCTGGGGGGAAATAGCTTGAAGAAAGTGTTTACTGTCCTCTCTGCCTCATGCATATAAATCTAATGTAACAAACGGTGTTCAAAGTTTATTTTAACGAAACGGTAAAAGGTGAAAGCCAAAACATTGGCAAACGAAACCCTACTGAAGCACCCCAGGTGGGAAAAAAGGGGGTTTTTTTTTTACTTACTTTAAGGCCTTGTAGGGGGCGACCAGCACACTAGGAGCAGGGGGGGAACAGGAAAGACCACGAATGGCCATGCCAAAGTTGTTGCTCCCCCCCCGCCGCAATCCCCGCCCGGCAGCCAAACAGATTGACCGCCAAGGGGGGCAGTTTCCCGTAATGATACAGATGGAAAAAAAAGGGCAAAAAAAATTTTTAAGGGGGGACCTTGCATTATTTGGAATGCAGAGCTTGGTGTTTTTTAAAGTAATTTATTTAAACCCGGCAGGGCAATTAAAAATAAATTTAAATTTTTCAAAGACGCCTGTGTTAATTGGGGATTTCAAAGGAAAATGGAAAAGAGTGTGTCTTATTGGACAAGTCACGAGGGGGCCCCGCGGTTAAGGGGATTGCATTTAGTGCTTTAGGCGTCACTACAGACCCCCCGGTTTTTTATCCCGGGGTATACAAACGGCCGTGATTTGGGGGTCCCACAGGGCGGCGCACAAAAGGCCAGCGTCGTCCGGGTTTGGTGGGGTAGACCGCATTGTAAATAAGAATTTGTTTTAATGATTGCCTAGTTAAATAAATAAAAAAAAAATTTTAAAAGGTTTTTTCAGTTGTTTTTTTACATTTTGGGGCCTAACAAAAAGGATCATTGTGTTCTTTTTTCCCCCTTTAGTCAGTACAATACATTTTTGGGGCGGGGGGAAACCCTTTTAATTTCATACAACACACGTCGTTATTGGAATTATTAGCAAAGTGAAGGGTTTAAATTTGGTTTTCTCGTTTTTATGAGAGTCTCGAGGCCGTAAAAAGGGGCTTAGATTTAGCATTGGGTATAGGGAAGAGACTCTACGACCAAGTTATGGCCCCGTCCCAAATACAAAATACTACACATAAAGGTATAGGGGACGTGTGATGCTATGGGATGTGTATTTTTGTAGCCCTCTATTCAACCACATTACAGTGGACTAGGGAAGAGGCCAAAAAAATGATTACCTATTGGGTTTTTTATAACAAAAATTTACGGATATTTAAATCCCCAACCTGAGCGATAATGCTAAATAAAAAAGCAAATAAATGAAAGTTCGCAATCATCCCTGTATAAAATTTACCATTGAATATTAGCTGCACTTCCATCTTTGTTGTCAAGCCAACGGTATAGAAGGGGGGCTATTAACTAGGGAATGTTTATTTTGGGTGAAAAAAAAATGTCAAAATAACAATTCTTTGGCTGGATCCCAAAATCTTTTTAAAAAGCTGCTAACCAGCTACAAAAAACCCTCCTGCTATACCTGTGTTTGTTCCCGTATTGTTTGTGAGACGTTTTAAAAGTAATCTGAAAAAGAGGGCAAACGTAGTAAAAGGCTTTTTTAAAGGGCGGTGCGCCCCCGGGACGGCACCCATCTCTAATCTTCATGTTGAGTACCGCCAACTCTGTAGAATATTGCTCTAATCTTGAGACTAACCCCCGATGGAGTAAGTTTGGACTAAAAAAAGCATTTCAATGGAAAATGGGTTAAAATTTGCTTAATCGGGTCGGGAAACCGACCAGATGATCAGTCTCTAACCCCAGGTTTTCCAAATGGCACCCTTTTCCCCATTAGGCACTATTTGACCCCGAATCCTTTGGGCCCTGGGCAAAATATGCACTAAATGGGAATAGGGGAAAATTTGGGGTGCCCCCAACAACCCCAGATTAGGAGTAGAGTTCTTCACATGGACGGTTCATCTGGGATCCGTTTAGTCCTGATAGAAACACGTTTAGCGGAGAACCAGGCGGGGGAGGGGAAATTTTTTCTGGGGGATGAAATAAAGGCTTTATAAAAAATTTAGTCACATTTAATTATTTGATCAAAAACTTTAATTACAACTAAATCCAAGATTTAAAAAAATTATAGTTCCCCCAGGGGGGCCAGTATGAAAAAAAAAATAATAAACAGTATGCACTCACTAAATGTAAGCCTGGAAAACTAAATGATCAATGTAAAAAATATAGTTAAAAAAGCAAGATTAACATGATCAACACACAATTTTTCTAAAGCAGTTTAGTAACATTTTGTCATATAAAATAATCAGTAATAAATGTTTTTTAACCTACTATAATAACTTATATATTTACAAAAAAGGGAGCAGATTCAATATTCAATACGAAATCAACTCTACAAAAATTCTACTCTATACATCCTTGTTTGAGTTCTTTTTGCCATCACAATTTTATTATTTCCAGTTTGGGAAATAAAATATTTTTCAGACTAAAACCAACCCTTGGAAAAGAGCCTGAAAAGAATATTTCTTGTATCATATTTCAGCAAGAAATGTGTCATTTTGCTCAAAACACCCTAATTTTTTTATATTTAACAAGCAACAAAAAAAGTAGTAGGCTATCGATATGAAAAAGGGAAAAAATTGGCGCCCAATGCATGGGGGGTAACTGTTACTTTGTTTTGCATAAATTTTTGTGGCTACATTCGATGCCTCTAAAAGGCCCTGTTGTAGGGAGAATTCATTTTTAGCCGACAAGTAAATTTTTATTTTTTTATAATAAAGCTTTACAGTGTGATGAAAGGGTATTTTTAATATTTGCAGGTATCACAATCAATTTTTACGATGGGAAAAAATTTTGTGTAAAACATGCCCCCTCCAAAAGTCCTTTCACACTAAAGGTTGAGGGTGTAGGGGTGAAGGGCATTTTTCCCCGCATAATTTTGCCCAAATAGGCCTAAACCCCCCAGATTGAAAAAAAAGACCCCGAAAACTATCAATATATACGTTTTCCAGATTTGTTTTTTCATTTTAAAGGAGGCCCGGATGCAAATGGCGCATCGTGATGACACTATGTCAATGGGGGGCCCCCAAAAAAAACCCCCCTTGGGGATTTTTGCTCACCGTTCTTGTGATCATTTTGACCCCACTGGGTGAGATCTTGCGTGGAGCCCCAGATCGAGGGAGATGATCAGTGGTCTTGTATGTCTTTCCATTTCCTAATAATTGCTCCCACAGTTGATTTCTTCAAACCAAGCTGCTTACCTATTGCAGATTCAGTCTTCCCAGCCTGGTGCAGGTCTACAATTTTGTTTCTGGTGTCCTTTGACAGCTCTTTGGTCTTGGCCATAGTGGAGTTTGGAGTGTGACTGTTTGAGGTTGTGGACAGGTGTCTTTTATACTGATAACAAGTTCAAACAGGTGCCATTAATACAGGTAACGAGTGGAGGACAGAGGAGCCTCTTAAAGAAGAAGTTACAGGTCTGTGAGAGCCAGAAATCTTGCTTGTTTGTAGGTGACCAAATACTTATTTTCCACCATCATTTGCAAATAAATTCATAAAAAATCCTACAATGTGATTTTCTGGATTTCTTTTTCTCAATTTGTCTGTCATAGTTGACGTGTACCTATGATGAAAATTACAGGCCTCTCTCATCTTTTTAAGTGGGAGAACTTGCACAATTGGTGGCTGACTAAATACTTTTTTTTCCCCACTGTACCGGGTAAACAAAACATAAAGTCAAAAATACAATAGAAAATATATATACAGTGTGTACGAATGTAGTAAGTTATGGAGGTAAGGCAATAAATAGGCCATAGTGCAAAATAGTTACAATTTCGTATTAACACTGGAGATATAGATGTGTAAAAGATGATGTGCTAATAGAGATACTGGGGTGCAAATTAGCAAAATAAATAATATGGGGATGAGGTTGGGTGGGCTAATTTCAGAATGGCTGTGTACAGGTGCAGTGATCGGTAAGCTGCTCTGACAACTGACGCTTAAAGCTGTCGGTCTCACAGTAATTGACCGTTAATTAACATAAACACATTTAGCATCTCCTGGCTTCCACACATAGCCTGCAAGCCACTGATGCAGACATTTGGAACATCTACATTTAAAAAAAGTATAATACATCCATGTAATATAGCCTACACCTTCACAATAAATCCATTATTTAGTTTAGACAGGTCTAAAGAAGCATGATATGAAGAAAATGTAGTCTATTTCAGAAGAACAGAATAGCATACTCTAAGTTGTCCTTATGTTAGGCTCTGATCTGGCTGTGCCATATGGCTGTGGGCTACACTAGTTCATTTAGCAGACAAGATTTGCTTAGAATTCCGTGGCATTATTTTATAGTATGAAGAATACAACTGAACAAAGCTGAATAAAATAGAAAGGATATTTTCTCCAAACGGTTTGAGGGAGTGCGCACATGCGGCTATTCTGTGTTGAGCGGTTAACAAAGAAATAGGTACTCCTATATGCTTAATTTAGAGTTATTAATGTAACTTTAGTTGTTCTACAAACGTTGGGCTATATGTTTTGATTTTTAATACATTGTAAGGCTGCATGATGAGACTCAAATGTTGATTTGAAAAAAGTTGCTTGAAAGGCATGAGATCTGCTTAGTTTTTTGCGTAGGCTGCAAACACTTCATCAGTCTCTCATTCACAATTTGACAAGCACTTGATAATGCCTAGAATTTCACGGCGGCATCCCCTTTGTGTGGCCGTATCCATGCCTTTTGCGGCCAGTGGTGGTTGTGCACTTCTCCCTGAGTGCTGCGCTCTCCATCACGTGATCGGGTCTTTCTCACAGGCTACAAGTGAAGACAGACACATCGGGGACGCAACTGCGCGCGTCCTTATCCAATTCCGAGGTGCATATTGAAGATATTGGAAGAACTGTCCACATTTACTTTTCGTCAGCCAACAAGATGAGTCGGCCTAACGAACAGCAAAAGCACTAGCCTATGTCAATCTACTATCCCCCATAGTACAAAAGTTGACCTATTCTATTCTGTGCGAGAAATAAATATTCCAATCATAGTCTGGGAGAGTTGTGGGATGCGATAGATCCCAAATTAATACAACCACTAGCATCAAAAAAACCTGTTTTAAGCAATGAGCCTGACGCAACAGATGAGAACGTTTGGCTTAAAATGTTGATAAACTATTCGGCTATTTCTTCACATTAATAAGCGCAGCAATGCGCACATGGCAGTAGGCTATAAGCGCAAATGTTCCATTAGCGGGGAAAACACCATTATCAAAAGTGACCGCAAATGCGACTATGCACGAAATGCTTTTATTATAAAGGTGCATTTTTATGGTGAAAATGATCTTCCCAAACTTGAAACTCACGCGCTGCGTATGTATGCCAGTTAGGCTCTACACCCCTTGTAAAGCGGATGAATGTGCTTAATTTTAAGCAGTTATTTGGCCACTTTAGTTGTGATACAAACCTTATCAAAACATATAGGCCTATGGGCTAGGCTACATGAGGTGTGCGACTACGATTCGAAAAAGTCGCAAAAAAAGGCAGTTTCTTATGCTGGGCATCATTCACAAGTGATAATATATCATTCACAAGTGACAGGCTAATATTGTCACCCATCAGACTATTCTTGATTTAATATTGTCTTTACATATACTAAATAATATACAGTACCAGTCAAAAGTTTGGACACACCTACTCATTCAAGGGTTTTTCTTTGTTTTTACTATTTTCTACATTGTAGAATAACAGTGAAGACATCAAAACGATGAAATAACATATATTGAATAATGTAGTAACCCAAAAAGTGTTAAACAAATCAAAATATATTTTAGATTTTAGATTCTTCAAAGTAGCCACCCTTTGCCTTGTTGGCTGCTTTTCCTTCGCTCTGCGGTCCAACTCATCCCAAACCATCTCAATTGGGTTGAGGTCGGGTGATTGTGGAGGCCAGGTCATCTGATGCAGCACTCCATCACTCTCATTCTTGGTAAAATAGCCCTTACACAGCCTGGAGGTGTGTTGGGTCATTGTCCTGTTGAAAAACAAATGATAGTCCCACTAAGCCCAAACCAGATGGGATGGCGTATCACTGCAGAATGCTGTGGTAGCCATGCTGGTTAAGTGTGCCTTGAATTCTAAATAAATCACAGACAGTGTCACCAGCAAAGCACCCCCACACCATCACACCTCCTCCTCCATGCTTCACGGTGGGAACCACACATGCTGAGATCATCCGTTTACCTACTCTGCGTCTCACAAAGGCACAGCGGTTGGAACCAAAAACCTCAAATTTGGACTCAGCAGACCAAAGGACAGATTTCCACCGGTCTAATGTCCATTGCTCGTGTTTCTTGGCCCAAGCAAGTCTCTTTTTCTTATTGGTGTCCATTAATAGTGGTTTCTTCTGAGGCTGGTAACTCTAATGAACTCACCCTCTGCAGCAGAGGTAACTCTGGGTCTTCCTTTCCTGTGGCGGTCCTCATGAGAGCCAGTTTCATCATAGCGCTTGATGGTTTTTGATGCCAAGAGTGGGCAAAGCTGTCATAAAGGCAAAGGGTGGCTACTCTGAAGAATCTAAAATCTAAAATATATTTTGATTGGTTTAATACTTTTTTGGTAACTACATGATTCGATATGTGTTATTTCATAGTTTTGATGTCTTCACTATTATTCTACAATGTAGAAAATTGTAAAAAAAAATAAGAAAAACCCTTGAATGAGTAGGTGTGTCCAAACTTTTGACTGGTACTGTATGTCTGAAGTTTGTTTTGATTTAGAATGGACCATTATCATGCACCTGTCTTGAAACAGGGGCAGCGGGAAAAAATACATGTCATCTATGCACTTAAATAGCGACTGGAAGACACTTTTCCCCGTGGTTTATTTTCATGCCAACCAGGTAGGCTATACTCCTGTTTTAAAGAGAAGCAATGTGCTTAATATTAGGAAAGTTGAGAAATAAATATAGTAGGCCTAGCCTATAGAAAGCTGATCCTCCTATTTTTAGTAGAGGCCATCACTCTGTTTTCTCGCGCAATTGCATAGCCTGTTGAAATGTTGCGCAACATGAGCTCATGGACTCTCATGAAGTGTTTGATTAGATTTTTGATTACATTAGCATTGAAGTCAGAGTGATTAGAGGGACAATAGAGTGCTGAGTACCAGGCAGTTAGCAAGTTTGGTAGGCTACTAATGACCAGCAGCAGCATCAGACCTCGGAGAAGCCTAATAACCGTGACTAAACGGTAACGTGCAATTTGACTGCCTTTCATGACTCGTGACTGCCGGTGTGGCTGTAACACGGTCACCGTAACAGCCCTAGTACTAGGCAGTGCCGAAGTGGAAGTGTATGTAGCACACAAAGACGCACACAAACACACACACACACACACACACAAACACACACAAATTGTCAATGTATATAGTACTATGGTACCTTGGTGAGCCCGATGAAGGAGAGGACAGCCATGGCAGTGAACATGATGGTGGGGATCAGCATGACTACAGCAGAGCCTATATTGGTGCTAAAGAAGGTGATGGTCGCCAGCCAGCCGCTGGAGGAAGGAAGAAGAAGAAAACCAAAACAAGTTGACAGGAAGTCGACGCCTGTTCTAAGGCGGGGTTTCATAATGATAACAACGCCGTCAACTGTAAGGCTATGGCCGAAAAATCCGGTCAATCAACCAATTAAATTGTATAGCCCTTTTTTTACATCAACAGTTGTCACAAAGTGTTTTACAGTAACCCGGCCTAGAACCCCAAAGAGCAAGGAGAAGTGGCAAGGCAACTATGGAAGAACCCTTCCCTAGAAGGAAGAAACTTTGAGCGGATCCAGACTCAGAGAGGGGAGACCCAGGCTCCATCCTTACCAGACCCCCCAGCCTGGGATCCCTATACACTGGATGATGCTGATCACCACCTGGGCCATGAACACGAAGAAGAACGCCATGAAGTTGAACGAGCTGTCAGTCCTACAGGGGGGGGAGAGAGAAGTAAATCTAGTCAGAAATCCAGGATTGAACCTACTTCGTGGAGGCTGCTGAGGGGAGAGCGGCTCATAATAATGGCCGGAACGGAGCAAATGGAATGGCATCAACCACCTGGAAACCACGTGTTTGATGTATTTGATACCATTCCACTGATTCCGCTCCAGTCATTACCACGAGCCCATCCTCCCCATTTAAGGTACCACCAACCTCCTGTACTACTGTATATCTGGGGGGAAATAGCTTGAAGAAAGTGTTTACTGTCTCTCTGCCTCATGCATATAAATCTAATGTAACAAACGGTGTTCAACGTTTAATTCAACAGAAACGGTACTGTGCTGAACGACCAAAACATTGGCAAACGTTAAACCGTACTGAACGCACCCCAGGTGGCAGAAGAAGGGTGTACTTACTTGAAGGCCTTGTAGATGGGTCTGAACCAGCACACGTAGGAGCAGGGGGTGAACAGGATGAGCCACAGAATGGCCATGCCAAAGTTAGTTGCTCCGCCCCCGCCGCACATCCACGCCAGGCAGCCAATCAGATTGACCGCCAAGGTGGCACTGTTCACTGTAATGATCACAGATGGAAAAAAAGGTCAAATAACTATATTAATGGTGGACCTTGCATTATTTGGAATGCAGTAGCATTGGTCGTGTTTTTTAAATGTAATTTATTTAACCAGGCAGGTCAATTAAAAATAAATTAATATTTACAATGACGCCTGTTGTTCATTAGGGCATGCAACGGAAATGGAAAATGAGTGTGTCTTATTGGACAAGTCACGAGTGGCACAGCGGTCTAAGGCATTGCATCTCAGTGCTTGAGGCGTCACTACAGACCCCCTGGTTTGATTCCAGGCTGTATCACAACCGGCCGTGATTGGGAGTCCCACAGGGCGGCGCACAATTGGCCCAGCGTCGTCCGGGTTTGGCTGGGGTAGACCGTCATTGTAAATAAGAATTTGTTCTTAACTGACTTGCCTAGTTAAATAAAATAAAATAAATTAAAAAGGTTGTTTCAGTCTGTTTTCATCAGTTTGGTGCCTAACAAACAGGATCATTGTGTTACTTTTTTCCCCATTTCATGTCAGTACAATTACATTGTCTGGGACGGGGACCTTATCTAATTACAGTACAACAGCACAGTCTGTTATTGGATGATTCATCTAGCAAAGTGAAGTTTAATTGGTTGCTTCAGATTTGTATGAGAGTCTGCAGAGGCAGTAAAAGGTAGCTTTATGATTTAGCATCTGAGGTATAGGGAAGAGATCTCTACGACCAAGTTATGGTCCGCGTCCCAAATACAAAATACTACACTATAAAGAGTATAGGGTACGTGTGATTGCTATGGCATGTGTATGTTCTGTATTGCCATCTATTCAACACACATTACAGTGGCTACTAGGCTAAGAGGCACAAACTAATGATTACCTATTGGGATTATTTATAACATATATTTCACAGGACTTACTTTTACAATCCCCAACCTGAGCGATAATGCTAAATAAAATGCAAATGAGAATGAAAGTTACGCAATCATCCATGTATAAAGTTTACCATTGAACTATTAGCTGCACTTCCATCTCTTGTTGTCAAGCCAACGGTATAGAGATGGGAGGCTATTAACTAGCGGAATGTTGATTGTGATGAAAAAAACATGTCAAGTAACAATTCTTGGCTGGATGCCTGAAAGTCTTATTAAAGAGCTGCTAACCAGCTACACCAACCGTCCTGCTATACCTGTGTTTGTTTCCCGTATTGTTTTGTGAGACGTTAAAAAGTAATCTGAAAAGAGAGGGCCAAACAGTAGTAAAGGACTTTGTTAAATGGGCCGGTGCTGCCCGGTACGGCACCAGCATCTCTAATCTTCTACTGCTTGAGTACCGCCAACTCTCGTAGAATATTAGCTCTAATACTTGATGACTAGACCCAGATGGAGCTAAGTTCTGGACTAAAAAAAGCATTCTCAATGGAAAATGGTGTATAAAGCTTTGCTTAATCTGGGTCTGGGAAACCGACACAGATGACTCAGTCTCTAACCACAGGTGTCTTCCAAATGGCACCCTATTCCCTATGTAGTGCACTACTTTTGACCAGAATCCTATGGGCCCTGGTCAAAAGTAGTGCACTAAATAGGGAATAGGGTGCCATTTGGGATGCCCCCAACACACTCACAGATCCATAGGTAGTAGAGCTTCTTGCACATGGAGCGGTGTACATCTGGGATCTCGTTGAAGTCCTGATAGAAACACGGCTTCAGACGGATGAAGCCAGGCAGGGGAGGGAAATTGTTTTCTGTGGGGATGAAATGAAGAGGCTTTATAACATTGATGCTCAGCATTTAACTTACTTAGAAGTCAAATCTTGAATTACAACTAAATCCAAGATAAAATATTATAGTTCCCACAGGGGGGCCAGTATGAAAAAATAATAATAATAATCATGTATGCACTCACTAACTGTAAGTCACTCTGGATAAGAGCTAAATGACTCAAATGTAAATGTAATAGTTAAAGTATAAGCTAAGCATTCAACATGATCAACACACAATTTATCTTAAAGCAGTCAGGTTAAGCATTGTGTACTATAATAATAATAATACATGATAATAACATGCTTATTAACTACTTACTACTAATAACTTATATATCTTACAAAGAGTAGCATGATTCAATATTCAATACAGAAGTCACACTCTACAAAATATTCTACTACTATACCATCCTTGTATGTAGACTGTTCTTACCTGCCATCACAATTTGATATATTCCTCCAGTTGGAAATAAATATTATTCAGACTAAAACTCAACGCCTTGGAAATGAGCCTGAAAAGAATATTACATTGTATCAATATTTCAGCAAAGAAATGTGTCATTTTAGCATCATAAACACCATAATTTCCTTCATATTAATTCAAGCAACAAACCGGTATGTAGGCTATCGATATGAAATATGGAAAACCTTGAGCGCCCAATGCATGGGGAGGTAACAGTGTTACTTCGATTATGCATAATATTCTGTGGCTACATTCTGATAGCCTCCTGAATAAGGCCCTTGTTGTCAGGGAGAGATTCATTGTAGCCTGCACAAGATAATCTTTCATTTATTATAATAAAGCTTGACAGTGTGATGAAGGATATTTCTAATATTTTGCAGGTATCACAATCATATTTTGACGAGTGAAATAATATTTGTGTCATCATAGCCCATCCAAAATGTGCCATGTTCAACACTCATAGGTTGAGGGTGTATGGATGAAGGGCATTTTCCCAGCATATATTTTTGCACCAAATAGGCCTATACCACCAGATTGAAAACAAATGAGACCACGAATCTATGCAATATGATACGTTTTCCAGATTTGTTATTCATTTTAAAGGATGCGCAGGATGCAGAATGGCGCATCGTGATGAGCACTACTGTCAATGGAGAAAGCAGCGCCCTTCAGATGAGTAACGGTAGAACAGAGCCTAGCCTACGACAATGATGGGCTATTTTCAGCTGGACTGACTCAATAAACAAGTCAAACGATTGTACAATTCCCGCAGCATGATTCGTCTACATTCTACTTATGCACTGATCATTCTGTAAATCTATAATTCGCCCCAATCGTGTAATTGAAACATATAATGAATGAATTAAACGGAAATAACACCGTGTGGATTCGTTACTTAGAAATTATCTACCTCTTACCTCCTTTTTTTCTCCAAACCTGGAATGATGATACTATGCAACGTTCTCCAATTGCATTCTATAAGGATATTCTTTATGAAACACAACACACGCTCGTCAAATTAAACGAGAGACCTCAATTCTATATTCGATTAAAATCTGAAACGTCTTCACCCAACGAGTTTGGGGGGTAGAAAGCAATTTCGTGACGTCACGTTTCTACTCTCTCTTTACGCACATATCCGTTCTCCTAAGAATGGTTTGAGGAAACGGATTCGTTGCTGGCCATAACCGACCCAACAAGAAAACTGTTTACTAGCGGTATTTCGCTTTCACTTTCTTAAAGGAAAGGTTCATCTCATTTTCAATGTTATATTGGTTTTTTGTGCATCTCTGAGTGATCTATCGATTCCTGGGTAATTTTATGTTTTCGTGTGTATCTGAGTTGTTGGCGTTCAAGCAGGTAGAAATCCGGCCGGTATTACGTAGCACCTTGATAAAGTCGCTCTCACTACCCTGGAAGTTAATAGGAATACGACTTTTAGATCGCGAAAACGTCTATCATACATGTCAGATTTCAATACTAGCCGATGTCATAACTCGGGAGGATGTCTTCTCTCGAATTAGCTATTTATCATATTTTTGCGATATTCCTACCTCGAGAAATGTGTAATTTAATGGAGGGTCTAGCACATTTTTCCTGTTTGTCTGCCTCTTTAGTTCAGGATGCATTGTATGGTGCCGTAGCCAGAGATATTATCGAAAGGAGATAGGAATCCAATGACTAAAGGAACGCTTAACGCCCCACCCAGCAGACTGTCGACCAATCGCATTCACGTTGTCATGTTACGTAATGTGGTTGCTAAGCTAATCGTCACGCAATCCCTTCTCAATATCGGTGTACATGTCGAGAAACGTACCTATTTTCCTCAAAAGTACGTAATGTCACGATTCCAAAGCTATATGATATTACAGATAGCAAGTTAATAATCTCATATCTTGGAAAATATTTGTAATGTTGTACTTCTTGTTGACGAAATTCGTGCTAATGTTGGTTTTTTGAGCTAGCGCCCAATAGACTCCCATTCATTCCTTGAAGGAGAGCGCTCCTTGTCCCAGAATCCCCCAGAATGCACCGCGTGGTCCATTAACGTGGCATGGGAAACGTTTCCCATCTCCTCAAAAGTATATCTGCCGTTGTGAATGATCTGCAGGTTGAACATGGTAAGATTGTAGAGACCTAAATTGATAGTGCAGTTTGTTTATGCGATTTTACAGCTAACTAGCTACTTCACATGCTGATATTGACTTTGGTATTATTGTAGCTACGTTTGCTTGCTTGCTAGCTACAATAGCTGTCCAGCCAGCCCATATAGAGAGCATTGCATTGTGGATTTTGTAGTCGACTTGAGCTGCAACAGATTTCCACAACGATTTTCCATGTTGCTACCAACCTTATTATAAAGCCAAAATAGAACATTTGTTTAACAAAAAATATTGTTCTCACATATTAGTGTTAGGCCTGCCGTACTATAATTTAAAATATAGATGACAGCTGTTGAGACGCATAATATGCTACAATAGGCCTAGTAATGAAATGCTATACCAGTGTAAGAGACCCACAATATAATAATAATAATAATAATATGCCATTTAGCAGACGCTTTTATCCAAAGCGACTTACAGTCATGCGTGCATACATTTTTTGTGTATGGGTGGTCCCGGGGATCGAACCCACTACCTTGGCGTTACAAGCGCCGTGCTCTACCAGCTGAGCTACAGAGGACCACAGTATTACTCTAGCCTGATAGGCTTTCCCTGTAAATAAGATATAGGCTATCCCCCGCCTTATTTATAATCTCACATATACAGTAGCCAAATACATTTAAACTCTGTTTTTCACAATTCCTGACATTTAATCCTAGAAAAAATCCCCTGTCTTAGGTCAGTTAGGATCACCACTTTATTTTAAGAATGTGAAATGTCAGAATAATAGTATAGAGAATGATTTATTTCAGCTTTTATTTATTTCATCACATTCCCAGTGTGTCAGAAGTTTACATACACTCAATTAGGATTTGGTAGCATTGCACTTACAGTTTTTAACTTGGGTCAAACATTTTCGGGTTGCCTTCCACAAGCTTCCCACAATAAGTTGGGTGAATGTTGGCCCATTCCTCCTGACAGAGCTGGTGTAACTGAGTCAGGTTTGTAGGCCTCCTTGCTCGCACACACTTTTTCAGTTCTGCCAACACATTTTCTATAGGATTGAGGTCAGGGATTTGTGATGGCCACTCCAATACCTTGACTTTGTTGTCCTTAAGCCATTTTGCCACAACTTTGGAAGTATGCTTGGGGTCATTGTCCATTTGGAAGACCTATTTGCGACCAAGCTTTGACTTTGTGGTATCTAAATAATGATGCTAATTATGCTGTGAGAACAAGGAGTCCGCTTACACTGTACTTTGATTATAAAGGTTTATTATTTCAAAGGATTTCAGCGTAAGTTTACAGACATCTGCAGGCATCTGGAGAACAACGGACCCAAAATAATATGTTGTGCTGTTCTCCTTTGTCCCAACCAAGTATTTATAATCTTTACCATGATATGGGTGGTTTCCCCTACAGACCAATCCCATGACTCCACACAACAGACTTCCTCTGTTTTAGGGTGCCCCGATAGAACTGTTCCCCAGCTGCTTCCCTAAGCTGAATCAACATCCTCTAAGATACCATTTGCAAACGTTAGCAAAGTTATAAATTGCTTAGACACCACAACTTCCTGACTGATGTCTTGAGATGTTGCTTCAATATATCCACATCATTTTCCTTCCTCATGATGCCATCTATTTTGTGAAGTGCACCAGTCCCTCCTGCAGGAAAGCACCCCCACAGCATGATGCTGCCACCCCCGTGCTTCACGGTTGGGATGGTGTTCTTCGGCTTGCAAGATAACCCCTTTTTCCTCCAAACATAACGATGGGAGCTTCAAGTTCCTTGGTGTCCACATCACCAACGAACTATCATGGTCCAAACACACCAAGACAGTCGTGAAGAGGGCACGACAAAGCCTATTCCCCCTCAGGAGACTGAAAAGATTTGGCATGGGTCCTCAGATCCTCAAAAAATTCTACAGCTGCACCATCGAGAGCATCCTGACTGGTTGCATCACCGCCTGGTATGGCAACTGCTTGGCCTCCAACCGCAAGGCACTACAGAGGGTAGTGCATACGGCCCAGTACATCACTGGGGCCAAGCTTCCTGCCATCCAGGACCTCTATACCAGGCGGTGTCAGAGGAAGGCCCTCAAAATTGTCAAAGACTCCAGTCACCCTAGTCATAGACTGTTCTCTCTGCTACCGCACGGCAAGCGGTACCGGAGTGCCAAGTCTAGGTCCAAAAGACTTCTCAACAGCTTCTACCCCCAAGCCATAAGACTCCTGAACAGCTAATCATGGCTACCCAGACTATTTGCACTGCCCCCCCCCACCCCATCCTTTTTACGCTGCTGCTACTCTGTTAATTATTTATGCATAGTCACTTTAACTCTACCCACATGTACATATTACCTCAACTACCTCAACTAGCCGGTGCCCCCGCACATTGACTCTGCAACGGTACCCCCCTGTATATATAGCCTCCCTACAGTTATTTTATTTAACTTCTGCTCTTTTTTTTTCTCAACACTTTTTTTGTTGTTGTTTTATTTTTACTTTTTTTGTTAAAAATAAATGCACTGTTGGTTAAGGGCTGTAAGTAAGCATTTCACTGTAATGTCTGCACCTGTTGTATTCGGCGCATGTGACCAATAAAATTTGATTTGATTTGATGGTCATTATGGCCAAACAGTTCTATTTTTGTTTCATCAGACCAGAGGACATTTCTCCAAAAAGTACGATCTTTGTCCCCATGTGCAGTTGCAAACCGTAGTCTGAATTTTTATGGCGGTTTTGGAGCAGTGGCTTCTTTCTTGCTGAGCGGCCTTTCAGGTTATGTCGATATAGGACTCATTTTACTGTGGATATAGATACTTTTGTACCTGTTTCCTCCAGCATCTTCACAAGGTCCTTTGCTGTTGTTCTGGGATTGATTTGCACTTTTCACCCCAAAGTACGTTCATCTCTAGGAGACAGAACATGTCTCCTTCCTGAGCGGTATGACTACGTGGTCCCATGGTATTTATACTTGTGTACTACTGTTTGCACAGATGAACGTGGTACCTTCAGGTGTTTGGAAATTGCTTCCAAGGATGAACCAGACTTGTGGAGGTCTACAATTTATTTAGATTTTCCCATAATGTCAAGCAAAGAGGCACTGAATTTGAAGGTAGGCCTTGAAATATATCCACAGTTACACCTCCAATTGACTCAAATGATGTCAATTAGCCTATCAGAAGCTTCTAAAGCCATGACATCATTTTCTGGAATTTCCCAAGCTGTTTAAAGGCACAGTCAACTTAGTGTATGTAAACTTCTGACCTACTGGAATTGTGATACAGTGAATTATAAGTGAAATAATCTGTCTGTAAACAATTGTTGGAAAAATTACTTGTGTCATGCACAAAGTAGATGTCCTGACCGATTTGCCAAAACGATAGTTTGTTAACAAGAAATTTGTGGAGTGGTTGAAAAACAAGTTTTAATGACTCCAACCTAAGTGTATGTAAACTTCCGACTTCAACTGTACCATTGTAGATTGAAGTGGAACAGCCAGAGTTTGGTTTGTAATATCAGTGACTGTAGCCGTGGTTAAAGGGCAGGTACACTAAAACCTCTATACCATAAAGATAAGCTCACATACGCATTTGACTCTTCTCTCTGCTCTATCTAAAGAGAAGCTGAAGCGCTCGGCGAGCGAGAGTTCATCTCTCTTCGACGAGCTCGATGCGATTGAGAGAGAGATAGATCGAGAGCTCTATCTCTCTTCAGCTCTCTCTGCTTATCTCGATAGCTCAGCTCTCTCGATCTCTCCTCTCTCGATCTTTTCTCTATTCTCTTCGAGACGATCTACTCTCTCCTCTCTCTATCGATCTCTATTCTCTCTCTCTCTCTCTCGATCTTTATCTCTCTCTCTCTCTCTCTCTCTATCTCTCTCTCTCTCTCTCTCTCTCTCTCTCTCTCTCTCTCTCTCTCTCTCTCTCTCTCTCTCTCTCTCTATATATATATATATATATATATACTACCGTTCAAAAGTTTGGGGTCACTTAGAAATTTCCTTGTTTTCCATGAAAACATACATGAAATGAGTTTGAATAGGAAATATAGCAAAATGCATAGGAAATGTAGTCATTGACAAGGTTAGAAATAATGATTTTTAATTGAAATAATAAATGTGTCCTTCAAACTTTGCAGCAATTACAGCCTTGTAGACCTTTGGCATTCTAGTTGTCAATTTGTTGAGGTAATCTGAAGAGATTTCACCCCATGCTTCCTGAAGCACCTCCCACAAATTGGATTGGCTTGATGGGCACTTCTTTTACGTACCATACGGTCAAGCTGTTCCCACAACAGCTCAATAGGGTTGAGATCCGGTGACTGTGCTGGCCACTCCATTATAGACAGACTACCAGCTGACTGCTTCTTCCCTAAATAGTTATTGCATAGTTTGGAGCTGTGCTTTGGGTCATTGTCCTGTTGTAGGAGGAAATTAGCTCCAATCAAGCGCCGTCCACAGGGTATGGCAGGCGTTGCAAAATGGAGTGATAGCCTTCTTTCTTCAAGATCCCTTTTACCCTGTACAAATCTCCCACTTTACCACCACCAGAGCACCCCCAGACCATCACATTGCCTCCACCATGCTTGACAGATGGCATCAAGCACTCCTCCAGCATCTTTTCATTTGGTCTGCGTCTCACAAATGTTCTTCTTTGTGATCTGAACACCTCAAACTTCGATTTGTCTGTCCATAAAACTTTTTTCCTATCTTCCTCTGTCCAGTGCCTGTGTTCTTTTGCCCATCTTATTTTTATTGGCCAGTCTGAGATATGGCTTTTTCTTTGCAACACTGCCTAGAAAGTCAGCATCCCGGAGTCGCCTCTTCACTGTTGACGTTGAGACTGGTGTTTTGCAGGTACTATTTAATTAAGCTGCCAGTTGAGGACCTGTGAGGCGTCTGTTTCTCAAACTAGACACTCTAATGTATTTGTCCTCTTGCTCAGTTGTGCACCGGGGCCTCCCACTTCTCTTTCTATTCTGGTTAGAGCCAGTTTGCGCTGTTCTGTAAAGGGAGTAATACACAGCATTGTGCGAGATCTTCAGTTTCTTGGCAATTTCTCGCATGGAATAGTTTTCATTTCTCAGAACAAGAATAGACTGACGAGTTTCAGAAGAAAGTTATTTGTTTCTGGCCATTTTGAGCCTGTAATTGAACCCACAATTGCTGATGCTCCAGATACTCAATTAGTCTCAAGAAGGCTAGCACCCCAATGGTGGAACAAGCTTTTTTTAAACTATTTTCTACATTGCAGAATAATAGTGAAGACATCAAAACTATGAAATAACACATATGGAATCATGTAGTAACCAAAAAAGTGTTAAACAAATCTAAATATATTTTATATTTGAGATTCTTCAAATAGCCACCCTTTGCCTTGATGACAGCTTTGCACACTCTTGGCATTCTCTCAACCAGCTTCACATGGAATGCTTTTCCAACAGTCTTGAAGGAGGTCCCACATATGCTGAGCACTTGTTGGCTGCTTTTCCTTCACTCTGCGGTCCGACTCAAACCATCTCAATTTGGTTGAGGTCGGGGGATTGTGGAGGCCAGGTCATCTGATGCAGCACTCCATCACTCTCTTTCTTGGTAAAATAGCCCTTACAAAGCCTGGAGGGGTGTTGGGTCATTGTCCTGTTGAAAAACAAATGATAGTCCCACTAAGCCCAAACCAGATGGGATGGCGTATCACTGCAGAATGCTGTGGTAGCCATGCTGGTTAAGTGTGCCTTGAATTCTAAATAAATCCCTGACAGTGTCACCAGCAAAGCACCCCCACACCATAACACCTCCTCCTCCATACTTTACGGTGGGAACTACACATGTAGAGATCATCCGTTCACCCACACCGCGTCTCACAAAGACACGGCGGTTGGAACCAAAAATCTCCAATTTGGACTCCAGACCAAAGGACACAATTCCACCGGTCTAATGTCCATTGCTCGTGTCTCTTGGCCCAAGCAGGTCTCTTCTTATTATTGGTGTCCTTTAGTAGCTGTTTCTTTGCAGCAATTCGACCACGAAGGCCTGATTCACACAGTCTCCTCTGAACAGTTGATGTTGGGATGTGTCTGTTACTTGAACTCTGTGAAGCATTTATTTGGGCTGCAATCTGAGGTGCAGTTAACTCTAATGAACTTATCCTCTGCAGCAGAGGTAACTCTGGGTCTTCCTTTCCTGTGGCGGTCCTCATGAGAGCCAGTTTCATCATAGCGCTTGATGGTTTTTGGTGACTACCTCATGAAGCTGGTTGAGAGAAGGCCAAGAGTGTGCAAATCTATCATCAAGGCAAAGGGTGGCTATTTGAAGAATCTCAAATATAAAATATATTTAGATTTGTTTAACACTTTTTTGGTTACTACATGATTCCATATGTGTTATTTCATAGTTTTGATGTCTTCACTATTATTCTATAATGTAGAAAATAGTAAAAATAAAGAAAAACCCTTGAATGAGTAGTGTCCAAACTTAAGCCTGGTACTGTATATCTCAAGAAGCAGCCCCTGCATAAAGAGAGGCACATTTCCAGTAAAATAAACTGTGGGACTATTCCATCGATGCCACCAGCCTACGCCACCCAATGTCCTCCATCATCCAACCCCAAGTTCATCCCTGTGAGCAACATACACAACTCTAGAGACTGCAAGACTAGTTGTCTTTAAATCGTGAGTCTTCACTACGTGGCCGGTTTCCACTAGTTACCACAGCCACAAAGTCAAAATTGACTGTTGTAAAAATTAATGAAAACAAACATTAGCTTTTTTAAAATCTTAATTTAAGGTTAGGGTTAGGCATAAGGTTAGCAGTGTGGTTAAGGTTAGGGTTAGGTTTAAAAATCACATTTTAATAAGATCAATTGTAGAAATAGGAGGGGTTTATGACTTGTAGATGTGGTAACTAGTGACGACCCCATCAGAGAGGAAGAGGCGAAGCGAGAGGATTTACTCAGCCCAAAATCTGTCAGTGTGAGATAAGTGTTCTTATTATACCTCAGTGGATATATGGCTTTTTTGTATGGAGGTCTATGAGAGTGTCGAATTCCGTGAGGCTTATTTGATCGAACAGAAGTTTCGTAATGTTTAGTCCTGTTACATATGTACTGATATAAGTGGATGCACGTGGAATTCCGGTAATTTTGAGAAAAACGACGTGGTTGTGCTTGTTAATTCACACGCGTATCTGCTCTCTCATTGGCTAGAATTGTCCCACCTCATCTCGCCTGCCTTCGACCATTGAGGACATGTATTTCCATTGTTAGAGCGGTCAGTCGGTTATCTCTTCAATATATTAAATTATCTTTGGGACCAGTCGAACCAGTGGGAGGTAACTGGGGCTCACTCAGGTAGGTTTTTTTAAGCAATCCGTTTTTTAATATATCCTTGAAAGTCTAGTTATTACTAGTTGACAAGTACATAAAGACGGTTTAGTATTGTTTGTGAGCCAGATCTCTTGCTATCTGTCGGATATGCTAATTCGTTTATGCTAAGCTAACGTTAGCTATCCAGCTAACTACCAGCTTCATCTAACGTTAGTTAACTCTCATATTTAGTATGACTGACCCACGTTGTTTTATTAAGATAGCCTAAGATACGTTTGTAAAGTAGCATTGTGTCTCTTTAAACGAAGTGTATTGATTATTTAACATTATCATAATGAACCAACAGGTTTTGTTGACATATGGCACAACTATGTAAACATCATTAGCTAACTAGCTATAGCCCGTGGCTGGCTACACATGCTATTTGCGCTCAATCTTTACCACCAAAGGCTAGTTAACAAGCCAACTGGGTCAATGCTTTTCTGAATCTATTCTGATTAGAAGGGTCCTGCCACATCTCTATTTAAATCTAAAGGCGTCCCTCCACATTTGAATGGTTTCACACAGTAGCAGATTTCGCACAATCAATATCCTGTTTATACATGTCTATGATTACATTTCACATTTACATTTACGTCATTTAGCAGACGCTCTTATCCAGAGCGACTTACAAATTGGTGCAGTCACCTTATGATAGCCAGTGGGATAACCACTTTACAATTTTATTTTTTTATCTGTCAATGATGTCGTGTCCATATACAATTGGGACCTGCAGACCCGTCTCTTATCTTCCGTGTCTACAGTGTTGGGAATGCAGCCGCCACTCCCACCGGATGAAGTCAGAGAGCTGGTGTGTTCCTGTCTTCACAGGGACCCAGTAGCCGCTGACCTGAGATGCAGCCTGTTTGTGGCCGCTGCTCAGAGCTACAGGAGGGACTCAGTGCTCAGACCCTACCCCGCCAGATACATCAGAGACACAGACACCAAGGAGTTCGATGAGCTGGTGAGGAATCAGACAGGACAGAAAACACTGATATTTTCCCCATATCAAAAGATTATTTATTTATTTATTTTATTTTACCTTTATTTAACTAGGCAAGTCAGTTAAGAACAAATTCTTATTTACAATGACGGCCTTCAATGTTTGACTTATAATTCAAAACTTCAGATGTAGCCTTTCTGCTAGAATTCAAACACATTATTCAGCATCACTGTGTACCATACCCGTCCAGTTGGTGCTGCAATGTACTGTAATCAATACTGTACTGTGTTGATGTAGCCGCGTCTCCTGGGTTATAAACTGCTCTCGTGTTCCTCCCAGCTGTCAGATGTGAGCAGTTTGCCTGGTGTGAGGGAGTTGGTGAGACTGAGACCTGGTGAAGCAGACCATCATCTGGCTCTCACACACTGGCTTCTCTCCTCCAAGAGCTTCGCTGTGAAGACACTGCAGAAAGACGAGGTAAAGGCAATGTCAATAACATGATCACCTCTCTATCAACATTCTCTGTTTGTTGGATGTTCCTGCCGGTTTAGAATTACCATCTTTACCCAACACCTAACAATCACGTCAAGGGGTTTGGATCTCTTGGCGTAACAGCTAAGTTATTCTGCTGACAGTTGCTGGTCCCGGGTTCGAGTCCTGGCCAGGGATTGGCCCTTGAATTGACTGCAAATATTTGATGTCCCTGTTCCCCTTCTCCTCTGCTGCCCCCCACCAGTATGTCAAGCTCTGTAACCTGACAGAGATCTCTGCTGCCCCCCACCAGTATGTCAAGCTCTGTAACCTGACAGAGATCTCTGCTGCCCCCCACCAGTATGTCAAGCTCTATAACCTGACAGAGATCTCTGCTGCCCCCCACCAGTATGTCAAGCTCTGTAACCTGAAGGAGATCTCTGCTGCCCCCCACCAGTATGTCAAGCTCTATAACCTGACAGAGATCTCTGCTGCCCCCCACCAGTATGTCAAGCTCTGTAACCTGACAGAGATCTCTGCTGCCCCCCACCAGTATGTCAAGCTCTATAACCTGACAGAGATCTCTGCTGCCCCCCACCAGTATGTCAAGCTCTGTAACCTGACAGAGATCTCTGCTGCCCCCCACCAGTATGTCAAGCTCTGTAACCTGACAGAGATCTCTGCTGCCCCCCACCAGTATGTCAAGCTCTGTAACCTGACAGAGATCTCTGCTGCCCCCCACCAGTATGTCAAGCTCTGTAACCTGACGGAGAGTGAGGGGATCTCTACGCCGGTCCCAGACTTCCTGTTTGAGCTGGAGTACTGTGACCAGATGAACGTTAAGTTTGAGAAGACACGGGCGGGACGCGACCTCTTGTATGCATTCCACGGCAGCCGACTGGAGAACTTTCATTCTATCATCCACAACGGACTACACTGCCACCTCAACAAGGTCAGTGCAGAAATATGGCAGCCCCACCAGGCCTGTTATGATGATGATGATCCTTTTTATTTATTTGGTTCCCAGTAGCCCTACTTGAATATATATTTTCAGATTGATGGTTGATTGATATGTTCACGGATAATTGTTATGTTGAGTCAATAGCCAATATTAGCTACAAAATAAATGGACTTGTATTGATGAAGTTGCAGAGTAAAAAAATTTTTTTACCCACAGACGTCGTTGTTCGGAGAGGGCACCTACCTCACCAGTGACCTCAGCATGGCGGTCCTCTACAGTCCCCATGGCAACGGTTGGCGTGACAGTCTCCTGGGACCATTGCTAAGCTGTGTCGCCATGTGTGAGGTCATCGACCACCCAGACGTGAAGTGCCAGGTGAAGAGGAAAGGTACATTTTCACAACATCTAGGATACTTTATAACAGATGAGTGGAGACTCAGTACAGGCAGTGGTGGATACGCCTCTCCTCTGAGTCTGGTTCCTCTCAAGGTTTCTTTCTTCTAGGGAGTTTTCTCCTTTTTCATCTGCTTGCTCTTAGGGGTTGAGGCCTGGGTTACTGTAATGCACTTTTTGATGTGAAAAGGGCTTTTTGATTAATTTGATTGATTGATGGACAATGCTACAGAAATGTAAACAATGGCTACCTCCTAAACCCTGTCAATAATCATTTCCCTAAATCTGTTTCAGACTCCGAGACCATTGACCGGCAGCGATCCAGAGCCAGGAACAGCGAAGGAGGAGAGGTCCCTCAGAAGTACTTTGTGGTCACCAACAATCAGCTGCTCCGAGTCAAGTACCTGCTAGTGTACTCTCAGAGAAGACATCTGTCCAGGTGAGTCACTCACTACCTGTATGGACGGAGCACTACTATTAAATGCTAACACGTCTTTGACAAACGGCTAATTAAATGCTAACACGTCTTTGACAAACGGCTAACTGGATGTACAAATGCGGTCAAATATATTGGTACCCTTGCACTTTATAATCGAGCAGAATGTTCTGTTTTTTTCTTTTCAAAACTGGTTTAATGGCAATGTCTACCCTGTAGGCACCTGCAACTTACCACAGGTGAGATTGGTTACACAGTGAACAAGAATCATTGCCTCCAACAAAAATAATTTAGAATAATTTAGTCCAGGCCATTTTTTTTATTTGAAGTAAAACAATCTCAATTTCACTTAGATTTGTTAGTTTTTTTTGGTCCTGTGCAGTTACAAATCAAACAACGTAAACACAACGTTTTTTCAACATCAAGTGATTTTATAAGAAATAGTATGTATGCACGCATGACTGTAAGTCGCTTTGGATAAAAGCGTCTGCTAAATGGCATTATTATTATTATTATTATTATTTAAATAGTGAATCATGCAAGGGGTGCCAATATATTTTACCATCTGTATTATCTTTGCTGCCCTCTAGTGGTGTCTTTGTGTGTTGCCAGTACATTGGGAAAAGGAGGAACTTTCCAGCATGGCGTCAGCAGATGCTTCAGATTTTCATTGCCGTTCCAACTCCTATATGCGTTTTTACTTCTTCTGTAGAGCAGATGTAGTCTTTTGACTTGTGTGATGTGATTGTAATGTGATTTTTTTTGGTGACGTGTTTCCAGACATTCCCGGGGCAGATCGTGGCCGGTCAGACATCACTTTGCCATCATGATGAGTCTGTACCTGCTGCTACTCATCTTCATCGGTGCCTTCAACTCCACCACGTTCCTCTCCTTCTGGAACCGGCTCTTCCGGTGATGTCACAACCACAGGACACACACACACACACACACTCTTCTCGGGGGACGTCACAATCAAATCACTGGACCACACTCTTTCCGTGACATCACAGGACATGCTCTTCTGTTGACATCACAGGACGGCCATGACACTTTTCCACTGCAGCCCCAGTTTGTCTAGCCTGAGGCTCTCTGGTGTTTTACTGGGGGGATAGTTTCCTATCCGTCCCTTGCGTTTACCCTAAGGCACATGTGTGAAACTCATTCCACGGAGGGCCGAGTGTCTGCGGTTTTATTGCTCCTACCCTTATAGTTGATTGATGAATTAAGGTCACTGATTAGTAAATAACTCCCCTCACCTGATTGTCGAGGTCTTAATTGAAAGGGAAAAAAACCCACAGACAGTAGGCCCTCCATGACATGAGTTTGACGCCACTGCACTTAGGACTTGGGAAGAGCAGTGTGTCAAGTTCAACAACCTCTGAATATTCAACAGTTTCTTATGAGAAGGAATAGTTCATCGAGACATGGACCATTCTTCTCATTCATAGTGCCTTCCCTAACACAGAGACAGACGGAAAGACAGACAGACAGACAGGAGACACGGGACAGGACAGGAGACACAGGAGACAGGCAGACAGACAGGACAGGAGACGGACAACGGACAGGAGACAGCCAGACAGGACAGGACAGGAGACACAGGACAGGACAGGAGACAGGCAGACAGACAGGACAGGAGACGGACAACGGACAGGAGACGGACAACGGACAGGAGACAGACAGCCAGACAGGACAGGACAGGAGACACAGGAGACAGACAGCCAGACAGGACAGCAGACAGCCAGACAGGACAGGACAGGAGACAGACAGGACAGGAGACGGACAACGGACAGGACAGCAGACAGCCAGACAGGACAGCAGACAGCCAGACAGGACAGGAGACGGACAACGGACAGGACAGCAGACAGCCAGACAGGACAGGAGACAGCCAGACAGGACAGCAGACGTGGGAAAATAGAACAAACATACTATTGCACCTTAACACTGTTTCCCTTTCATGTTTTTCCATCTCCCATCCCTTAGTATGCATGGTTATAACACCCTAATGCTGTTTTCACATGGTTATTACAACTCTATGGTTATAATAATAATAATAATATAATAACATGCCATTTAGCAGACACTTTTATCCAAAGCGACTTACAGTCATGTGTGCATACATTTTTACGTATGGGTGGTCCCGGGGATCGAACCCACTACCCTGGCGTTACAAGCGCCATGCTCTACCAACTAAGGCTGTTTTCACATTGAAGGAGACCATGCTTTGAGTCATTTCCTGTTGTTGAAAGGAAACTTTATCATGGACTACAATTGTGCAATGTGGCTGTACAACAATGTGACCCCGCAATGGCAAACCTATAGACAAACAGGATACCGTTTCCTGTGTGGACAGGCACTGTCTTCCCGACCAAACGGATGCTTAAAGGTTGCCACGAGCAACACCGCACATATTGAGATGAGCGAGATTTTTTGACTTCGCTCTCACACAGTGACGCACAGTATCTGCGCGCGCGCACGGGTTTGCTTCATGCTGATAAAGCGCGGTCGCCACGAGACCAAAGCATGGGAGAAGTTGAGCCTAGCGCTTCAACGCTCTTACTGGTTGCGGAAATTGACCCACGATGCTGTTTACTTCCTCCATCTACGTAATAACGTCGACCTTTTTAACGTCACTTTAACAAACAGGTTGGAGGTCAATTTTCAGGACACCGAGTAACAGTAATAATTCAAAATTTCCCTCATGAATATGTGATTTTGCAGACGCTTTTATCCAAAGAGGCTTACAGTGATGCGTGCATACATTTTAACCTATGGGTGGTCCCGGGGATCGAACCCCACTACCCTGGCGTTGCAAGCACCATGCTCTACCAGCATAGCTACAGGGGACCATTGTAAAGGATAGGAATGTAGGTGTACTTCCTAAATTAACTGGTCTTGAAATGGAATTGACCCTGCTAAAAAAATATACACAGTGCATTTGGAAAAATATTCAGACCCCTTGACTTTTTCCACATTTTGTTACGTTACAGCCTTTTTCTAAAATTGATAAAAATTGTTTTTTTAAAAGGTTTTTAGACATTTTTCCGAGATTATCATTTTTTTTCATTTTTTTTTTTATAATAAGTAATTCAGACCACTTTGTTGCAGCACCTTTTGGCAGCGATTACAGCTTCAAGTCTTTTTGGGTATGACTCTACAAGCTTGGCACACCAGTATTTGAGGGTTTCTCACATTCTTCTCTGCAGATCCTCTCAAGCTTGGATGGGGAGCGTCGCTGCACAGCTATTTTCAGGTCTCTCCAGAGATGTCCGATCTGGTTCAAGTTCGGGCTCTGAATGTCCTCCTGCGTTGTCTTGGCTGTGTGTTTAGGGTCGTTGTCCTGTTAGAAGGTGAACCTTCGCCCCAGTGTGAGTTCCTGAGCGCTCTGGAGCAGGTTTTCATCAAGAATCTCTCTGTACTTTGCTCCTTTCATCTTTCCCTCGATCCTGACTAGTCTCCCAGTCCCTGCCGCTGAAAAACATTCCCACAGCATGATGCTGCCACCACCATGCTTCACCGTAGGGATGGTGCCAGGTTTCCTCCAGACTTGACACTTGGCATTCAGGCCAAAGAGTTTAATCTTGGTTTAATCAGACCAGAGAATCTTGTTTCTCATGGTCTGAGAGGCCTTTAGGTGCCTTTTGGCAAACTCCAAGCGGGCTGTCAATGATCTGTTACTGAGGAGTGGCTTCCGTCTGGCCAATCTACCATAAAGGCCTGATTGGTGGAGTGCTGCAGAGATGGTTGTCCTTCTGGAAGGTTCTCCCATCTCCACAGAGGAACTCTGGAGCTCTGTCAGAGTGACCATCGGGTTCATGGACATCTCCGTGACCAAGGCTCTTCTCCCCCGATTGCTCAGTTTGGCCAGGTTGGCCAGCTCTAGGAAGAGTCTTGGTAGTTCCAAACTTATTCCATTTAAGAATGATGGAGGCCACTGTGTTCTTGGGAACCTTCAATGCTGCAGACATTTTTTGGTACCCTTCCCCAGATCTGTGCATCAACACAATCCTGTCCTTCGACATCATGGCTTGGTTTTTGCTCTGACATGCAGTCAACTGTGGGACTTTATGGAGACAGGTGTGTGCCTTTCCAAATCACGTCCAATCAATTGCATTTACCACAGGTGGACTCCAATCAAGTTGTAGAAACATCTCAAGGATTGACCAATGGAAACAGGATGCAGCTGAGCTCAATTTCAAGTCTCATAGCAAAGGGTCTGAATACTTATGTAAATAAGGTCTTTTTTATTTATTTTTATACATTAGCAAAAATGTCTAAACCTGTTTTCGCTTTGTCATTATGGGGTATTGTCTGTAGATTGATTAGGGAGGGAAAAATAATTGTATCCATTTTAGAATACGGCTGTAATGTAACAAAATGTGGAAAAGGGGAAGGGGTCTGAATACTTTCCGAATACACTGTATACAGTTAAATTGATTAAATTAATTAAATTGTGCTCAGTTTTTTATTTTATTGTTGCACAACTACTTACCTTTTGCCTTACGCTTAGCGAATAACAAATACTGCTAAGATTGTTGCTGTCATCAGTAATCACTGCTATATAGAATTCTTCTGGGTCGTATTCATTAGTGTACACAGAAGCAAAATGTAGCAAAAAAAGGATTCCTGCCAATGTAGTCCTTGTATCTGTACATGATCTTGGTGGGCAACTTCTTTGTCTAGAGGACTTTCCACGGTTGTTTTTATAACGGTTTGAGTTAGTATATGCTTTGCTGTTGTACTTTTATAATGAGAAATCACATATATGTATGTGTGTATGTGTGTATGTATGTATGTATATATATCTATATATATATATATATATATATATATATATATGTATATGTATATGTGTGTGTGTGTGTGTGTGTGGGTATTTAACCACTTGAATTCGTCAAGAGGACCCTAATTCTTGAAGACATGTTATATATTCCTTATATTTAATTGTTATAAGATATTCCCAAAACAATCACATCACATTAAATGTGCTTTTGTATCGCTTATGACATTTAAATTTCTTACAGTTGATCTTGATCGTAACAAATATATTTTGTTTTCTTTCCCTTTTTTGAGACAAACTTTAATTCAAGTGGATTATAGCTGCAACATATTTCGCTTACAGTGCTTTCTAAAGAAAGAAAAGGGCTGAAATATCGCATCTCAACAGAAAAGGGCTTGAAATATCGCATCTCAACAGAAAAGGGCTTGAAATATCACATCTCAACAGCACTTGACAAGCTATACAAGATTAGACAAAAGGCTTTTTCTCTTAAACTCAAAGGATTTGAGGTTGGAGTATTCAGATATTACTAAGTATAAAAAAATAGGAAATAGTACTGTCAGTGACCGTGGCCTGTAATGAAAACGGACTGGTTGGTTGGGTGATACACTACTTGGCAAAAGTATGTGGACACCTGCTCGTCGAACATCTCATTCCAAAATCATGGGCATTCATATGGAGTTGGTCCCCCCTTTGCTGCTACAACAGCCTTCAATCTACTGCGAAGGCTTTCCACTAGATGTGGAACATTGCTACAGGGACTTGCTTCCATTCAGCCACAAGAGCATTTGTGAGGTCGGGCACTGATGTTGGGTGATTCGGCCTGGCTCGCAGTCGGTGTTCCAATTCATCCCAAAGGTGTTCGATGGGATTGAGGTCAGGGCTCTGTGCAGGCCAGTCAAGTTATTCCACACCGATCTGGACAAACCATTTCTGTATGGACCTCGCTTTGTGCACCGGGGCATTATCATGCTGAAACAGAAAAGGGCCTTCCCCAAACTGTTGCCACAAAGTTGAAAGCGCAGACTCTTCATTGTATGCTGTAGCGTTAAGATTTCCCTTCATTGGAACTAAGGGGCCTAGCCCGAACCATGAAAAACAGCCACAGACCATTATTCCTCCACCAAACTTTACAGTTGGCATTATGCATTCGGGCAGGTAAGGTTCTCCTGGCATCCGCCAAACCCAGATTCGTCCGTCGGACTGCCAGAGGGTGAAGCGTGATTCATCACTCCAGAGAATGCGTTTCCACTGCTCCAGAGTCCAATGGCGGCGAGCTTTACACCACTCCAGCCGATGCTTGGAATTGCGCATGGTGATCTTAGGCTTGTGTGCGGTTGCTCGGCCATGGAAACCCATTTCATGAAGCTCCCGACGAACAGTTATTGTGCTGACATTGCTTCGAGAGGCAGTTTGGAACTTGGTAGTGAGTGTTGCAACCGAGGACAGATTCAGCACCGCTTCAGCACTCGCTGGTCCCGTTCTGTGACCTTGTGTGGCCTACCACTTTGCGGCTGAGCCGTTGTTGCTCCTAGATGTTTCCACTTTACAATAACAGCACTTACAGTTGACCGGGGCAGCTCTAGCAGGGCAGAAATTTGACGAACTGACTTGTTGGAAAGGTGGCATCCCTATGACGGTGCCACGTTGAAAGTCACTGAGCTCTTCAGTACGGGCCATTCTACTGTCAATGCTTGTCTATGGAGATTGCATGGCTGTGTGCTTGATTTTATACACCTGTCAGCAACGGGTGTGGCTGAAATGGCCGAATCCACTAATTTGAATGTAGGTCCACATATTTTTGAATATATAGTGTATGTCTATATGGGTGTTGTCGTGTGTTGAGATGGGGGTGTTATCCTGTGGAGAGATGATTTGTGAGATGGGGACGTTATCCTGTGTAGAGATGAGAAGAACCATAAAAGGTTGTTTGATGTATAACTTCCAGTTCTGAGTCTCATTGGTCTGTGTGTTCCTCCGTATTGTAACTTTATCATGCTGCCTGTCAGTGGGAATGCTTTATGACACCTGGATCCCTGAAGGTCCATTCTTATCAACAGGACCAATATACGGGCTTGATAACAGTGGCGGCTAGCTTTGTTCACCGAGGAGTCTGCCATACACAAACTATTATGTAAATAAGTCACTGCCTGGTCTGTCCCTGTCCAGATAACACAAGGCTGTCCCTGTCAATGTTATTGGATAGAAGAAGAAAAACTAGTTTAGTCAGTAAGGATGGATTTACGTAAATTAACATGCTTTTGAATCATAGTATATTGAAATCTGTAGTGCAATCCTGCATCAATAGTTTACTTACAAACTGAAAACATTTTGCAAAGGGTCAGTTTGCAAAAAGCAATTTGTAGCTTAGCATTTTATGACTTAAAACAATTATATTTCTCAACTGATATATGAATCAATAAGTACAATATGTTCCCTCGGACCAGATTTATAAAACATTTTCATTAGAACAAAGTTGGTTCCAGAAGAAAGTTAATAAAAACATAAACACCAAATCACTTATCTGTCAATTTCATTATTTTTCATTTATCCAACCTTGATGTACTTTTTGTGCCCTACATTCCCTCTGGAAAATAACAGATGCAAAGTTTAAAATTCATCCCTAAACATCCAAACTAGGTGGTTTATCAGATCTGACAATGTTTTTATTAATTGATACCTTTTGAAACTACAAATTGTACGGAGAAGCAGACCACATCCTCTTGGTCTTTATCACAGTCCTAAGTGGTGTTTCAGAAGCCTATGATTGTAACTGAAGGTATCAAACATGTCTGTGGAATGACTGAAAACTGCTCAATGAAGACCTACTGTGAAAAAATGACCACGTGTACTTGTCAATTCGTTTCTTTTTCTTGATTAACTATTTCTTCACCAGAACCCACTTTTATATGAACCAGACAGACGTCTGAAGGACGTCCAGAGAACAACCAGGCTATTGTTGGGCCGGGCAGTAGTTCTGTCTTCTAGAGAACAACCAGGCTATTGTTGGGCCGGGCAGTAGTTCTGTCTTCTAGAGAACAACCAGGCTATTGTTGGGGCCGGGCAGTAGTTCTGTCTTCTAGAGAACAACCAGCTATTGTTGGGCCGGGCAGTAGTTCTGTCTTCTAGAGAACAACCAGGCTATTGTTGGGCCGGGCAGTAGTTCTGTCTTCTAGAGAACAACCAGGCTATTGTTGGGCCGGGCAGTAGTTCTGTCTTCTAGAGAACAACCAGGCTATTGTTGGGCCGGGCAGTAGTTCTGTCTTCTACTGACTGTTATTGCAGGCTCATAAACACCCAGTTATTCAGTAACCTCTATGCAGATGTACAGTGCTTTCAAAAAGTGTTCACACCCCTTGATATTTTCCACATTTTGTTATGTTACAGCGTGAATAAAATTTTAAAAAAAATTATATATATATATAATTGTCACTGGCCTACACACAATACTTTATTTTACTTCTGCTCTTTTTTTCTCAACACTTTTTTTGTTGTTGTTTTATTCTTACTTTTTTTGTTTAAAATAAATGCACTGTTGGTTAAGGGCTGTAAGTAAGCATTTCACTGTAATGTCTGCACCTGTTGTATTCGGCGCATGTGACCAATAAAATTTGATTTGATTTGGAATACCCCATAATGTCAAAGTGGAATTATGTTTTTAGACATTTTTACAAATTCATTAAAAATGAAAAGCTGAAATGTCTTGAGTCAATAAGTATTCAATAGTATTTGTTATGGCAAGCCTAAATAAGTTCAGGAGTAAACATGTGCTTGACAAGTCACATAAGTTGCATGGACTCACTCTTATGTGCAATAATAACATGATTTTTTTATGACTACCTATAATATGATTCGTGGTCCTCTGTAGCTCAGCTGGTAGAGCACGGCGCTTGTAACGCCAAGGTAGTGGGTTCGATCCCCGGGACCACCCATACACAAAAAAAAATGTATGCACGCACGACTGTAAGTCGCTTTGGATAAAAGCGTCTGCTAAATGGCATATTATTTATTATGACTACCTCATCTCTGTACCCCACACATACAATTATCTGTAAGGTCCCTCAGTCGAGCAGGGAATTTCAAACACAATTTCAACCACAAAGACCAGGGAGGTTTTCCAATGCCTCACAAAGAAGGGCTCCTATTGGTAGATGGGTAAAAAATAGAAAAGTAGACATTGAATATCCCTTTGAGCATGGTGCTGTTATTAATTACACTGTGGATGGTGCATCAATACACCCAGTCACTACAAAGATACAGGCGTCCTTCCTAACTCAGTTGCCGGATAGGAAGGAAACCGCTCAGGGATTTCACCATGAGGCCAATGGTGATTTTAAATTCAGTTACAGAGTTTAATGGCTGTGATAGAAGAAAACGGAGGATGGATCAACAACATTGTAGTTACTCCACAATACTAACTTATTTGATAGAGTGAAAAAAAAGGAAGCCTGTACAGAATACAAATATTCCAAAACATGCATCCTGTTTGCAACAAGGCACCAAAGTAATACTGCAAGAAAATGTGGCAAAGCAATTCACTTTTGGTCCTGAAAACAAAGTGTTATGTTTGGGGCAAATCCCACCACTCTCCATATTTTAAAGCATAGTGGTGGCTGCATTATGTTATGGGTATGCTTGTAATCATCAAGGACTGGGGAGTTTTTCAGGAATAAAAAAGAAACAGAATGGAACTAAGCACAGGCAAAATCCTAGAGGAAAACCTGGTTCAGTCTGCTTTCCACCAGACACTGGGAGATGAATTCACCTTTCAGCAGGACAATAACCTAAAACACAAGGCCAAATCTTCACTGAAGTTGCTTACCAAGAAGACAGTGAGTGTTCCTGAGTGGCCGAGTTACAGTTTTGACTTAAATCTACTTGACAATCTATGGCAAGACCTGAAAATGATTGTATAGCAATGATCAACAACCAATTTGACAGAGCTTGAAGAATTTTGAAAAGAATAATGGGCAAAAATGTTGCACAATCCAGGTGTGGAAAGCTCTTAGAGACTTACCCAGAAATACTTTCTGTTATTGCTGCCAAATTTGCTTCTACAAAAAGTATTGACTCAGGGGTGTAGATACTTACGTCAATTAAATATTTATGTATTTCATTTTCAATACATTTGCAAAAATGTCTAAAAACATGTTTTCACTTTGTCATTATGGGGTGTTGTGTGTAGATGGATGAGACATTTTATTTCAAATTCATTTTGAATTCAGGTCTGTAACACAACAAAATGTGGAACATGTCAACGGGTATGAATAGTTTCTGAAGGCGCTGTTTAAAACTGTCTCAGAAGGACACTGCTTGTCAGAGGGGATTAGAGTATTGCTCTGTCTTAGTTCACTCCCTCATCGGTCAATAATCAATTCAAACCGAGCATGTACTCAGAAAGATTGGATACTCAGATTTGTGTTGTTATTGTACCCCCAAAAAAACTGTAACATATTTGATCCACTACATTAAACAACTTGGGGGTATATAAGGACACGTCGTAATTTACAAAATATAATTTTTTATTCACAAAATTCAATATGCAGTCAATTTATCACATTCAAAAATGTACACAGGCAATGTGTGCACCACAAAATCTGATTATTGTCAAGTCATTCAAGTAATGTGTATTTGAAAATAGCTGCCAGTCAGTATCTGTAACATACTGTATCAGTGGACATTTAGTTTCTTCTCAAAGAATCAGTTCACAGCATTTGGACATCCAGGCACCAAGCACACAAAATACCCCTCCGCATTACTCTGGTGAGGAAAAAGATATACACAATTCAAAAGGTGAAGAAATGTATTATTCCAAAACAAGGCTGTGAATGTTCAATCCATTATAAGAAATATAAAGCATTTACAACTGCTACCCTGATGTAGATGCCACCATGAAAATGCTGTCATACAGTTAGAATTCTGGGTATGATTAGTCCGTTCGAAAACTTGGCATGCTGCAGCTCACCTGTAGGTTGTGGTGGCAGACGGGGAGGTTGTGGCGGCGGTGGGGCTCGGCCAGGTGGTTGTGAACACACCTCCCAAAGCGGTGCAGGCAGGCAGGGTCTGAAGGGGCACAGGTCTGGGGGCAGGAGGCTGAGGAAGGGGGTCTCAGGACCAGACAGCTGAAGCATGACGTGTGCTGGCAGGTACCATGACACTCCTGCTTCTCCAGGGACACTGACCTGCCGCAGGGAGAGAGAGAGTAAACCATAGAGCTTGTAAAGGACATGAAAAGGGTAGAACATGGGAGGCAAGTGAGGAGAGTAAAAGGAGTTTGTGTGGGAACTGAGAGGTAGAGTTGGGGGGGGTCAATTAAAATTAAAATTCTGACAGATTTAATAGAATTGACCCCAACTTTTGAGAATTATTCTTAAAGTGTTTCCAGAACAGGAAAACAGGGGAGGGAGAGAGGGAGAGAGGGAATGGACTGTGGGTTCGGACTGAGATGTCCCAGTCCAGATATATTCACCCACCTGGCAGAGCACACCTCATTAGGATTGGCCTGACAGTACTCCCAGGTGCATTCTGGGCGACAGGACTCCACATCCAGGGTCTCCAGCACTGCCAGGAAAAAAACAGCTTATGAGACAAAGGAAGGTAAACAACCTAATCCATACATTACTATTCATGCCAAGCTCGTAAAACTACTACTACTACTAGTAGTGTGTAAAACAATGAAAGGTGACCACTATGAGCATCCATCCTATATAGAGCGATCTTTAGTGGTCAGACTTTGCTATCTTTCTGTGATGTCAGATATATTAAATAGGAGAATCTACAACAGTTGAATCCTTTAACTATACAGACGATAGTAGCAGGTAGGATCATTCATTTCACCATGAATTCAGATAACAGGTAGGACGTTTAATTTCACCATGAGTCTAGACAACAGGTAGGACCATTTATTTCACCATGAGTCTAGACAACAGGTAGGACCATTTATTTCACCATGAGTCTAGATAACAGGTGTAATTATGTGTTAACGGTTAACAGGAGAAAGTGTCTTTGATTCAAAGGATTCCTTAACCGACACTATCGCTTTTCACAGCTCGTAAAATAAGAATAGCAATAATCACGGCCAATTTCTGGTGCGTACGTCTTCACAGCTCAATTGATTACATGTCAGGTATCAAATGCACATTGTATTACCTGATTTAGTATTGCATTAAAAACAACATTTGCATAATTTAATGATTCATTACACGTCAGCCACCGTGTATGAGCAGCAGGCCGTGATTCTGAAGCACAGTTGCAGCGCTTCTCATTCAAAACCAATGAGATTTTATCATGCATCATGGATAGTTCAGCAGGGGCGCAACTTTGGTTTTTAGAAGTGTGTGGGGGGGGGACATGTAAAAAAAAATAATAATCCAGTCGGATAAACGCTCCAAACAGCCTACCCGACCGCTCGGAGGTGTCCGCATGGTCCTAAAGCACACCATTGCCTCGTTTTGTATCACACTCCAATTTTAAAATTGGGGTGGGGGGGGGGACAAAAATCCCCCGTCCCCAGTGAAAGTTGCGCCCCTGCAGTGACACTGTTCTATCATATAGGTCCAAGGACATTCTCCTCCTTGATTTCACCACAGTGCACTCTTCTTATAGTGAATGCGGTTACTGTAATCAACCCACTTCTAGTGACCAAATTGTCCTGCACAGATGTGATCACCATAAGATGAGTGCATTGTATAACATGGCGGCGGGGGACTGTTGTCCGTCAGTGTATCCTACCTGCTTTGCAGATCCCTTTACGCTCCTCTGCGTCTGGTCTTCCCTCAGCAGCCGAGACAGAGTCCTGGTAGACACACAGCAGCGCCTCGTCACACTTCCCCAGGTAGTCCCAGGTCCCCCCGCAGCTCTCCCCAGCGGTCCTGGCGCAGGCCGGGCAGCAGCCGCACACCCCCGTGGTCAGGCCGCCCTTACACTGGAGCTTCAGGGCCCGGCGGTGGGTGCAGTGGATCCTGTCGCAGGGCGGGCAGTGGAGGGACTGGAGGGTCTGGGACTGGGCCACGGATCGGGGTGTGGTCTCCGACCCTGACACCCCTACTGCTGCTGCTACTGCTACCAACACCCACATCTGACAACGACCGATGATCATTCTGACGGTGTCGTGTGTGAGGTGAGAGGACACGGTGAGGACCTTTTTATATGGTCGTCGTTGTGTTTACTCCACCAGCAACACCTTGGCAGTTTACTAGGCACCACCTCTCCACCCCCAGCGGCAGCCAATGGATGGAGGGGGGGGGGGGGGGTATAACAGTAAGGGTGCCGTGTTACCCATCAACCCCCCACTATCTTTACCATCTCCTTTGTTGTTGTTTGTTCTTTCCAAATAAATCTTTCTTTCGGAGTGATTCTGTAGTAGATAAGCTCGTTCCAGGTCAGGTGTAGAAGACTCTTACAAAGACCCTTTGTAATACAAGTCACATGACGACAACCGAGCGGGGCAATTCAGTGGGATCAGACAGTCACCTTCTCGCAAGGCCAAAAGGACAAGATTAGGACATTGGCAGGTTATCTGAACAACCCTCTGGGCTTTCTAAAAGTACGGAGGCCCGTAATAAATGTCTAGCGAGTCGTGTGTCTAAAAATGAATAGGTACACAATGTCTCTGAGGTCAGACGCTTGACCCTTGACCTGATATCAATCAACTGCCGCTCTGCTGCAAGAATGATGAAATATCACAGCTGAGCACTATTATGGCAGCAAAAAGTTTAAGGAAGAGTCTGATGAAGGAGATTAACTCCCTTACTTCAATGGAAATAAACGGTTTATTGACGTTAAGGTAATTAGTAACTCGTTCACCAGACTCTTCCCATTATGCTCTGTGCACAATTAGCAGACCAACCCACAAAATAACATTAAAATATCTCACAAATTCAAAAACGCTTAAAAAAAATAAGCAACATAATTGTAACAATTAATTTCTTAAATTGAGTGCATAAAAAAAAATCCACTGCAGTCTTTAATATAATGCTCCTATGTCCAATGCCAATCCAGATAAATCAAATCAAAATCAAATCAAATTTTATTGGCCACATGCGCCGAATACAACAGGTGCAGACATTACAGTGAAATGCTTACTTACAGCCCTTAACCAACAGTGCATTTATTTTTAACAAAAAAGTAAAAATAAAACAACAACAAAAAAAGTATTGAGAAAAAAGAGCAGAAGTAAAATAAAATAACAGTAGGGAGGCTATATATACAGGGGGGTACTGGTGCAGAGTCAATGTGCGGGGGCACCGGCTAGTTGAGGTAGTTGAGGTAATATGTACATGTGGGTAGAGTTAAAGTGACTATGCATAAATAATTAACAGAGTAGCAGCAGCGTAAAAGGATGGGGTGGGGGGGGCAGTGCAAATAGTCCGGGTAGCCATGATTAGCTGTTCAGGAGTCTTATGGCTTGGGGGTAGAAGCTGTTGAGAAGTCTTTTGGACCTAGACTTGGCACTCCGGTACCGCTTGCCGTGCGGAAGCAGAGAGAACAGTCTATGACTAGGGTGGCTGGAGTCTTTGACAATTTTGAGGGCCTTCCTCTGACACCGCCTGGTATAGAGGTCCTGGATGGCAGGAAGCTTGGCCCCAGTGATGTACTGGGCCGTACGCACTACCCTCTGTAGTGCCTTGCGGTCGGAGGCCAAGCAGTTGCCATACCAGGCGGTGATGCAACCAGTCAGGATGCTCTCGATGGTGCAGCTGTAGAATATTTTGAGGATCTGAGGACCCATGCCAAATCTTTTCAGTCTCCTGAGGGGGAATAGGCTTTGTCGTGCCCTCTTCACAACTGTCTTGGTGTGTTTGGACCATGATAGTTCGTTGGTGATGTGGACACCAAGGAACTTGAAGCTCTCAACCTGTTCCACTACAGCCCCGTCGATGAGAATGGGGGCGTGCTCAGTCCTATTTTTTTTCCTGTAGTCCACAATCATCTCCTTTGTCTTGGTCACGTTGAGGGAGAGGTTGTTGTCCTGGCACCACACGGCCAGGTCTCTGACCTCCTCCCTATAGGCTGTCTCATCGTTGTCGGTGATCAGGCCTACCACTGTTGTGTCGTCGGCAAACTTAATGATGGTGTTGGAGTCGTGCCTGGCCATGCAGTCATGGGTGAACAGGGAGTACAGGAGGGGACTGAGCACGCACCGCTGAGGGGCCCCCCGTGTTGAGGATCAGTGTGGCAGATGTGTTGTTACCTACCCTTACCACCTGGGGGCGGCCCGTCAGGAAGTCCAGGATCCAGTTGCAGAGGGAGGTGTTTAGTCCCAGGATCCTTAGCTTAGTGATGAGCTTTGAGGGCACTATGGTGTTGAATGCTGAGCTGTAGTCAATGAATGGCATTCTCAGATAATGTTGTGTTGTGAAAAAGAAAATAATGAATATTACAGTACAACCTTCTTCCCTTTACATTTATTCCATTCATAACAAGCGGTTTCTCACTTTACTTGATACAAGCCAGGGCGGCAGGTAGCTTAGTGGTTAAGAGCGTTGTGCCAGTAACCGAAAGGTCGCTGGTTCTAATCCCCGAGCCGACTAGGTGAAAAATCTGTCGATGTGCCCTTGAGCAAGGCACTTCACCCTAATTGCTCTGGATAAGAGCGTCTGCTAAATGACCAATTTATTATTTTATTTTAATTTTAATAGTTTTGGCTGTGTGCTTAGGGTTGTTGTCCTGTTGGAAGGTGAACCTTCGCCCCAATGTGAGGTCCTGAGCGCTCTGGAGCAGGTTTTCATCAAGGATCTCTCTTTACTCTGCTCCTTTCATCTTTCCCTCGATCCTAACTAGTCTCCCAGTACATGCCGCCGAAAAACATCCCCACAGGTTTCCTCCAGACGTGACGGTTGGCATTCAGGCCAAAGAGTACAATCTTGGTTTCATCAGACCAGAGAATCTTGTTTCTCATGGTCTGAGAGTCTTTTAGGTGCCTTTTGGCAAACTCCAAGCGGGCTGTCATGTGTCTTTTACTGAGGAGTGGCTTCCGTCTGGACAATCTACCATGAAGGCCTGATTGGTGGAGTGCCGCAGAGATGGTTGTCCTTCTGGAAGGTTCTCCCTTCTCCACAGAGGAACTCTGGAGCTCTGTCAGAGTGACAATCGGGTTCTTAGTCACCTCCCTGACCAAGCCCCTTCTCCCCCGATTGCTCAGTTTGGCCGGGCGGCCAGCTCTAGGAAGAGTCTTGATGGTTCCAAACTTCTTCCATTTAAGAATGATGGCAGCCACTGTGTTCTTCGGGACCTTCAATGCTGCAGAATTTTTTTGGTACCCTTCCCCAGATCTGTGCCTCGACATAATCCTGTCTCTGAGCTCTACTGACAATTCCTTTGACCTCATGGCTTGGTATTTGCTCTGACATGCACTGTCAACTGTGGGACCTTATATAGACAGGTGTGTGCCTTTCCAAATCATGTCCAATCAATTGAATTTACCACAGGTGGACTCCAATCAAGTTGTAGAAACATCAAGGATGATCAATGGAAACAGGATGCACCTGAACTCAATTTCAAGTCTCATAGCAAAGGGTCTGAATACTTATTCCTGTTTTTTATTTTTAATACATTTGCAAAAATTTCTAAAAACCTGTTTTCGCTTTGTCATTATGGGGTATCGGCCCTTGGCTATCCATAAATAAGAAAGAAAGTAAAAATTGTGCCGTCTGGTTTGCATAATATAAGGAATTTGAAATGATTCATACTTTTACTTTTGATACTTAAGAATATTTAAAACCAAATACTTTTACTCAAATAGTATTTTACTGGGTGACTTTCACTTTTACTTCATTTTCTATTAAGGTATCATTACATTTACATTTTAGTCATTTAGCCGACACTCTTATCCAGAGTGAGTGCATACATTATTTTATTTATATTTTTCATAGCCCCCGTGGGAATCGAACCCACATCCCTGGCGTTGCAAACGCCACGCTCTACCAACTGAGCTACATCCCTGCCGGCCATTCCCTCCCCTACCCTGGATGACGCTGGACAAATTGGGCTGACTGTGTAAACGCAGCCTATGTGATCTCAAGGATAAATGTAGTGGAATATGAGATGAACAAACTGACATTTGGAGACCTACAGTGAGGGAAAAAAGTATTTGATCCCCTGCTGATTTTGTACGTTTGCGCACTGACAAAGATCTGATCAGTCTATAATTTTAATGATAGGTTTATTTGAACAGTGAGAGACAGAATAACAACAACAAAATCCAGAAAAACGCATGTCAAAAATGTTATAAATTGATTTGCATTTTAATGAGGGAAATAAGTATTTGACCCCCTCTCAATCAGAAAGATTTCTGGCTCCCAGGTGTCTTTTATACAGGTAACGAGCTGAGATTAGGAGCACACTCTTAAAGGGAGTGCTCCTAATCTCAGTTTGTTACCTGTATAAAAGACAGCTGTCCACAGAAGCAATCAATCAATCAGATTCCAAACTCTCCACCATGGCCAAGACCAAAGAGCTCTCCAAGGATGTCAGAGACAAGATTGTAGACCTACACAAGGCTGGAATGGGCTACAAGACCATCGCAAAGCAGCTTGGTTAAAAGGTGACAACAGTTGGTGCGATTATTCGCAAATGGAAGAAACACAAAATACCTGTCAATCTCCCTCGGCCTGGGGCTACATGCAAGATCTCACCTCGTGGAGTTGCAATGATCATGAGAACGGTGAGGAATCAGCCCAGAACTACACGGGAGGATCTTGTCAATGATCTCAAGGCAGCTGGGACCATAGTCAACAAGAAAACAATTGGTAACACATTACGCCATGAAGGACTGAAATCCTGCAGCGCCCGCAAGGTCCCCCTGCTCAAGAAAGCACATATTCAGGCCCGTCTGAAGTTTGCCAATGAACATCTGAATGATTCAGAGGAGAACTGGGTGAAAGTGTTGTGGTCAGATGAGACCAAATTCGAGCTCTTTGGCATCAACTCAACTCGCTGTGTTTGGAGGAGGATGAATGCTGCCTATGACCCCAAGAACACCATCCCCACCGTCAAACATGGAGGTGGAAACATTATGCTTTGGGGGTGTTTTTCTGCTAAGGGGACAGGACAACTTCACTGCATCAAAGGGACGATGGACGGGGCCATGTACCGTCAACTCTTGGGTGAGAACCTCCTTCCCTCAGCCAGGGCATTGAAAATGGGTCGTGGATAGGTATTCCAGCATGACAATGACCCAAAACACACGGCCAAGGCAACAAAGGAGTGGCTCAAGAAGAAGCACATTAATGTCCTGGAGTGGCCTAGCCAGTCTCCAGACCTTAATCCCATAGAAAATCTGTGGAGAGAGCTGAAGTTTTGAGTTGCCAAACGTCAGGCTCGAAACCTTAATGACTTGGAGAAGATCTGCAAAGAGGACTGAAACAAAATCCCTCCTGAGATGTGTGCAAACCTGGTGGCCAACTACAAGAAACGTCTGACTCTGTGATTGCCAACAAGGGTTTTGCCACCAAGTACTAAGTCATGTTTTAAGTCATGTTGTAAAGTCATCTCCCGAGTGGCGCAGTGGTCTAAGGCTGTGCCACTAGAGATCCTGGTTCGAATCCAGGCTCTGTCGTAGCCGGCCGCGACCGGGAGACCCATGGGGCGGCGCACAATTAGCCCAGGGTAGGGTAGGGGAGGGAATGGCCGGCAGGGATGTAGCTCAGTTGGTAGAGCATGGAGTTTGCAACGCCAGGGTTGTGGGTTTGATTCCCACGGGGGGCCAGTATTAATAATGTATGCACTCACTAACTGTAAGTCGCTCTGGATAAGAGCGTCTGCTAAATGACTAAAATGTAATGTTTTGCAGAGGGGTCAAATACTTATTTCCCTCATTAAAATGCAAATCAATTTATAAAGTTTTTGACATGCATTTTTCTGGATTTTGTTGTTGTTTTCTGTCTCTCACTGTTCAAATACTGATCATGTCATTGTCAGTGGGCAAACGTACAAAATCAGCAGGGGATCAAATACTTTTTTCCCCTCACTGTACATTCTTCACAATAAAACATTCTGTTTTGGAATGCCAATAGCATGCATATACATATATACATATAATATTGAATGATACTGGAGACAAATACAGTTAATCTGATTTGCATAGAACAACACATTTATTTCACTTCTACCTTCAGTCGTCAAACAGTAACAATTCATTTTATTGACAGATCATTTCTTTTAAAGATGAAATTGGAATTCATTGTAGGATTGGGGAAAAACACAAGAGTATGCTGGTAAAACATTTTGGAATCCAGAACAATGAAGGAGACTCAGGGTTCAGTTACTTGTCTTATTGGTCAGTCAGTTTCGAGGAATCGTCCAATGGAATCCTAACGAGGAGAAACAAACCACGTTGAGATCAGATGTTCACGTTCTTCGTCAAACCATTCAACACTTCTTTTTCAGAATCTTGTTTGTGTGCAGCGGGCCGACATAAGGGTGGTTCTCATTGGATGGCTTTGGGCAGTAGAATAGGTCATAGATCAGGGGTCATGCTCTGAGGTGGTGGAGAGCTGAGAGGGAGTGGGAAAAGACATTGGGAGCCTCCCAAATAGCACCCTATCCCCTTTATATAAAGGCACTACTTGAATAGGGGGCCATTTGGGACTCAGCAGTCGGTTGGTGTCACATCACATGAAGTCCTCATAGTCTTGTGCGTAACCTCCCTGGAACTCTCCGTAGTCTGCTAGGTCATCCTTCATCTTCACCTTCATCCCTCCAGTAGGAACTTTCTTCTTCTTCTTTCCTTTGTTCTGTTGAAAATAAAGCGGGATGATTAGTATTGACTTATAATCACCAGGAATACACATTTCATTAGGGTCATGTTCATTAGGGGCAAGCAAACAGTAAACTTTATAAAAACATTTTGCCTACGGAAAACGCAAAATGAGTAGTAGTCCTTTCACTGTTCCAGTCTGGTTTCTTCTGCTTAATGAACAGGACCCGGATAAGACTGATTACCAAAGTAAACCGTGTAGAATGGAGATAAGTCTTATTTTCTGTCTTTTGAAAAAAAAACACTTACCTTTTCCTGTTTCTGTTTCTCACTTAGTAAGACTGTGAGGGAGTTGCTGACTTTTTTAAAGTCCTCTACCTCCACTGTAACATAAGAGGTTCAAAACGTATGTCATACAATACAGCGACAACTGACAGTTGATATGAATGACCAATAACATTGGTTAATTTCGACATTTATATTATTAAATTGATTATTAAATGAATACTCACATGAGAGACAGAGGTCTCGAAACAAGGACTCTAGGAAGCCTGAATAGTGTATTGAACTCTCAAAGGGGGATATCTTGTCTTTTAACAACTTTTCAAAATCTGTAAAGTCATCTTTAGAAGTTGGGCTTACAGCGTCAATTCCTTTTACGTTGTTGACGACACCTGATTTGGGAAGATTATGATGTGAAACTTTCCACTGACAGCTTAAATATTTATCATGCATACAGTGTCTTCAGAAAGTATTCACACCCCTTGACTTCTTCCACATTTTGTTGTGTTGCAGCATGAATTTAAAACGGATTAAATTGAGATTTTTGAGTAGCTGGCTTACACACAATACCTCATAATGTCAAAGTGGAATTATGTTTTTCAAAATGTTTACAAATATTAACTACACTTTGGATGGTGTATCAATACACCCATTCACTACAAATATACAGGTATCCTTCCTAAGTCAGTTGCCGGAGAGGAAGGAAACTGCTCAGGGATTTCAACATGAGGCCAATGGTGACTTTAAAACAGTTACACAGTTTAATGGCTGTGATAGGAGGACACTGAGGATAGATCAACAAACTTGTAGTTACTCCACAATACTAACCTTATTGACAGAGTGAAAAGAAGAAAGCCTGTACAGAATAAAACATATTCCAAAAACGTGCATCCTGTTTGCAACAAGGCACTAAAGTAATAACGCAAAAAAAATTGGCAAAGCAATTAACTTATGTCCAGAATACAAAGTGTTATGTTTGGGGCAAATCCAATACAACACATTGCTTTTTCAGGATGATAAAAAAGCTATGCACAGGCAAAATCCTAGAGGAAAACCTGGTTCAATCTGCTTTCCACCAGACACTAGGCAGGTTTCCGTTGACCCAGGGTTTATTCGACAAAAGCGGAAACGGCAGATAAACGTTCTAAATATCAACAGCATTTTTATCCATTTTGACAGGATTCTTTATTGCAACAAATGATGATGGAAAAAGTGTTTCCTTCGATTAAATATTGATTGACAAATCATTTTTTGGGCAGAGTGATGTCCTGCATAACTATAAAACTCCACTCCACATTTGATTCTAAATGCTTACTGCTTGCAAAAATCTATTTTTTCCAACTATAAAAAAAAAATGTTTATTTACAGGAAAAGGATTGTCCTGACTTTCAAGAATGCCTGAATTGTTTCGCCTTGCTTTTCTGGCAAGTTTCACCATCCAACTATTTCAGATATACAGGAGTGCAAGTTTCATCATGACACGGACCTTGGCGATAAATTGGCACATGAGAATTATTAGAATGTGTTAAATATTTGTAGATTATTGTATTCTATACATGCTGGCTTTCACGGGCTACCTGAAAACACAGGTGGGATGCTAATTTTACACTGGAGTTGCTGACCAAGAAGACAGTGATTGTTCCTGAGTGGCCGAGTTACAGTTTTGACATAAATCTACTTGAAAAGTCCATGGCAAGACCTGAAAATGCTTGTCTAGCAATGATCAACAACCAATTTGACAGAGTTTGAAGAATTTTGAAAAGAATAAATGGGCAAATGTTGCACAATACAGGTTGTAATCGCTGCCAAAGGTGCTTCTACAAAGTATTGTCTCAGGGGTAATTCTGTATTTCATTTTCAAATTTTCATTTTTATGTGCAATAATTTCTCAAAACATGTTTTCACTTTGTCATTATGGGGTATTGTGTGTAGATGGGTGAGAGAAAAAAATATATTTAATCCATTTTGAATTCAGGCTGTAACACAACAAAATGTGGAATAAGTCAAGGGGTATGAATACAGTGCATTCAGAAAGTATTCAGACCCCTTCCCTTTTTCCACATTTTGTTACGTTACAGCCTTATTCTAAAATTGATTAAATATTTTTTTTCCCCTCATCAATCTACACACAATAACCCCGAATGACAAAGCGAAAACAGGTTTTTAGACATTTCTGCATATTTATAAAAATAAAAATAAACGTATTTACATAAGTATTCAGACCCTTTGCTATGAGACTCAAAATTGAGCTCAGGTACATCCTGTTTCCATTGATAATCCTTGAGATGTTTCTACAACTTGATTGGAGTCCACCTGTGGTAAATTCATTTGATTGGACATGATTTGGAAAGGCACACACCTGTCTATATAAGGTCCCACAGTTGACAGTGCATGTCAGAGCAAAAACATTCTTACATGGAAGAAGTTTGGAACCACCAAGACTCTTCCTAGAGCTGGCCGCCTGGCCAAACTGAGCAATCGGAGGAGAATGGCCTTGGTCAGGGAGGTGACCAAGAACCCGATGGTCACTCTGACAGAGCTCCAGAGTTCCTCTGTGGAGATGGGAGAACCTTCCAGAAGGACAACCATTTCTGCAGCCCTCCACCAATCAGGCCTTTATGGTAGAGTGGCCAGACGGAAGCCACTCCTCAGTAAAAGACACATGACAGCCCGCTTGGAGTTTGCCAAAAGGCACCTAAAAGACTCTCAGACCAGGAGAAACAAGATTCTCTGGTCTGATTAAACCAAGATTGTACTCTTTGGCCTGAATGCCAACCGTCACGTCTGGAGGAAACCTGACACCATCCCTACCGTGAAGCATGGTGGTGGCAGTATCATGCTGTGGGGATGTTTTTCAGCGGCAGGGACTGGGAGGCTAGTCAGGATCAAGGAAAAGATTAACAGAGCAAAGTACTGAGAGATCCCAGCCAGAGCCCGGACTTGAACCCGATCTAACATCTCTGGAGAGACCTGAAAACAGCTGTGCAGCGACGCTCCCCATCCAACCTGACAGAGCTTGAGAGGATCTGCAGAGAAGAATGGGAGAAATTCCCTAAATACAGGTGTGCCAAGCTTGTAGCGTCATACCCAAGAAGACTCGTGGCTGTAATCGCTGCCAAAGGTGCTTCAACAAAGTACTGAGTACTTATGTAAATGTGATATTTCAGTTCTTTTTTTTTTATATACATTTGCTAAAATTTCTAAAAACCAGTTTTTGCTTTGTCTATATGAGGTATTTGGTGTAGATTTAGGGGGGAAACTATTTAATCCATTTTAGAATAAGGCTGTAACGTAACAAAATGTGGAAAAAGTCAAGGGCCGTCTGAATACTTTCCGAATGTGCTGTATAAACGGATCAATTCATAAGCAAATTCAACCATGTACTTATTCGCTTACTGACAGTATCATGACATATGATAAACAGACAAACAGGTTTTATATAAACAGACATGGACAAACTTTTCCTTTTCCTGTAATACTGGGACCGGTTTCCCAAAGTCACCTTAAGGCTAAATTCACCGTTAGGGTCTATTGTTCTAACGATGGTTCTAATGATGAACTCAGCCTTAAACCGGGCCCTGGTCTCTTACCGAAAGCATCCTGAGCCAGTAGAAGACCAGCCTCTTCCTGTAGTTTCTCTGCTAGCCCCTCCTCTGGTGTGAGTTCTGTTTCCTCTTCCTGTAGTTTCTCTGCTAGCCCCTCCTCTGGTGTGAGCTCTGTTTCCTCTTCCTGTAGTTTCTCTGCTAGCCCCTCCTCTGGTGTGAGTTCTGTTTCCTCTTCCTGTAGTTTCTCTGCTAGCCCCTCCTCTGGTGTGAGTTCTGTTTCCTCTTCCTGTAGTTTCTCTGCTAGCCCCTCCTCTGGTGTGAGCTCTGTTTCCTGAGATTCCTCTAACTACCAAGCAATAAATTAGAAATAGTATACTTTCAGATCCAGCAGACAATGACTTGTAGACATGCACACAGTGTAGACTATACACTGAGTGTACAAAACATTAAGGACACCTTCCTAATATTGAGTTGTGCACGTCCTTTGGGTGGTGGACCATTCTTGATACACACGGGAAACTGTTGAGTGTCGAAAACCCAGCAGCGTTGCAGTTCTTGACACAAACCGATGCGCCTGGCACCTACTACCATACCCCGTTCAAAGGCACTTAAATATTTTGTCTTGCCCATTCACCCTCTGAATGGCACACACACACAATCCATGTCTCAATTGTCTCAAGGCTGAAAAATCCTTCTTTAACCAGTGACATCAATAAGGGATCATAGCTTTCACCTGGTTTCACCTGGTCAGTCTATGTCATGGAAAAAGCAGGTGTCCTTAATGTTTTGTACACTCAGTGTACATGCACACATTGTGAAACACTTTGGGATGATTTTAGAGGTTGAATCTGGGTCTGGAAAACCCTATTTGTTTCCAGTCTATGGGAAAACCGGATGCACAACAGTACAGTATACTAATTTGTACCCAAACCAAATGATATAAAGATAATTAAAATCATCAAGGCATCCCAAATGTGCTAATATCTATGGAAGCAACGGCAAGTTTCTGCTGGATTTTGAGAATCAAACTAGCATTCGCAGTAGCTGGGTTGGTTACTGTGGCTACTATCATGTACTCCATTGCAACGACAAGCAGAAATCCCAGTATGCAAGGCACTTACCCTCTTTCTCAACTCTTCTTGTTTTTTTCTTTGTAAACATTCCTTTTCTTTGATTTTTTCAGCTAATTTCTTCTTTTCTGAAAGTTTTGCTACAAAGAAACGAAAATGGAAAAAAATAGGATTTAACTTGAACTTGTATTAATATAATAGGAACTCACTGGTTCAAGTCATATGGTTTAAATACCTGCTTTTTTCTCTTCTGCGTTCTTCAATTTCTCCTCGTCATCATCCCAGTTGTCCTACAAAGAGGAAGAAAAGAAAACGCGGTCAGGGAACAATGGATGCTTCAGAATGTTGCATCCAGTCATGTATCTAGCTTCAGTTACAACCAAAGCCGTCACTATTTAGCCTATTCGTTGTTCACCATTGGTTAGCACTAGCCTGATTAAATCAGGCTGTCATACACAATTAATTGGTATATCCAGTCTGAAACGAATGACTGCAAAAATCGTGTAAATGTTCCTTACAAGCAGGAATGTTGAATACAATTACATTTTAACTTAAGTCTACCGGTTGGTCCTTCAGATGGTCAATTGTAGACAAAATATCCACAGGAAAGTATTGTTAAACCAAGTTTTTAGAGTGCTGGTACTGAAGTTGAAATTCAAATAGAAAGTTAAATCATCTGGCACATGCACAAACAGCTGCCGACTTCAGTCAATATGTACTTCAGTCTTGTGCACGTGCCTTCGGTCATAAGCAAACATGTGTGCACGAGATACATGCATACTAACTCAGCAAGGTGTTTACATGGTTTTGCGCATGTGCCAGGTGATAGAAACGTCAACTTTCAGTAGTGCCGAAAAGTACCGGAACAATACCTTCGGGATATTTGTGTATAGTTTGAGCGGCTAAAGGACAAACACGCACAGATTTTCAACCGGTAGGATAAACAGACTTTCGTAAATGTAATCTCTTATAAACATCTACCGCTCGCCCTATCTATAACCGAACGGGTTACACGATTTTGCGCATTCCAGTTTAGGCAGAAATAACTTAAATGTGCTTATCGATAAGACTATACCTACCCTGTGGATTTTTGTACTAATATGCTAGGGCCCCATTGACCCGGTCTAGTAGTATAAGTAATTTATAAACTTTGTCTCTACGATATTACCATCATCAGTACTTTTAGGCCATATGCATATTATCTGTATCTGCCCATTGGGCTCAGACTGATATGCTAGCCCCATTTGGGCCATCTACTGATATGCTAGCCCCATTTGGGCCATCTACTGATATGCTAGCCCCATTTGGGCCATCAGACTGATATGCTAGCCCCATTTGGGCCATCAGACTGATATGCTAGCCCCATTTGGGCCATCTACTGATATGCTAGCCCCATTTGGGCCATCAGACTGATATGCTAGCCCCATTTGGGCCATCTACTGATATGCTAGCCCCATTTGGGCCATCAGACTGATATGCTAGCCCCATTTGGGCCATCAGACTGATATGCTAGCCCCATTTGGGCGAATCGAGTTATTGCACACGCGCACTTCAGAGTCTGCGTTCCCCAACGGAAATATGCAAATGATAATAGAACGCGCCAATAGGATCTCTTTAGCTCGTGCTTGGCTCTGCCCACCTCCTTGCTTGTTCTGCCCACTATGGCTCATTTGTTCCTATTTGATACGACAGGCTGTGGTCTATCTTGGTTTAGTTATAAAAAAAATCTTTGCTATTAGCGTCCGTTGCTAGGGCCATTGATAGAGCATGCCAAATTCTGCCCAGGCTACGTACTGAAAAAAAAAAAAAATCGATAGCGTTCGTTGCTATGCTGGTTGTTATGTTCTGATTGTTCTGAGGCGTGCGGAGAGAGAAGCACCTGCAGTCAAAAGACAGGGGGAAATGGGATCATTGTTACAGGTTATTTACGGTATGTTTTAGCTTTAAATCTCACCGATTATTGGTGAATAAAGTACAAAACATGATCCATGCATGGTCATTGATGTTTACTTGCTTGCATAACTTGCTTGCAAACCTTGATTTAGCTAGCATGAACATACTGCAAACAAGCATGGATCCTGCAAACGATGGATGCAAACACTACTGTGAGGTAAGACCACTTTTCCAAAACTCTTTATTTAGCTAGCTATGCTAAGCTTTGCTTTGTTTTGTATTGTATTATTTGTGTTTGTAGAAATTCAGTTGATTTAAATAGCTCTCTCTTATACTAAGTAGCCTATGACAAGTGCTATATCAGCTGTAAAATCTTATGGGAAAAAGGGGAACTCCATTAATCAATCTTCTGGTCAACATGAATGATCAGATTGTACCTGGGTCTACTATTAGAGAGGATGGTTTCAGACTATAGGCCTATTCAGGGAAATGCATAAGGGGAAGGACCTGTATTAGTAGATCACAAGAAACCCTGTTGCAGTGAGGTTATTTTAGCAATAACAGTACCTATTGAATACCAATGTATGTATGTGTGTAAATTAATTGATTTCTTGCTGAATTACTACATTCGTGATAGGTAGTGTCATGACTTGCCCTCATTGGCTGAGGATCAAAGATGCCGGCTAGGCAAAGGTTTGAACACCCCCTTTCCTGGGAGCCAGTTTTATGACCGGTTGTTAATTCCTTGCAGAAACTTTATTTTCTGTGCCATGCAGTATTGGGAGAGGGAATTTCCCTGTGAGGCAAAGGAAGTCTTCCCGCCAAGACTCCAACATCCAAAAGTGGATAATGAAACAATATTCCTACTTAAAATAATGTGGGAAATGGTCGGTGGCGACTTAAAGAACAATCATGTCGAATTCGTTACTATGTTGTGATGCCATTAAAGACGGTGGAAGAACATAACTGTATCTCTGGGGGGGGGCTACACTTCCCAGTTATAAGGTTTGCTGTAATTGTTGTATAAAACAAATTATTAAGTATATTTAATACTTTGTGAAGATAACACAATGTGATTTTAGCATTCTAGATGAGATGATTGTTTCCATATTGATGTGTTCTCAGTCAGTGGCCACGCCCAGATGAGCACAAACGGCCCTTTTACCCCGAGTGCATAAAAAGCCTTGTGACGAAATTCACCTCAGACCAGGAAGCCCACGGCTTAAAATGGTTGACACTCTACAAGACCAGCAGACGTGAAGCGTGAGCTAAACGTTACAAAATGGTTTAAAAACTACAACTCCATCACCAAAGGAAGACCAAGCATATTACGGTATAAGCCGGATGCTGCAAATGGTTGAATTTCTACAAGACCAAGAAGCATGAAGCTGAAGCTACACATGACAAAATGGTTAGATCAGAAAGACCAGAAAACGTGAGACGTTAGTCCACACGTTTGAAATGGAGAAACTCTGAAACTCTCAACCTCTACACGAGGTGAAGTAGAAGACAATGTACTAGACCTTATCATCTCAGTCTGCAGCTGGCATTTATAGTCGTCTAGAGAACTTTCACTAAAGATACGAGAGGAGAGGACAATCCCTCTCAGACAACCGCTGGTACATCTGAAGTATCCATTCTAACCACCACTACGACCAGAAACTCTACCAAGGATTATTAGGGTGCATAAGTATTATGATTACTGTGAGCGTAGTTTCCAAAGTAACTACGATAGTTTGAATCTCTGTCTCTCCCTTCCACTCTGACCCTCCTTCTACCCAAACATTCATGCTATTGTTAGTCCAGTCCACTAGGGACCTGTTTTCATTGTATTACGTTAGTAATCAATAACCTGTGTGTGTGTTTGTATTGTGTTATTATTTAATTAGTTAGTAAATACATAATTAAGCCAATTTGTGTATTGTTGATTCATCAATAAGGTTGGGGTTCTTGCAGGTTCAAGGATTATGTGACGTTCAGAATGAGACTGATAAGAGGTAATTATTTAATAAGTGACTGTTACTGATATATATATAACATATATCTTCTAAGAGTTTAATTCGGGAGATGGTAACTCGTTAAACAACTTCTTCCGTGGTGCCCCAAATTCCTAATGAGTTAATTGTTACATGATTAATTTAATCGAGTGACAATTAAACATAGTTAGGTGATTCGATAAATAACAGTCATACATTAAAGTAAGTCACGTCACGACAGTAGTTTATCCTTTGTTTTTTTTCTTGTTCCATACCAGGCTACCATGGTGTGGCCTTCTGTCAAACAACTTCCTCCCAGCAACAACAGAAATGCGAGTTGAGCTTTCAAAAATCACATCAGGAGGCTAGACAACCAGATATTTTCCATGTTTTCATTGCACAAATAATTATCTGATTATGTCATTTTTTTTATTAGCATAATGTCTCAATTACAAGCAGTATGTCATTTCAGTTAGAAGGGAGCTCTTCCACTCTGTGTATTATTATATGCATACCATTGTAGGTATTATAGCACGTTAAATGGGCCTTTTCAGTGTATTTGACTGTCATTGTATTTATATGTGCAGTATGTTATCCTGATATTAATGGCACTTTGTATTCAGCTCTCTCCTAGAGAAACCTTCCACACCCATAGTTATGGATCAGTGGTACAGGCAGTAGCCTTCCTAGTGATCAACTCATAGCCCTGTGCATATTCAGCCTGTTATATACTGGTATTCCTCCAAGTAATCTACAAGTCAACCCGTTCACTGTGCCTTGCCATCAATGCGTTCTGACTGACGCGCGGAGACGAACACGCCCAAACCGAACCAGCAACCTATGAATAATACAGTCCTTTAGCCCGTACAGGCGAGGAACCTCAGGTATTCTCCTCCAATCCGTTTTTAAAAGGAATCGAAGAAAGACTAAATGGAGAAAGAGCTTATCCCTGAATCCCAGATCAACCCCTAGCCCTTACACTTGTGTAGACCTGAGAGGGTTGGATAGGGGGAAGCAATATGGGAACAATTCATCCTGGCCTGGATCTACCTGTAACCTGTGTGACATGTTTTTCTTTCTCCCAATCTTCCTTTGTAGTGTGTGGGTGTGTGGTTCAGAGTGGTTGTTCTGTTTGCGGGTTCTGGTCATTACAGGTGTGCTGAGTTGCGGCTGACGATGGTGGGGCGTGGCTTCGGTTCGGAGTCCTGGCAGCTGTGGCTGATTGACTAGAGTATAAACTGTTTGCCATGTGAGCTTGAGAGGGGGGGATTTGGTCATTGGTTGTTTTAATTTATCTTGGTTTGTGTTTCAGCCTGTCTTCCTGCTGTATTCCACCCTACCTGGGTCCTGGAGAAGGGAAAGGTAGTTCTGCCCATGGGTGTACATTCACACGTAGATAATCCACTGTTTTAAACACTAGGTTAGCCGGGGGCGGGTGTCACCCCTGTATTTGTGGTAACAGGTAGGAAAGCGGGTTAGGGCTTAGAGTGTGTTAGGAAGGATTAGGTGTGTAGAAGAGGAGGGACCTTTTGTTTATTTTCATTACTTGGACCCCGTTCCCAAACATTCCCTTCTCTTACCTTCCCTGGTTTGTTTGATTGGTTTTTGTTTTATTTACTGTTTCTTTATGGGTGTTGTAGAATTTTGTTTAATTACTTTACTAAACGTCCCCGAGGGCTAACATTGAGTTGTGGTTGTTGTCTGGTTATTTTAGTTCATTACACCCCACATTTCTTCCCCATCCATCTAGTTTACATTGTGTGCCCAGGCACGAGCATTTACATCTCCTCCTCAGACCAACTACACCCGAGGGGAGAACGTAACACTGTGTTTTCTTTCTGCATCTTTCTATGCCTCTGTCCCTTTACCTTTTACTCTGCTCCTGTTCTTAAGGATCTAGGGGTTCTGTCATGCTCTGAGACGCGTACCGTATCCCTTCCCCAGACCTGGATCCACCTGATGTCCTCCAAGATCCCACTTTTCATTACATCATCTACAGCTACTGTTAATGTCATGTGGTTTGATCTAATCTGCTAAGGGACCTGTGGTTGACATATCATCCTGGGCACAGTGAGATACACTAGCACTGCAAACACTCCAAGAGCAAAGAGAACAGCTGTGCCTGGACTACAGTCTCCCTCTTTAAGTCCACCTTCTAAGACTGGCTGCCCTGTGGAGGGAAAGTGACCGGCAGAACCACCTGTAGCACCCACCTCTTCTCTATCCCACACTCCAGAACTGAGATTTTTTTTAAAAATCACCCATACCCTACTTCTGCCAAGACTGCCCCCATCTCATTATGTACTTTTCATTCATACTTCTGTGTTCTCAACTAAATGGTATTGTATTGTTGATGTTAGCCTATACTCATGTATTTCAGTCTATAACTGTGTATAATGGTATTGTATTGTTGATGTGTTGATGTTAGCCTATACTCATGTATTTCAGTCTATAACTGTATAATGGTATTGTATTGTTGATGTTAGCCTATACTCATGTATTTCAGTCTATAACTGTATAATGGTATTGTATTGTTGATGTTAGCCTATACTCATGTATTTCAGTCTATAACTACCATGTGGATATATTAAATAAAATCAACAAGTTCATGAAACACCCCTTCCACAAAAAAACAACTTTTTCATATTTCAATCTTAAATATTGCAACTTTGTTGTTTTCCACAGGGTGTTAACTGTTGTAAATCCCTGTTGGTATTCGTGAGTTCAACACTATTCAACTGTCTTGTGTCCTACATTATATTCAACCACAAGTGTACTGCTGTATTATTGAGCTGTGCTATGTGGTGGTGGAGGAAGGGAGGTAGGGAAAAATAATCATAGTGGGACTAATAGCATACTTTAGTAAGACAAGACATGGGAAGCTCAAAATAAAAATATGCCAGCCAGAGGAGCCAATGTATGAATTGAACTGATTTGCACATTAATTAAGCGTTAATAGCATCATGGGAGCTCACTTTGCCATTTCGAAAACTAAGAACCGTTAACTTTTAATGTTGTTGAAATGTTAAAGGTACCCAAAAGTAGTTCAAAGTAATGTTTTCATCTTAAATCAGCGAAACTGTCACGGAAATAAGCTTTGTTTACATAGTATGGATGAAAATAATGTAATGTTGGCTGTAATGCTCTCCAAAATGCCACGCATTAGCTCATCACGCCGTTGATATAGCAACGGACGCTAATAGCTTCTCATTCCCATTGTGACGCGGGAGGGGGGGGGGGCGGTCCTCCTCCTGACTTATCACCGCTAGCCTGTGGACCACTCGGCTAACTTTGATTAGATAGCTACTGTTAGCTAGTTAGGTAGGTAGGTAGGTAGTTAACACGGCTAACATCAACTGTATGATCCTAGCCTGTGGACCACTCGGCTAACTTTGATTAGATAGCTACTGTTAGCTTGTTAGGTAGGTAGGTAGGTAGTTAACACGGCTAACATCAACTGTATGATCCTAGCCTGTGGACCACTCGGCTAACTTTGATTAGATAGCCACTGTTAGCTAGGTAGTTAACACTGCTAACATCAACTGTATGATCCTAGCCTGTGGACCACTCGGCTAACTTTGATTAGATAGCCACTGTTAGCTAGGTAGTTAACACTGCTAACATCAACTGTATGATCCTAGCCTGTGGACCACTCGGCTAACTTTGATTAGATAGCCACTGTTAGCTAGGTAGTTAACACTGCTAACATCAACTGTATGATCCTAGCCTGTGTACCACTCGGCTAACTTTGATTAGATAGCCACTGTTAGCTAGGTAGTTAACACGGCTAACATCAACTGTATGATCCTAGCCTGTGGACCACTCTGCTAACTTTGATTAGATAGCCACTGTTAGCTAGGTAGTTAACACTGCTAACATCATCTGTATAATCCTAGCCTGTGTACCACTCGGCTAACTTTGATTAGATAGCCACTGTTAGCTAGTTAGGTAGGTAGGTAGTTAACACTGCTAACATCATCTGTACGATCTAGTTAGGATGCGAAGAGGTGACGCTCTCGAAATCAACTACGGTGTATGTGGTTCCTAGCTAGCTAACGTCAGCCGGCTATCGTTACCTTGATATCCTCATCCGCATCCTCGCCTTCCCATTTGTCTGCCACAACAGCCTTCTTGGCCCCGATGGCGGGCTCGTCCGGATCGAAAGGCTCAGCATCTAAGACAAACAATACACAAATGTAAACCATAATCTCTTGTATTTTTTATTGGCAATGTTTCGGTTAAGTGTCAAATTTGAAGAATGCTCCATTCCCACACAAGTGGATTGGATTCTTACCCCATGAATCTCCCTCCGCCATATTCCGTGTGTCTGATCAGAACGAATTCCGTGGGTGTACAATCGGTAACTGGCTCTTTGGTTCCCGAGAGAGAATGATGCACACACCGATATGTACTGTCATGCTCCCATTATTATTGTCCAGTCATTGCTTTTCCCTATTTAGTGGCAACATAGCATCATTAGTTCAAGCCAAAACATCATGTCAGTTATATCATTTCAGAATAACCATTAAAATAGTAATTTTTAGACCATTGAATATAGATGTCACAAGTTAGGATGCTTTGTAGTTTGTTCAGTTCAGTGTTTCGAATAGCAGGATATTATAGTAGGCTACACATTACCGGATGACATGGCCAACTTCATTTCATTTGTATGGTGTATATGTGTAACCGGTGTGGGTCTAAGGCTCTGCATTGCAGTGCTAGCTGTGCCACTATAGATCCTGGCTCGAATCCAGGCTCTGTCGTTTCCGGCCGCGACCGGGAGACCCATGGGGCGGCGCACAATTGGCCCAGCGTCGTCCAGGGTAGGGGAGGGAATGGCCGGCAAGGATGTAGCTCAGTTGGTAGAGCATGGCGTTTGCAACGCCAGGGTTGTGGGTTCGTTTCCCACGGGGGGCCAGTATGAAAAATAAAAAAATTATGTATGCACTCACTGACTGTAAGTCGCTCTGGATAAGAGCATCTGCTAAATGACTAAAATGTAAAATGTAAATGGCTAGCTAATTAGCGGTGCGCACTAGTAGCGTTTCAATCGGTGACGTCACTCGCTCTGAGACCTTGAAGTATACTGAACAAAAATATAAACGCAACAATTTCAAAGATTTTACTGAGTTACAGTTCATATAGGGAAATCAGTCAATTGAAATACATTCAGTAGGCCCTAATCTATGGATTTCACATGATTTGGCAGGGGCGCAGCCATGGATGGGCCTGGGAGGGCATAGGCCCACTCACTGGGAGCCAGGACCAGCCAATCAGAATGTGTTTTTCCCCCACAAAAGCCTTTATTGCAGACAGAAGTACTCTCAATGTGTGATTTAGCTAGCTGGATTTTGGTTTGAAGTACCCACTTGTGTCACTGCTGGAGGTGGAGGACTGGAGCGAGCGGGGAATGGCGTCCCTTAAGAGGGCCAGAATGAGATGCACGTCAGGAGAAGTGCAGTATTATCATAAGGAGACGTATACTTGGAATATGGAGGAGAAGGAGGGAAAAAGAGCGGCAGAGGAGGTCGAAGAGAGAGAGGGAGGAAGAGGGTGAGGAGGTCGAAGAGAGAGAGGCAGGAAGAGGGTGAGGAGGTCGAAGAGAGAGAGGGAGGAAGAGGGTGAGGAGGTCGAAGAGAGAGAGGGAGGAAGAGGGTGAGGAGGTCGAAGAGAGAGAGGGAGGAAGAGGGTGAGGAGGTCGAAGAGAGAGAGGCAGGAAGAGGGTGAGGAGGTCGAAGAGAGAGAGGGAGGAAGAGGGTGAGGAGGTCGAAGAGAGAGAGGGAGGAAGAGGGTGAGGAGGTCGAAGAGAGAGAGGGAGGAAGAGGGTGAGCTTGAGTCAGTTGAAAAGGGCGGGAAAAAGAGAGATGGTTTGTTAAAGAATGGTAGAAAGTGTTAGCAGAGTGAGGTGAAGACAGGAGGAGAAATGGATGTGAATGAGGGCAAAGTATCAGAGGTAGTAGGTGTGGTGAAGTTTTTCGGAGCCCGAAGCTTGCACCGAGGGTCAGGATAAAGATTAATCTGTGATGGTAGGAGTGACATTTTCTGAAAAAGTGGACCCTTGCCTTTTAGCTGATCCATCCATATGTGGTTTCAGGGTGGTTGAAAACAAAGTTAGGTGCTGTGGAATCGGTGAAGGTAACCCAAAGTGGTATTGTGATAATTGTTTATTTCTGTTGGTCAGAGGGAGCAGAAGCTCCGCGTCAAACGATTGGGACAAGAGATGTGAATTGTTTTGCTCTCAAGAAAAGGGCGCCATTGAAAGGAGTGATCACTCGGGGTAGCGGTAAATGTGAAAGTGGACCAACTAAAGGGGGAGATTCACGGTGTTTGTGATGCTCGTCGTTTGGTGTGACGCAGACAGGGTGGCGTGAGTGGAGAAACAGAAGAGTCGTTGTCTGTTATTCTGAGTTTTGATGATGAGTTTTGCCCAACAATGTGTTGTTAGGATATACAAGTTATCCTGTATGAGCTTTTGTGCCGAATATATTACGTTGTTACAGGTGTCAAGCTTATGGGCATGTGGCAGCAGTGTGTAGGAGAGAGGTTCCTAGGTGTGAGAAGTGTGCAGAAGGGCATGAGACAAAGGAATGTGTAGCATTGGGCAAAATAGCGGTATGTGTTAATTGTAGGGGTGCCCATGGGGCTGGGGATCAGAAATGTCCGCTGAGAGAGATGCAGGTTGAGGTTACCAGGGTTAGAGTAGTGCAGTGAAGAAGGTAGAGGAAGATGGGTCAAGGGGGAGGGATCCTGAGAGGAGTGGTGTGAGTAGTAGGTCTGTACCAGTACAGAGGGATAGACCAATAAGTGATATATGTTTCAGTAAGATTGGATTTTTAGTATTTATAGCAAATGGTTATCAACTGTGCTGCAGGGGTGGCATGTAAGTCGCAGAAAATGGAGGTTGTAGTGGCAGCTGCAGAGAGGTATTTGGGTGTAGGAGATTTGACGTCAGAAGAGTTACAGGGTGTGTTGAGTGGTGGTGTCCCGTCCTTTCAGGCCGTTGGTCTGAGGTACGACTAGATAGATTTAGTGGAGTAGGGTGGTGGGTTTTTAATGAGTGTAGGGTATTTGTTTATTTTTTATATATTTTTTAAGAAAAGTATACTTAAAAAACTCCAGTCTAGTTGGTGGCGGTAATGAAACATTTATTGGAAGCCAACCGCCGTTAAACCTCATCGAAGAAGAACTCGCATGTGTAATGGATGTATATTATAGTTCAGTTGGGGGTGGTAATGCAACATATTGGATGCCAACCACCGTTAAACTCCACCGAAGAAGAAGAAGAAGAAACACTCCTCAGTTTCATCAGCTGTCCAGGTGGATGGTCTCAGATGATCCTGCAGGTGAAGAAGCCGGATGTGGAGGTCCTGGGCTGGCGTGGTTAGACGTGGTCTGCGGTTGTGAGGCCGGTTGGACGTACTGCCAAATTCTCTAAAACAACGTTGGAGGCGGCTTATGGTAGAGAAATGAACATTCAATACTCTGGCAACAGCTCTGGTGGACATTCCTGCAGTCAGCATGCCACTTGCACACTCCCTCAAAATGTAGACACCTGTGGCATTGTGGCGTTGTGTGACAAACTGCACGTTTAAGAGAGGCCTTTTATTGTCCCCAGCACAAGATGCTGTAATGATCATGGTGTTTAATCAGCTTCTTGATATGCCACACCTGCCAGGTGGATGGATTACCTTGGCAAAGAAGAAATGCTCACTAACAAGGATGTAAACAAATTTGTTCACAAAATTTGAGAGAAATACATTTTTTTGTGCATATGGAACATTTCTGGGCTCTTTTATTATTTAACACTTTACATGTTGCGTTTATATTTTTGTCCAGTATAGTTGTTTTGCCTTGCCCTGCAAAGGCCACAGTTGTTATGGAGTGATAGGTAACGATGCTTCGAGGGTGACTGTTGTCGATGTGTGCAGAGGGTCCCTGGTTCAAGCCCAGGTTGGGGTGAGGAGAGGGACGGAAGCAACACGGTTACAGTTCATACACTACATGACCAACAGTATGTGGACACCTGCTAGTCAAACCTCTCATTCCAAAATCATGGCCATTCATATGGAGTTGGTCCCCCCCCCCCCCCTTTGCTGCTATAACAGCCTCCACTCTTCTGGGAAGGCTTTCCACTAGATGTTGGAACATTGCTGCGGGGACTTGCTTCCATTCAGCCACAAGAGCATTAGTGAGGTCGGGCACGGATGTTGGGCGATTAGGCCTGGCTCAAAGTCGGCGTTCCAATTCATCCCAAAGGTGTTCGATGGGGTTGAGGTCAGGGCTCTGTGCAGGCCAGTCAAGTTCTTCCACACCGATCTCGACTAACCATTTCTGTATGCACCTCGCGTTGTGCATAGGGCCATTGACATGCTGAAACAGGAAAGGGCCTTCACCAAACTGTTGCCACAAAGTTGGAAGCACAGAATCATCTAGAATACCATTGTATGCTGTAGCGTTAAGATTTCCCTTCACTGGAACTAAGGGGCCTAGCCCGAAACATGAAAAACAGCCCCAGACCATTATTCCCCCTCCACCAAACTTTAGTTGGCACTCTGCTTTGGGGCAGGTAGCGTTCTCCTGGCATCCGCCAAACCCAGATTCGTCCGTCGGACTGCCAGATGGTGAAGTGTGATTAAACACTCCAGAGAACGCATTTTCACTGCTCCAGAGTCCAATGGCAGCGAGCTTTACACCACTCCAGCCGACGCTTGGCATTGCGCATGGTGATTTTAGGATTGTGTGTGGCTGCTTAGCCATGGAAACCCATTTCATGAAGCTCCCGACGAACAGTTATTGCGCTGACGTTGCTTCCAGAGGCATTTTGGAACTCTGTAGTGAATATTGCAACCAAGGACAGACCATTTTTACACTCTAGGCCAGGGGTCCCCAAACTTTTTCCTGTGAGGGCCACATAACTTTTCCCTTCTCTGATGGGGGGCCGGTGTCAGTTTGTAACAGAAAAAGTGTGACGATCGTAGGGGAGCTTAAAAAATTTATTGTTTTCCAGAAAGCCACACATAACCAAATAACCCTTTCCAGGTTCTTTACAGAAAAAAAGTCAGGAAACAAATAATAACACTATTAATGAAATAAATAATAACTAAATAACCCTCTCTGAGTTCTTCACAGAAAAAACAGGAAATAAATAACACTATTTATGAAATAAATAATAACTAAATAACTCTCTCTGGGTTCTTCATAGAAAAAAAAGCCATGGAACATTAACTTTCTGTTGTGCCATGCACAATCTTAACAGATAAAAGTTCAGCTCAGTTGTCAGAGCAGAATCTCTCTGACACATATGAGCAGTCTCTTAAAGTTATTGTGTTCCTTCCTTATAATCCTTTTGTAGGTTCCAGTAGGCTTGTAGACACCGCTGTTTGCAGCTCTCTCTCATCAACTTCCCTGTGAAAACCACAAAGGAAGCAGGTTGAGAAACTGAACTAAGTGATACAGCACCTACACAGCACAATACATTTCACTACCAGTATGGTTGTAAAGATGGATTTTATCCCAGTAGATTTTATTATGATTATATTTGTTTATGCTCAGAATGACTCATTCAAGTCAGAAAAGTGAGCTTACCTATGTATGTTCATCAGTGTGAACTGTGGGCCTGCATCTGGCTGGTGAGAAGTTGAATATCAGGTTCCATTCTAGTTACAGCCAGTCTCAAGCACTGATGCAAATGTTCATCTGTCAATCTTGATCTCATCGGAGTTTTCAGCAGTTTCATGCGAGAAAAGGTTTTCTCGCAGATATACGTGCTGCCAAAAACTGTGGACATTTTCATTGCGTGTTTTTTGATGTTTGGATATGTGTCGTTTGGGAGGGCGGCATAGAAGTCAATGAGACTGTTGGGCTTGAATGCGTCTTTCAGAACATCACAGTTCTGTAACTCAGCCAACTCAAACTGATATGAAGGCTGGGCTTCATCAATGTCGGCAACAAAGGGGTTCTGAAAAAGACGGATTTCTTTTACATGAACATGTAGTTCACTGAATCGCACACCGAACTCCGCCTTCAGCATTTCCAGTGCTTCCACGCACTTTTCAGCTGGGAACGGGACCGCTGGGTTCTCTGTCGACAGGTTTTGGGTAGCAGGAAGATGGACGAAGTTGCGCTTTTTCACTTGTTCCAAAAGCAGCGCTAATTTCACCTCAAATGCTTTTATGTGTGAATACATGTCGCAAATGAGTTTCCCCTCGCCTTGTAGCTGCAAGTTAAGGCTGTTTAAGTATTTCTGTCACGTCTGTTAAAAATGCGAGGTGCCATTTCCATTCTGGGTCGATCAGCTCTGGGACCGTTTTGTCTTTTAAATGAAGAAATGCGTTAATTTCGGGTAGCAGCTCGTAAAAACGCCTCAAAACTCTGCCCCGGCTCAGCCATCGGACCTCTGTGTAGTACAGCACATCTCCGTGCGTAGACTCCAGTTCAGACAGGAATTCTTGGAACTGCCTGTGTTTAAGTCCCTTTGCTCTGATGAAGTTTATGCACGACACCACAACCTTCATTACAGAATCCCACGTCAACACTTTGCAGCACAGTGCTTGCTGGTGAATTAGGCAGTGGACTCGTAGCGGGGCGGTGAGACCCCTTTTTTCCAACTCCCGGTTCATGCGTCCTATTAGACCGCGAGTTTCGCCCACCATGCTAGGAGCCCCGTCAGTCGTGATGCTAGCTAGCTTTGACCAGTCCAGGTCCAACTTCTCCATGGTTTGGCACACTTTGTCAAAAATATCCTCTCCCGTTGTAGTCCCTTTGAGACTTTGGAGGGCTGCCAGCTCCTCGCATATCTCAAAGTTTGCGCTAACTCCACGAATAAAAATGAGCAGTTGCGCTGTGTCTTGCACGTCCGTGCTCTCATCCAGTGCTAATGAAAAAAGGTCAAATTCTTTCGTCTTCTGCTGCAGCTGGGCATATACATTACTCCCGATTTCTTCAACGCGTCTGGTGATTGTACTCGCCGACAGACTTACGGCATTAATGCATCTTTCTTCTCGGGACACACCTCCTCCGCGACAGCATCCATACATTTCTTAACAAACTCTCCGTCAGTGAAAGGCTTACCGCTGCTTGCTATCAGTTTAGCAACCCGAAAGCTGGCCCGAACGGATGCCTGGTTCAGCTGAGCTTGGCGATTGTATTCTTTGAATACCGCCACCGTCTCTTGACAGATGAGACAAACAGCCTTTTCTTTGCATTGAACAAAAAAATAATCGTTTGTCCACTGCAGGTTAAATACCCTGCATTCTGAATCAATTTTTCTCTTACCTAACCTTTTCGCCATTATTCCGTTCTCTCTTTGACAGGGCCGGGCCTAGGATTTTTTTTCTGGAGGCCAAATAGGAAAAAAATCCGATAGCGTCTCTGGTATTGTTCAGAGGGCCGGGCCAAATGTGCTGACGGGCCGTATTCGGCCCGTGGGCCGTAGTTTGGTGACCACTGCTCTAGGCGCTTCAGCACTTGGCGGTCCAGTTCTGTGAGCTTGTGTGGCCTACCACTTCGCGGCTGAGCCGTTGTTGCTCCTAGACGTTTCCACTTCACAATAACAGCACTTACAGTTGACCGGGGCAGCTCTAGCAGGGCAGAAATTTGACGAACTGACTTGCTGGAAAGGTGGAATCCTATGACGGTGCCACGTTGATAGTCACTGAGCTCTTCAATAAGGCCATTCTACTGCCAATGTTTGTCTATGGAGATTGCATGGCTGTGTGCTCGGTTTTATACACCTGTCAGCAACGGGTGTGGCTGAATTAGTGAAAATCCACTAATTTGTAGGGGTGTCCACATACTTTTTTATATATAGTGTGTGAGACTAAATTGCTCTGAATAAGAGTATCTTGCTAAATAATGTAGAAATGTCTCTCGGCTCATACTGATGCAGTTCAATAAATAAAATTTAAAAAATGTCACTCATTTTCATTAAATTGTATAAAAATGTATTTATGATCAAGGAAACCATGGAGTAACACTGAGTACAACAGGAGTGACAAGAGGGTCAATGACAACATGGAGTCTTATCGGCCAAACGGAGACTCGTACATAAGAGATTCCACACACAAGACTAAGAACAGCATTGAAAACAAGATTTAAAGATAAAACAATGTTGGCCATTTTGCTGGTGCTATGATTTCAAAATAGTCCGGACATAACAATTGAGGTGATAACTTGTGTACAAAAAGGATTTTACATAGGGCTGGATGTAAAAGGTATTGTTTTTTTAACAAAAAGTGCAGGAGATCCGAAGCCCTCCTTCCCTCCCCTCCCCCCTAAACCCATCATCATCACACCCCAAAACAGAGCAGTTTAAGGGTCTTTTAAACAACATCTTTAAAAAGGGGTGAAATCTCGTAAATGTTCTAAGTTAATATCTGGGCCATCTTTATGGCTTGTTGAAAAGGTCTTCAAGTGAAACCTTATACTACATTAATATTACAACCTATACACATCATGATTTCATAAACATTTCCTCCCAAAATATACATTTTTTTTTTTAAAACCGCACCTTGTTAGAGACCACATAACTGCAGTTAATGGGTCTAAAAAGCAGAACGCGTTCCAAATGGTACCCTATTCTCTTCCTAGTGCCCATAAGGCTCTGGTCAATCATAGTGCACTATATAGGGAAAGGGTTGCCATTTGGGATGCAACATTTTCAGGCAGACAACAGAAGATCTGTAACACCAACTTGTTTAAAAAAAAAAAAAAAAAAAAAAAAAAGGGGACAAAGAGGAATGCTAAAATCAGAAGCACAATGAAAAAAGTTTTTAAAAACCTTGAAGAAAAAAATATACACATGTCGTATATACATGTAACCGAGTGTATACTATACAGGTTTGACTGCCCGTTCCTGTTAAAATAAGTCTGGAGCAGTCAGGTCCTCACTCAAAATACAGCATGACATCCAGTTCAGTCAGTCCAAAACTGTCGCTGCAGATGAGAAACATCTCCCAGAAAGTGGCCATGGTCTTGTTCATTAGGCACCAAACAGAAGAAAAAAACGGTCCGAATTGGAGAGGTTCTACGTGGACGTTTATGCCCTGACAAACACGGGCCCTGCTTTCAAGAATAAACGAGAGGTCCGTCCAGGAAGAAGCCTTTTACAATACAAGGGGACTACTCTACTCTCTGGGGGTACAGTTAAGTTTGAGTATAACAGTTTAGTTTGAGTATACAAAACATAAAACTCAAAACTGTACATAGCTTCAGGAATTATAGAGGTTGGTGTTTTGTTTTGTTGTTTTCTGTAAAAAATAAAAAAAAAAGTCCTCTGTAACGGTGTTTTGTTGGTATTTTCATAAAAAATGTCATCGGTAATGAAAATGCTATAGTTGTAGACAGAGATCCATTTGAACAGCATCCCCATTAGAGTCAATTGAACTTGATTCTCCTCATCTCCACCGTGTTGAAGGGAAGGCATCCCTCTCCATTTACTGGAGGGCTAGCCCATAGAATTGGAATGAATATTCTAAATGTAAATATACATTATATATTTCTATGGGTTAGCCTGCTGGGTCAGCCAATCACAGATCAGTCTGGAGGAAGGAGGTCATGAAGACGAAACCGCTCTCTGACGTAAGGCCTTACGTCCTCATTCTGTGGAGGAGAGACAGAGCAGACGTAGGCGTCTGAGTTGGATGCCAGTCATTCGTTTATTTTTTTTATTTTTTTTAGAATGAGAACATACCATCTCCACCAGCTTCTCCAGGAAAGGCACCAGCTTGAGGAGCTCGTTATCATTCCTGTCCATGAACCAGCTCTCGATGGGAATCCCATTGGAAAGCTGTGATGGAGAACCATGACGTTTTTGAATAGTACATGAATTATATGCCACTTTGCAGACACTTTTATCCCAAAAACGTATTTTATATTGAGTGCATATATTTTAAGTATGCGATTCCTGTGGAATATAATAACAAGAGCTACTGTGAAAAAGGTATGAAGGCCAACCTGATAGGCGAAGGCTTGAGGTGAATTGTCGATTATTATGGTTTTCGAAAGATCCCTTCCAAGAATGTTCAGGTCCTTGATGTAGTTTCCTTGAACACATACACAGTGCTCCCGAAACAACCGATGCCTGTAGGAGAGAGGAGAAAACAACCGATGATTAGTCAAGCGTAGTGGTGGGGTGTTGGACATTAGGCACGCGCTTTATACACAGACACACACACCCTAATCCCTACATAGTGCACTACTTTTGACCAGATCCCTATGGGGCCCTGGTCAAAAGTAGTGCACTATCTAGGGAATAGGGTGCCATTTGGGAAGCACAATTCATGGTGCAACTCAACACTGGTTAGCTGTAATCATTCCGAAAGCCATAACGTTTTTAATTTAACCGACCTGACCAACTGTTTCTTTGGGTCCAGGATGTTCAGCAGCTTGTCTGCATACACCTTCTTAGAGGCAGTGAACAGAATGATCTGTGAACAACAAGAAAATATGAGAATAATCTATGTTAATCACAATATTATTCTGTATGACAATCCCGTTCTGTATGATTGTCTGACCCAGTGAAGTTTACAGTAGAGGTTGACACGGGAACAGGGGGAATCCGTGGGGAATCTGACAGGAACGGGAGTCAAGGATCAACAGTCCACAGGAATGGGCAGTGCAGTGATAGCTCTAAACCGAGATTGTTTTGGTCGGTAATATGTTATGTGTGGAGCATTTCATAAAATAAAATAAATACATAAAAAAAAATTAAAAACTGTAGGCCTAATATAGTTTACTTCCTAAAAATAAATACAAATGGTAATTTCCCCCCTCCCTTCCTTCCTTTGGCTCAATCTCGCGCCTTGCTCCAGTCACCAGGCTACCTCAGACGGCTAGGCAGTAGTCTCAATTATGAAGCCTTCAATAGAGGACTGTTGCAGCAAAGGACCAGTCACTAACGTTAACATCAGAACCAAGGAAAGAGCGATGTTTTAGCTACATTTGAAGGAGTTGTCTTTGACAAAAAAGGAACAGAGTACATGGCTTGTAAAAAAATATATATATATACAGCGGTTTAATGAAATAGGCTACCAACCGGAGAACGGACAAGGGGCCTGAAGCAGCACAGAGCTCTACTCCCAACAGCTTTACCATGAAGCCCAATCGTTGGCGTGTTTAACTAAACCTACACCATCTGAGGTGAAGTGTGAAATAAAAATGACATCGACTTACATTATGTAGTACTGCCGCTCTGTTATTTTTTATATTTGTTTTTATGTTCACGTTGTAAATTGTAATGTGTTGTAAATGTTCATGTGTGTGCAGTGCTCAGCTGCAGGCTACAGTTTTATCCCGGTGCGGTGCTGAGCAGAACTTTCTGCTGGGGTGGGTCTCTGTCCTCATCCTCCAGCCCTTACAGTCAGTGCATTTAACTAAGATAGGTAAGACTACCACATATCACAGTCGCATATTGCATTGCTGAAATTATTTAAAAAATACTTCCTAAAAAAAAAAAAAAAAAAAACACACAATAACCTACATATATTTCTGCGCGCAAAAAATTGAGCACGGGACGGGAGTGATTTTATCGACAAGGGACAGGAAAGTTCCAGGGGGTTATAGAACTGTTGTAGGATCAGGACAGTACAGGGAAATAAAATTTGACAGAACAAGTTGACACAACTCCTGTGTCAACCTCGTCTACAGTGGTCTGGTGTCCATGTGTATAATCTGTCGGACCTCACCTCGTCTACAGTGGTCTGGTGTCCATGTGTATAATCTGTCGGACCTCACCTCGTCTACAGTGGTCTGGTGTCCATGTGTATAATCTGTCGGATAATCTGTCGGACCTCACCTCGTAAATCTGAGACATGCGTTCCAGGAACTCTCTGAAGAACGGCCTCAACCGCACATACACCTGCAGAGAAGAAAGAATCATATGGAAATCATACCACGTTTTTCCATGATGAAAAATAGGGGTAGGGTTGTAGAGAATCGAAGGACCACGAACGTAATAAGAAACCTTAGCTGATGTCTTATGGCCGGTGGCAACCACTACAGAATAATCCGGTCAGAACAAGGATGAGGCGGATGTCCAGGTTAAGGGAGAGTTTAATGGAAGAAGATGTCCACATTCACATCCATCTGACCACTGGTTCAGATAACTGAGAATCATGTCCAGTGAGAACTGACATTAACTACGGTTCAAATTGTTGCGCTTGGCTGGAACGGCTCTGGAGATTAATCATGCCAAGTGATCCTAGTCCAGATTCCCATTCCAGTGGAAAAGTGGAGGTTCCGGTTCTCAGGTCACTTATGTAATTTGATGTTGAAGACACCGACGAGTACTACTGCATGTACGACTAGGACTTGGGGTCCTCTGAATGGGAGACTAAGCTGCCTGACTCGACGTAACCATGACTAGAATCAGATGACTGAAGCCGGCCATTTTAACACATGACAATCACATAAAACCAGTGGCTTTTTCTCAATTTGTTTTACCTTGATTCCTCATGTCCCCCCTCTCCTCGCCTCCTCCTCAAAACGCATAGAAGTAATGTACGGGAAAAGACCTTGGATATTCTCTTCCAATGTGGTTTGAGAAGAAGGCGAGGAGAGACGACACAAGGAATCAAGGAAAGAATCAAGGAAAAATAATTGAGAAAGAGCCCTTGACAATCACTTAACACCTGTGGATTTCTATAGTATCACACCATGTACCTGGTAGATGACGTCTTGGAACAGCACTGGGAAGGTCAGGGCTGCGTCCTGCAACTCGTTCAGACTACAGTGCACCAACGTCTCGTCCTGGAGAAGACACAAAATAGTACACCTTCTGGTTGGTGGTTGTTTAACCTTCTTTAGTTTGAAAGCAACGACTGTAAGTCGCTGACAGCTAGCCTATTCCCAGATCGGTTTCTGCTTCTTCTGCCTACTCCATTGTCAAGGCAAATGTAAACTTTGTTAAGCCCCGCCCCAGAATTTCGGGAAACCAATCGTAGCGCTCCGATGATTAGCAACTGTCATGGAGTCAGACACCTCAGACAAGTTCATGTTTCAATCCCTTGGAAGCCAAGGAGGGCTATGGCAAAAGAGTATTTAAAAAAGTATAAATTGAACAGTGCACCAGGGGTCCTCGTAACTAAACTCAGCAAAATAATTATTTCAAAGATAATTCGTAAAAATCCAAATAACTTCACAGATCTTCATTGTAAAGGGTTTAAACACTGTTTATGCTTGTTCAATGATCTATAAACAATTAATGAACATGCACCTGTGGAACGGTCGTTAAGACACTAACAGCTTACAGACGGTAGGCAATTAAGGTCACAGTTATGAAAACTTAGGACACTAAAGAGGCCTTTCTCCTGACTCTGAAAAACACCAAAAGAAAGATGCCCAGGGTCCCTGCTCATCTGTGTGAACGTGCCTAAGGCATGCTGCAAGGAGGCATGAGGACTGCAGATGTGGCCAGGGCAATAAACTGCAATGTGCGTACTGTGAGACGCCTAAGACAGCGCTACAGGGAGACAGGAACCTGAATTTGTCCAGTTCACCACAACATACCCGAGGCAAGGTGGAGTTGGCGTTTAATTTAATTGTGTATTAAAAACACAGTTTGAGATCATTGTGAGGGGTTTTCGCCAGTGGTTTGAGATGGGAAATGGGCTTCCCGGGAACATGTTGACCGAGGTTGCAACAGTAACCAAGTGGGGTGGGGCTTAGCGAAGGGTCAATTCCATGAGTTGGCAAGAGAGCAGAGACAGACTGGCACCCAGGCTAGGAGAGAGACAGACAGGCACCCAGGCTAGGAGAGAGACAGACAGGCACCCAGGCTAGGAGAGAGACAGACAGGCACCCAGGCTAGGAGAGAGACAGACAGGCACCCAGGCTAGGAAAGAGACAGACAGGCACCCAGGCTAGGAGAGAGACAGACTGGCACCCAGGCTAGGAGAGAGACAGACTGGCACCCAGGCTAGGAGAGAGACAGACAGGCACCCAGGCTAGGAGAGAGACAGACAGGCACCCAGGCTAGATAAGAGCCTTGCCAATAACTCAAATATAAAAATGTGCTAGTCACCAGATCTAGGACCAGGGAGAACTCGGGTGTGCTGCGTGTCTTTAGAGGCAGTGCTGGTTTCCTGGATATCTGCTCTTCTGTCAACGGAGGCACGTGCTTGATGAAGAAGTACCTGAAAACAGAGCAGGCACAGGAGATTTTAGTTGGTCCAAGTTAAGAAAGAAAAAAAACTTTGCACACACATAATACCATTCTTCAGTCGGTTAGATGGTGTGATGACACACAGACGGCCGACTTATTTCTACTGCTTATTATTCAAAAGACATTTTTAAAAAAGAGAGGCACTTAAAACGCAGTTTGGTTGGTAAGGTTGCTAAATAAAACTAAGCGGTACTCACGGATCAAAGACTTCCCAGTCCTCCTCGTAGGTGCCGTCTGCAGGGGCCGTGGGAGGGGCGTGGGGGTAACAGCTAACTGGGGTGCATCCTGGAGCTGGACGACGACACCATATTATCCACAGCTTTTATTAAACTCACATTTACTTTTCTCCCCGGGTAATTCATCATAGAAAAACACAGTAAGTAAAAATGCCACTGAATATTCCAGACCACAAAAAAAAAAAAATCGCTGGGTTTGAACCTGAGATCAATCAAATGTCATGGTTACCTGATAGAGGGGGCATATCTGTTTCTGTAACCATCTCCCCTTCCTCGACGGCTGGTTCTGGGGCAGCCAGAGGAGCCGGTGGTGGTGGTACTGTTGGAGCTGGGGAAACAGGGGACAGGACGATGCCTTCCGCAGATGTTGGGGGTACAGGTGGGCATCTCCTCCACTGCCTCCACCTCCAGCTGCTTCACAATCTCCTCAGCCTCCAGCCCAGGTGAGTCAGACCCAAGAGTGGCTGGATGGGGGTGGGGTGGGGGGGGGTGGGGGGGATACACAGGAGAGACACAGGGTTCATCTCAAAATTATTTTCTTTGATTATTTGCATCTTCTCTCGTTTACTCCGTACACAGAGAGGAATAAGGGGAATGACGAGAGAAGCGTGTGAGCATGGATGACATTTTTTTTTTGTTGTAACCCACAGATATGTTTTACATTTAAAAAACACAGGAGTGACAGAGAAGAGGGAGGTATTAGAGAAGTCCTTTTAGGTAAAAACAAGGGGCTGGTATCCCAGACAGATTCAGCTCAGTCCTGGACTAATAAAGCACTATCATTGGAGAATCTCCATTGAGTAAATGCGTTTTAGTCCTGGACTAATAAAGCACTATCATTGGAGAATCTCCATTGAGTAAATGCGTTTTAGTCCTGGACTAATAAAGCACTATCATTGGAGAATCTCCATTGAGTAAATGCGTTTTAGTCCTGGACTAGGGTTCATCTGTAACCGGTCACATTCTTTGACTGGTCCTCCTGGTTAAAAAATAAATAAAAAATACAAAACAAGACACAATGATGAGACTTGAGGCAGATTCTGTTACCCGTCTTAGTTGCAGGTGAGAAGAAGTTGAAGACTGGCGAGAAGATGGTCCCAAGGAGAGTAGTGCGAGGCGGACTGCTGGCTTCCTCCCCGGGGACCTCCAGCTTACCATTGGGCTTACTGTTCAACGTCATTGGATCTGAGGGAAAGAAGGGAACTTCACTATTTCCAATGAACGCCGCAAAATCCGGACTGCTTATGGCAATGCAGGATATTCCAATTTCACGAGCATTAATGATCACCACCTCCTTGTAGCGGGGGGGGGGGGGGGGGGGCCCTAACTGTTCCAATGGACACTACAACGTCCACACAATTATAGCAAAACAGGACATTTTGATTTCGTGAACATTAAAAAAATGACCAACTGACTTGTTGCAGCGTTTCCAAAAGCCGACATGCACAAAGATGGCGTCGTGGCTACAGTTTGATGTCATTTAGCGCTACGAACGACTCCATTATTCTTCCACACTATTATTATTATGGGCGGCAGGTAGCTTAGTGGTTAAGAGCGTTGTGCCAGTAACCGAAAGGTCGCTGGTTCTAATCCCTGAGCCGACTAGGTGAAAAATCTGCCGATGTGGCCTTGAGCAAGGCACTTAACCCTAATTGCTCCTGTAAGTCGCTCTGGATAAGAGCGTCTGCTAAAATGTAAATAGTAAATAGTATTATTCTTCCAGATTACGCCAGAGGAATGTCTTGACTCACCAGGTATGTTAGCTCCTCTCCGGCAGCCCCTGGGGATGGCTTTGTTGGGAGGGTGAGGAGAAGACGTGATCAGGTTGCTGCTGTCCACTTTACAATCGATACGACTCCTCTTCGCTGGGATGTCATGCTCCACCTGAAACACGGGAAGCAGGTGGAACAGTAGTTAGTGTCATGATTTGTTGAAAGCAACACTCATTATGGCACACCTTCAGACTTGTACTTTTTAATTTTTCTTTAGGATGCTACACTTAAACCGTTTTTAAGATCGAAACGCCATTCAAACTTTAAAAAGGTGAATTGCACCCGCTGATTCTGCCTATTTTTTTTTGGGGGGGGGGGGGGGCTTGCTCCTCAAGAAACGCTGGCAGCAAAGACAGAAGGCAAACATGACTTGGCTTTGGGGGTGTGGTTTGATGTGGGTGTGTCCTTACCACCACCACCACCAAACCACTTCCTGGCAGGCAGATGTATTGAGAGATGCCGGAGGAAGCTTTGAATAGGTCAGTCGCCTACAGAGTAATATGAGAAGAATCCAATTGCTGAATTTATGTAGATATTCTAAATGAAGTGTTTTGACAACTTTCAAATGTAGTAACAGGTCCATGTAGAATTAACAACCCTTTACGTAACATTATAGAAGCAGTGTTCTGAAAATATAACAATGTGCACCTTTCATGTCATTCCCAGCCGATACAGATACTGTTGCCCATCTGCATTGTGTCTGGTGGTAATGGGGTTGACCTTGGTAACATGTCAATGGGGTCATAACTTCCTGTTTGGTGGTAATGGGGTTGACCTTGGTAACATGTCAATGGGGTCATAACTTCCTGTTTGGTGGTAATGGGGTTACCTTGGTAACATGTCAGAGGGGTCATAACTTCCTGTTTGGTGGTATTGGGGTTACCTTGGTAACATGTCAGTGGGGTCATAACTTCCTGTTTGGTGGTAATGGGGTTACCTTGGTAACATGTCAATGGGGTCATAACTTCCTGTTTGGTGGTAATGGGGTTACCTTGGTAACATGTCAATGGAGTCATAACTTCCTGTTTGGTGGTAATGGGGTTACCTTGGTAACATGTCAGAGGGGTCATAACTTCCTGTGTGGTGGTAATGGGGTTACCTTGGTAACATGTCAGAGGGGTCATAACTTCCTGTGTGGTGGTAATGGGGTTACCTTGGTAACATGTCAGAGTGGTCCTAGCTTCCTGTTTGGTGTCCCGTATACAACAGGAGTTCCCTGATCCTGGTGCAGAATAAAAAGGGTTTCCCTCTCCCCATATTGACTGATACCATTCAATTCAACAATAAAAAGACAATACAAGTCAAAGTTGTCTAGTAAAATGTTTAATGCCGAGTGCCAGGTCTCTCTCCATTCAGAGACATCAGTATCAAGCCCGTCTGTCAGTCTGGACTTCATCACATCATCTTGGAAGTCTCCATGTGCTGGCTCCATACATGTTTCTGTGAACACATAGTCACTGTTCTATTACCAATGGCAGTTAGGATAGGTGATATCAGACACATAGTCACTGTTCTATTACCAATGGCAGTTAGGATAGGTGATATCTGACACACAGACAGGTACTAATGTTGAAGTTTGCACAGGTCAGACTAAACATACCGACCGTTAGTGAGCAGGCAAGAGATGCGGTCTTCGCCAGCGGCCCGTTGATGGCCATAGCAGCGTGGATCAGCTCCTGGCCCACTCAAAGATACAGGACGGTCACACACACACACAGAGCACTGATTACACATGATCAATGGTGGTTATGATTAGCATGGTGGAAACCAACCTGATCAATGGATTGACCTTTATATTTCACTTCAGATATCATAACATGTGAAGTGAAATAGAATGGTGAACACAGTGATCAGGCTGGTTACCCCAGGCTAGGTTATACCCTGGACATTATATGGTGAACAGTGATCAGGCTGGTTCCACCAGGCTAGGTTATACACTGGACATTATATGTATCTAAGAAGTAGAAAATAAGCAACAAATAAATGTCAGTTTACATAAATTATGTTTCATAATTGGGTTATCAAAGTAATGAAGTGGGTCACCTTCTGTATTTGTACAAATAATAAGCCTGTGAAAGCTGTTGCAGGTGAAGGTTGCTGGCCAGATACTTGCCAACACGTGGCTGACTGTTCCATTCATAGGAATGCTCACAGCGAGGGCATGTCTGCATGATGTTGATGATGGCCCCCTTGCTGGTGTTCTCTATGCTGCATGTCCGGCTGCAAACTGGACATCTCTCGAACAACTGCAGCAGGCAATCTTGTGAGGTGGTGTTGACTGGGAGGGCCTGTGACAGGTTGATAAAGTAGACAGCTAAGTGGTAAATTGCATTTTGTTCTAAAGAAAAGGACTAAGCTTTTTTGCTAATGCACTTCACAACCAAAATGACTAACTACTAGTTGTATCTGTTTGGCTGGGGAATTAGTCTACTATTTTACCAAGCCGGGTATTTTTTTTTAAAGTTTTTTTATTTTATTTTTATATAAGTTTTCACATAACACACATTACCTGTAGTTGTTGATTAAGTTGTCTGTGTCATCAGGGCAGTAACTAGGGTCACTATCAGAGGCCTCATGACAGCGTGTCCTTTTCATAGGAGTCGAGGGAGACTCTGGCAACAACGGAAGTGGTGTCACAAGGGTCCTATTGTCACATGACATACTTTTTATTCTGAGGTCTTGACTGACAAGCGGTGAAAATAACAAGTGAACAGAGAACAAAAATGATTTTTTGGAGGTCGCTAAAAACCATCGCTAGACATATTATAGGACGCAGCGTTCGTTCACGACCAAAGGATCAGTCAACGACTCATCATCCCTCAATTATAAACATATGTAGAGAAATAACATAATCTAGTTTGGAAGCCAATTCTACGCTTTACAGATGTAGACTGCCCTAGATACGGGTGGCACCTCGAAGGCTAATGTGACTGTTGTCTAAATTACACTAACTCAGAGTGGCATGGAAATACAATGACATTGCTAAAGTAGGCAAATAATTAGTAGGAAACAACTTTGCCATATTATGAGGATGTCAAAGTTCCCATTCTGCTACTAGCAAAGTTTGTCAAAAATAGCTAGCAATGGTAATGGTAGCTAGCTAAAATGATGTTAGCGCACTACAGTAATACTGCATCTAGTCAATCTGGCGACATCACAATAATGACAAAAAAGGTTTTCCTACACATTTTTTGCCTTCTTTTGAAATGTTGTGTTTCCAAGACAACTCCTAGTTGTATTGAGGTAGGCTAACGTTTGCCAGCCAGCTAGCTAGGTAATTAGGTAGGTAGCTAGTTAGTAGCACAATGATGATCAAAATATACATAACCAGCAGTCAATGGTATAGCTACCAGTATACTCACCACCACTGGGGACCACCTATTCCGCATGATAGGGTCCTTCGGCAGGGCATGCAAACCATAGTTGATGGCTGTGCATCCTTGCTGGAAGCATGCGTTGCACGGTCAATCCGTATAGGGCTTCTCAGTCTCAAAAACGGCTGTGATTCTTTGAACTTGTTGGTTGGGGAGATGAAACGGAGCCCCATTCAATAAAAGGGAAGCGAAGTGGGCAGAGAGACGGATTTGCACATGGAGCTTGGCAAAGAGGGGACATGATTTATTGACAATTGTAATGCAAACCCAACCTTTACTTACTCGTGACACTCGGAGGTTCCAAACTCCATTTTAGACAAGACTGACTTTATGACCAAAATGATCCTATTTACATTTTTTTACTCAATTCTGACACTAGAATAAAATGTTTCTGACTCGTATAGATGCCACATAGGCCGTTTTCAAAGGGATTTGTTGGTTTTTAGCAGTCGCTCTTTAAAAATTGCAGACAGGTCCGGAATAGGTGGCTTGTACATACACTACATGGCTAAAGGTATGTGGACACCCCTTCAAATTAGTGGATTTGGCTCTTTCAGCCACACCCATTGCTGACAGGTGTATAAAAATCGAGCACACAGCCATGCAATCTCCATAGACAAACATTGGCAGTAGAATGGCCCATACTGAAAAGCTCAGTGACCTTCAACGTGGCACCGTCATAGGAAGCCTCCTTTCCAACAAGTCAGTTCATCAAATTTCTGCCCTGCTAGAGCTGCCCCGGTCAACTCTAAGTGCTGTTATTGTGAAGTGGAAACGCCTAGGAGCAACAACGGCTCAGCCGCAAAGTGGTAGGCCACACAAGCTCACACAACGGGGACCACCGAGTGCTGAAACGCTTTAAAAAATTGTCTGTCCTCGGTTGCAACACTCACTACTGAGTTCCAAACTGCCTCGAAGCAACGTCAGCATAAGAACTGTTTGTCGGGAGCATCATGAAATGGGTTTCCAGGGCTGAGCAGCCACACACAAGCCTAAGATCACCATGTGCAAAGCCAAGCGTCGGCTGGAGTGGTGTAAAGCTCGCCGCTATTGGACTCTGGAGCAGTGAAAACGCGTTCTCTGGAGTGATTAATCACACTTCGCCATCTGGCAGTCCGACGGACGAATCTGGGTTTGGCGGATGCTAGGAGAACGCTACCTGCCCCAATGCAGAGTGCCAACTAAAGTTTGGTGGAGGAGGAATAATGGTCTGGGGCTGTTTTTCATGTTTCGGGCTAGGCCCCTTAGTTCCAGTGAAGGGAAATCTTAACGCAACAGCATACAATGACATTCTAGACGATTCTGTGCTTCCAACTTTATGGCAACAGTTTGGGGAAGGCCCTTTCCTGTTTCTGCATGACAATGCCCCCATGCACAAAGTGCGGTCCATACAGAAATGGTTTGTCGAGATCGGTGTGGAAGAACTTTACTGGCCTGCACAGAGCCCTGACCTCAACCCCATCGAACACCTTTGGGATGAATTGGAACGCAGACTGTGAGCCAGGCCTAATCGCCAAACATCAGTGCCCGACCTCACTAATGCTGTTGTGGCTGAATGGAAGCAAGTCCCTACAGCAATGTTCCAACATCTAGTGTAAAGCCTTCACAGAAGAGTGGAGGCTGTTGTAGCAGCAAAGGGGGGACCAACTCCATATTAATGCCCATGATTTTGGAATGAGATGTTCGACAAGCAGGTGTCCACATACTTTTGGTAGCTTTTATACTTTGTCACCTGGGGGAGAGGAACAAGGGTAGAGGGACTAGTTAAGTGCTCCAACAGAGGAGGGGAAGGGACTAGTTAAGTGCTCCAACAGAGGAGTGGAAGGGACTAGTTAAGTGCTCCAACAGAGGGGGGAAAGGGACTAGTAAACAAAGCCTGCAAGAGTGCATGCTTTAACTTTTAATGTTAAAGGGATAGTTCACCCAAATTACCAAAACATATTGGTTTCCTTACCCTGTAAACTGTCCCTGGTACTGTTTCCAAATGCTAATGTTTTAGCATTTGCGGTACAAATCCCATTCAAGTCATGGGACCGATATTAGCATTTTTCCCCGCATCATGACCAAATCAATTGAAAGTATCTCAAGTTGATTGTGAAGCTCAACAAAGTGAATTGGATTATTTGAACACAAAGCGTGAAGAAGAAAAAAAACGCTAATATCGGTCCCATGACATGAATGAGATGTGCAACAAATGCTTAAAATGTCAGCATTTGGAATCAGTTCACACAAACACACCTTGACAGCATTTCCCCTGATGAACTTCTTGATGGTGGAAAACAGACCCGTCTCATTCTTCTGCATTCTGAGGCCTCTCCTGGTCGGGGCAGTGGCCTCCACCTCACAGTGTTTCCTCTTGGCCTGGGCTGGGCGGGGGGGTGAGGTTTGGGCTTGACGGCCGGGGCTGGATTTGGGACCAGGTTTCGGTTTAGCGCTGGGCTGCTGAGAAGCTTTCCGCACTCTCAGCCTCATCATCCTACACGTTACATGGAAGTCTGGTGTGGCAGCACGGCAAGCAGGCAGGGCAATATATATTACAGGTACAACACAAAGAGAACACAGGAAACCCGTGAGGTGCCATGTAGCAATATCAGAGCTTCAACAGCCACAACACGTTTTTATTTATTATAGCCCTAACAATGTGTTTATTTTACTTTGTTAGGATGTTAGGCATATTCTTGACATTTGAATTCCCAAAAAGTATTACATCTAAAAAGATTGAGAATTATAATTAACTATATAATTATGCTAATAATTATATTTGTCATTGTAATTATAGTTTATAAATATTTCAAAATACAGATTTAAATACAACTCATTTAAAGACATAGTCCAGGAGCACAGGAACATATCTATGGATCTACGCTACACTACTTTGAGTTGTTTTATGAACGCTGCCATAAAAGTGGGCGGTGTTCGCTCTGCTAGTTTTTTCTTCTATAGCTGAAGTTGTTGGCAAACTTCGCTAGCGGTTAGTGGGAGGCCTAGGTAACCAGCTAGAAAACCACGACAATTCCCTTTCACACGTTAAACCAAATATGAGACTTGACCAAAGCCATCTATATTAGCGCTACACTTGACTCATTTGTTAGCAAAAATGTAAGCGCAAGACCGTGAACAGCGAGTGACAAGCATGAACATTGCATTAGCTAGATAACTTATGTAACCAGTGTTAGCTAGCTAACCGTAACAGTTAGCTACCCAATTATTTGATTACGGCCATTCAAAAAATAATCTACCGGTATTCACATAGTAAAATGGCTAGCTAGCCAACGAAATGGGGACTAACGATAAAAGTAACGGAATAGCTGTCTGGTTAGCGAAGTAGTTAACGTTAGAGCTTACTAACGGTATCCACTTCACATTAGCAGGTTAACTAGCCATTTTGATTTCACGATTGCCAACCAAACAACGAACATGCATAGCGTCGGTCAGCATTTTAATATTAGCTAGCAAGTATTGTAATAAAAAAAAAATGGCCAGTAGACTAGTATTGCAAAACATGTCGCTAGTTAGTAACGTTAGCTGGTAGCATTTAGCTACACACCAAGTTGCCTCACTGTCTGGTGATATGGCAATCGTTTGAATCAAAAACATGTTGACACCAGCCATAACCAATTAACGTTACTTACCGATGGTCCAAGAAATTCGTAACCAAACTTGCCGCTTGCCTGTCCACACTGGTAGCCGCAACGGGGCGGCCACCGAGAGAGAGGTCTGGCCGTCGTTATCGCTGCCAGCTGGGTTTAGAACCACAGACCATCGACGGGCTCTTTGGACGCCATTTCCCGCCTCATCACAAACCCTTTGGGTGCACTCGATAAATCTACACTGACTCCAGCGCTATTGTGATGTCTAGGAATGTGTCTTCTTCTTCTTCAGTGGGGTTTATCGGCGGTTGGTATATATAGGAATGTGGATTACAGTACATGCAATTTACAGTGTACCACCACCGTGCCCAACATCGCAAAAGCAGCTAAAAGCAACCACTGAATAACGTCACAGGTACGCGGTAAGAAATGTATTATTTTCATGACATGGTTTTGACGGCTCAGATCTGTTTCAATACGGAGTAAACCGAGTGCACCCACGTACTGCGAACGCTAGCTACCTCGTCAGAAACCCTGGGTGATTGATACATTTGACCTGCGCAGGCGCACCTCAGCATTACAGGTACAAAAAATGTATCTATAAAAACAGTCCAGCAGTTTTCAAAAATAGGTTTGGAAAGCAAAGTCTGATCTCACATACTTCCATAGCCTACTAAGCATAGTGAGTAACGGTATGTGTGGATGCCTTATATGGTGTGGTCATTGTAAACCGAGAAGGATGTCATACTATATAATTTCTCAAACATACAAAGGGGCAGGCATAGGAGTAGCCCTTCAGTGTAGATTATCAGCAAAATAGAATACTGGAAGAAATAAATTACAAAATAATACAATTGTTATTTAATAAAATTCCTCCATTTTTATTATAGCATAATATTATTTATGATTTCCTATATAAATGAGAGCAGGAAAATCATATGTAATAAAATCCTATTGAGGTGAGGCTGATTGTTCCATTAGCCCTAGAGATCTATTGAAGGCTGATTGTTACAAATTCGTATTTAAATGCATTGAAGTATAAAGCTGGTCAATTCTCCCCTAATGATCCTCATGAGTTGTGAGAATCCCCTGTTACTCCCATTTATAAGACAATCAATTATATACAATCCATTATCATATTTGTATATGTTTATAGGCCATATGTGAAACAAATCCTGCCTTGTGGCACTTTAAACGATGTGTACAGTATGAAGTGCTTAATACACTGCTCAAAAAAATTAAAGGGAACACTGAAATAACACATCCTAGATCTGAATGAATGAAATAATCTTATTAAATACTTTTTTTTCTTTACATAGTTGAATGTGCTGACAACAAAATCACACAAAAATGATCAATGGAAATCAAATGTATCAACCCCATGGAGGTCTGGATTTGGAGTCACCCTCAAAATGAAAGTGGAAAACCAACTACAGGCTGATCCAACTCTGATGACCAAGGCGTACTCCCGAGTGACACAGTGGTCTAAGGCACTGCATCGCAGTGCTAACTGTGCCACTAGAGATCCTGGTTCGAATCCAGGCTCTGTCGCAGCCGGCCACGACCGGGAGACCCATGGGGCGGCGCGCAATTGGCCCAGCGTCGTCCAGGGTAGGGGAGGGAATGGCCGGAAGGGATGTAGCTCAGTTGATAGAGCATGGCGTTTGCAACGCCAGGGTTGTGGGTTCGTTTCCCACAGGGGGCCAGTATAAAAAAATATGTATTCACTAACTGTAAGTCGCTCTGGATAAGAGCGTCTGCTAAATGACTAAAAATGTAAAATGTAAATGTAATGTCCTTAAAACAAGTCAAAATGAGGCTCAGTAGTGTGTGTGGCCTCCACGTGCCTGTATGACCTCCCTACAACGCCTGGGTATGCTCCTGATGAGGTGGCGGATGGTCTCCTGAGGGATCTCCTCCCAGACCTGGACTAAAGCATCCGCCAACTCCTGGACAGTCTGTGGTGCAACGTGGCGTTGGTGGATGGAGCGAGACATGATGTCCCAGATGTGCTCAATTGGATTCAGGTCTGGGGAACGGGCGGTCCATAGCATCAATGCCTACCTCTTGCAGGAACTGCTGACACACTCCAGCCACATGAGGTCTAGCATTGTCTTGCATTAGGAGGAACCCAGGGCCAACCGCACCAGCATATGGTCTCACAAGGGGTCTGAGGATCTCATCTCGGTACCTAATGGCAGTCAGGCTACCTCTGGCGAGCACATGGAGGGCTGTGCGGCCCCCCAAAGAAATGCCACCCCACACCATGACTGACCCACCGCCAAACCGGTCATGCTGGAGGATGTTGCAGGCAGCAGAACGTTCTCCACGGCGTCTCCAGACTCTGTCACGTCTGTCACGTGCTCAGTGTGAACCTGCTTTCATCTGTGAAGAGCACAGGGCGCCAGTGGCGAATTTGCCAAACTTGGTGTTCTCTGGCAAATGCCAAACGTCCTGCACGGTGTTGGGCTGTAAGCACAACCCCCACCTGTGGACGTCGGGCCCTCATACCACCCTCATGGAGTCTGTTTCTGACCGTTTGAGCAGACACATGCACATTTGTGGCCTGCTGGAGGTCATTTTGCAGGGCTCAGGCAGTGCTCCTCCTGCTCCTCCTTGCACAAAGGCGGAGGTAGCAGTCCTGCTGCTGGGTTGTTGCCCTCCTACGGCCTCCTCCACGTCTCCTGATGTACTGGCCTGTCTCCTGGTAGCGCCTCCATGCTCTGGACACTACGCTGACAGACACAGCAAACCTTCTTGCCACAGCTCGCATTGATGTGCCATCCTGGATGAGCTGCACTACCTGAGCCACTTGTGTGGGTTGTAGACTCCGTCTCATGCTACCACTAGAGTGAAAGCACCGCCAGTATTCAAAAGTGACCAAAACATCAGCCAGGAAGCATAGGAACTGAGAAGTGGTCTGTGGTCACCACCTGCAAAACCAGTCCTTTATTGGGGGGTGTCTTGCTAATTGCCTATAATTTCCACCTGTTGTCTATTCCATTTGCACAACAGCATGTGACATTTATTGTCAATCAGTGTTGCTTCCTAAGTGGACAGTTTGATTTCACAGAAGTGTGATTGACTTGGAGTTACATTGTGTTGTTTAAGTGTTCCCTTTATTTTTTTGAGCAGTGTATAACCTGGATGTCCTCTTTAGCCTCGTCTACAATGCTTGCTTCCACTAAATGCGCCTTGGTTCGGGCATGTTAAAAAAAACTTTAATCAGAGGGCTTTTTTTTTTTTTGTCGGAGGCAGAGGCATTACTGTACATTCCACCCAATATTTTGCTACTTTAATTAATCCAGTCATTTCTAGACCCAAGCTCTCTACATTTGTGCATGTTGTACAGCCCAGCTTTTAATTTCGCATGACAAGCCAGGGGTTATACATTTGCTTGTTCTTGAACTGAGCCTCCATTCGGTGGATCAACCTGGACTCAGAGCATTTCGTATTATTTTGTACGTAAATATTATTTTGTGGGTGTCTATCACCCATTTCTTGTGATATGTTATGATTTACAATTCGTATTATATGTTACCAATTGGCAAATCGTACAATATGTTACAAATTCTAGCTAGGTGGCTAACGTTAGCTAGGCTAAGGGGATAGGGTTAAGTTTAGGAGTTAGGTTAAAGGGTTAGGGAAGGGTTAGCTAACATGCTAAGTAGTCGCAAAGTAGTAAGTCGTTGAAAAGTTGCTAAAATGCTAAAGTTGTCTGTGATGAGATTCGAAGGTCTACTTGCTAGTGGAGGTGCCGGTGGTGATGCTGAACTGGCAGGATTAGCAGTGCTGCTAGCTAAGGCATCGCCATCAGGAGCAGTTTGCCCCCACTCCTCTCCTCTGGCATTGACAGTTCTCTGGCTCGTTTCGGGTTTGATTCACAATTTTCTCTGGATTTTTTAACTTCTAAATCAAACTCGATTGCCTTTTCTTATCCATTTTTTATTTGTCTTTCCCACGTTTTAAATTCAGTAGGGAGACGGCTAGCCTAAGCTACGTGACGTGATTACGTAGGGACCTCTTCCCTAGCTGACCACCACTACCAAGACCTGTGTCAAGATCAGTTACTTACCCCACCGGCCCTCCCCATAACCTTGAAGTACACATAAGAGAGCAGGTCTGGAATCAGTGTGGCAGGATAGGATGATTGCACAGGATCCCCACACTTTTACCTGATGGTTTTCCTGGGGGGCAGGAGAAATAACAAGCAGGCAACTTGATTTGACTCTGATCGCTTTTATTAGAATGTTTACAGTGCGAACAGTGAAATAATTAATACATCATGCCGTGAGAGGTACCGGATCCGGGAAAATAGGTGCCGGATCAAGTTCCTGCAGGATCTGGCTCAAATTAAGCACTTTACAATATTACTTGAGGTTTTATGGATGCTTAATTGTATTATACATTTACATCATTTAGCAGACGCTCTTATCCATGAAATGATGGTTATTGTAATGGTGGTCTGGGAATGGGGTTGCACATTTCAAGTAACTTTCCCAAAATTGCCAGGTTTTTCGAGAAATCTTTGGAATTTTGGGAAAGTTATAGGAATTTTGCAACCCTATCTGGGAATCAAAGATCAGTGAAAAAGTTGATTACATTGTAGCAGTCTGGAACAGCGGAATTGGTTGTAAGCGTCTATTTCATCCCAAGGTGCATGATTTTCCTGTATGGTCCTGGTCCACCCCAGAACCCCCTACGGGAAAAAGATCAGATGTATGTTCGGGGCGGCAGGTAGCTTAGTGGGTAAGAGCGTTGTGCCAGTAACCGAAAGGTCGCTGGTTCTAATCCCCGAGCCGACTAGGTGAAAAATCTGTCGATGTGCCCTTGAGCAAGGCACTTAACCCTAATTGCTCCTGTAAGTCGCTCTGGATAAGAGCGTCTGCTAAATGACTAAAATGTAAAAAAAAAAAAATTTAAATGTAATATTAGCAACAAAGAGCTCCATAAAACATGTGTTCCCTGTTTAGTCTACATGAAGGGTTGTGTTCATTAGGGCACACCGGAAAATATTTAAACATTGTGACGGAAAATGAAAATGAGTGTTTCTTATTGGTCAAATCAAGTAAATCCATCCCGTTTTGTGTTTTTTTCCCCCCGCTTTTGGTGCTAGTAATTGTCTTTGACAGCTACTTACTTGAGAAGTCCATGCCAGTACAGATGAGGCATCACGTCGGCTTTCATGTGGTACATGGTCCATCTCTCCTTGCTTTGGTCAATAGGGAATGTCTCCAATGGTTGCCCATTATAGTCAAACTCAGCCAGAATGACAGTGTTGTAGCTCGTCACCAAAGGGCAGGACGTGTAGCCATCATACTGTAAACACAAGTGTTTTAGCACTCTATTACTGTTGTGTGTCCCAAATGGCACCCTATTTCCTTCATAGTGCACTACTTTTGACCAGAACCCTATGGGTCGTTAACAATACAGCCTGAATCCCAAATGGCACCCTATTTCCTTCATAGTGCACTACTTTTGACCAGAACCCTATGGGTCGTTAACAATACAGCCTGAATCCCAAATGGCACCCTATTTCCTTCATAGTGCACTACTTTTGATCAGAACCCTATGGGTCGTTAACAATACAGCCTGAATCCCAAATGGCACCCTATTTCCTTCATAGTGCACTACTTTTGACCAGAACCCTATGGGTCGTTAACAATACAGCCTGAATCCCAAATGGCACCCTATTTCCTTCATAGTGCACTACTTTTGATCAGAACCCTATGGGTCGTTAACAATACAGCCTGAATCCCAAATGGCACCCTATTTCCTTCATAGTGCACTACTTTTGACCAATACCATCTGTGTTTATCTTGAAGATTCTGAAAACACAAATACGCAACGTATCCGTATATATATATATATATATTTTTTTTTATATATAATGTTAAGTGTAATTAGTGTTAGTCAGGTAACATACCTTCCTATCCGGCTTTTCATTCTTCAACACTTTTGAAATTGTTCTGTCCAGAATACTAGACTGGGCAGCTGGAAATAAAATACACCATGTCACGTTCTTATACTCTTCCCCACGTAGTACATGTAGGTACAGGTTTTCAACCTTGCAATTGCGTAGCCAAATACCACAGCCAAAGTTTTGCCAGAGCTGCTTCCACTCACATGGTGTTTAGTTGTGGTAACTCTGTTATTTAGAAGAACCAAAAGGACTTACCCACCGCAGCACCTGTTTTGGATGTCGGCAGGTTGGTGCAGTCTCCGATCCCAAACACGTTGGGATACTTGTTACTTTGAAGGGTCTCTTTGTTGACATCCAGCCAGCCAGCCTCATCAGCCAATAAGGATCCTTTAACCACCGGGTTGGGTCCCATCGGAGGAGTGACATGAAGCATCTCATACTGACAAAGAAAGAAAAGCTTGATTCCCTGACTGAAAATTAGCACAAACAAATCAAATCATATTACTGTGTCGTTGTTGCCCAGTGGATGCTCCTAATCTTCTTATCTTAGGGCAGAAACACTAACCACAAGGCCACTGAGTTGGTGAATGCTCCAATAACTATGAATACATCTGCATACTACGTTACTTAGCATCAGTATTCTATGTCAACTTAGATAACATGTTACAAAACTGTGAGAGAACCCCTCAACTACATTGTTTTCTTTTCCATTTGCACATCATAGCTTCCTGGAACTTAGCCTGGTCCCTGATACGTCTTTGTTGTCTTGCTAACTCCTACGGTCGTTGTGATACATGGTAATGACCATAAGCATAGGAGTTGGCAAGACCGCACAAACAGGTCTGGGATCAGGCTACCTGGAACTTACCTCAAACACTTTGGTTTCTCCAGGGTTGTCGAGGTTTTCAAACACAGCTTCCTGCTTGTCGGCCCGGACCTCGACGAGATTTTGTCTGAGATTCACCTGGATGTCGCGACTCTTCACAATCTCCCACAATGCATCTGCATATTTCTTGACCCCGAACAGCACTGGCAGTGATGTGTTGTACACGACGTTGGCCGTAGCCCTTTTTCCTGTCTTCGAGAGGGATCAGATCAGAATAAGCTGTTACATTATTGAGGAAGGGCATAACACAGATGAAAGCTGGGTCGTGTTCAGTAGGTACCAGTAAGAAATACACTTTTACCGTTTCAAAACGTTTTGCTACGGTGTGCACTAATGAACACGAGTCAACCCAGATACAAAAAAACGTAGATTCATAATACCTTTATGTAATGGTTTATCTGATGGATTTTGTATCACTAGTATTGTAATACCTTTCTAAGATAAGCATCGGTCAGGTACATGATCTTCTGTGGTGCTCCTGCACACTTCACCGGAGTGTTTGGGAAAGTGAATAGAGCATTTCCCTCCTTGAAGTTCTGCAGTGCGCTCCAAGTCTTCTCCACAGTTTGTACGGAGTAGTTTGAACCAATCTTAAATTTGACCCAATCTTCAATCTCAGGCAGGCCCTTGATCTAGAGAGTGATTGTAAGAGACTGACTCATACTATATAGAAACTTATGTTAAAGGCCCAGTGCAGTCAAAAACGTGATTTTCCTGTATTTTATATATATTTCCACACTATGAGGTTGGAATAGTACTGTGAAATTGTGAACATGATGATAACGCCCTTTTAGTGTAAGAGCTGTTTGAAAAGACCACCTGAAATTTCAGCCTGTTTTGGTAGAATGGAGTTTTGGCCTGCCTGGTGACATCACCAGGCGGTAAATGTCTTAATAGACCAATAAGAGAGTTCCAAACCTCTCTGCCAATAACAGCTTGTTTTCAGTTTTCCCCTCCCCACTCAGACCACTCCCAGACAGTCTGCTAAGAAGCTATTTTTGTTTCTTTTTGACCATTCTAATTGAAAACAATAACAGTAAGGTACTTAATTGTTCCCCAGAAATGATTTCATATTGAGATAAAAATGTCTGCATTGGACCTTTAAAACAATATTGAGAGAGAGTGGTGAAAGGCCATGAAATAAACATGATGTGCATTATTACCTTCTCATAGTGTAGCTGTAAACCTAGTGCCACTATCAGATATTGGTAGGAGATCTGTTACAGGGAAGACAATACAAGTTCCAGTCAGTTGAAAAGTTAAATGATTGTAGACCTACTTCCTTGTTATTAACACAACATACACTGAGTGTCCAAAACATTAAGAACTCTGCTCTTTTAAACATATAGACTGACCAGGATCCAGGTGAAAGCTATGACCCCTTATTGATGTCACCTGTTAAATCCACTTCAATCAGTGTACATGAAGGGGGGGGAGACAGGTTAAAGAATGATTTTTAAGCCTTGAGACATGGATTGTGTATGTGTGCCATTCAGAGGGTGAATGGGCAAGACAAAATATTTAAGTGCCTTTGAACGGGGTATGGTAGTAGGTGCCAGGCGCACTGGTTTGTGTCAAGAACTGCAACTCTGCTGGGTTTTTCACGCTCAACAGTTTCCCGTGTGTATCAAGAATGGTCCACCAGCCAACTTGACACAACTGTGGGACGCATTGGGAGTCAGCATGGGCCAGCATCCCTGTGGAACGCTTGACACCTTGTAGAGTCCATGCCCCAACGAATTGAGGCTGTTCTGAGGGCAAAAGGTGGGTGCTCTTAATATTAGGAAGGTGTTCCTAATGTTTGGTATACTCGGTGTATTTCATCGTCATTTGGCTACTTGCATATCAAGACCTGTTTCATATCAAGAGGATCTCTATAGCAGGCCTCTCCAAACCTGTTCCTAATTTAGCGCACCTGATTCCAATAATTAGCTGCTTGATAAGCTCAATCGTGTGAGTTACAACTGGGGTTGGATTGAAAACCTGCAGGAGGGTGGCTCTCCAGGAACAGGGTTGGCGAGAACCTACAGGAGGGTAGCTTTTCAGGAACAGGGTTGGAGAGAACCTACAGGAGAGTAGCCCTCCAGGAACAGGGTTGGAGAGCCCTGCTCTATAGCCTCCGATGTTGCCATCTGATGTTGACATGTGGAGGCTTTTTCCTGTTTTCATTTTGCCTCCAGCACCTTCACTAATCTGTTTTGCCATGTGCGGTAGATTCAGCCTATTATCCCCAGAAAGGATGAGCTAAATATACTAAACAAAAATACAGTGGTGTAAAGTACTTCAGTAAAAATACTTTAAAGTACTACTTAAGTAGTTTCTTTGGGGTATTTGTACTTTACTTTATATTTTTCACAACTTTTACTTCAATACATTTTCCCTGACACCCAAAACTACTAGTTACATTTTGAATGCTTAGCAGGACAGGAAGATGGTCCAATTCACACTTATCAAGAGAACATCCCTGGCATCTCTATTGCCTCTGATCTGACAGACTCACTAAACACAAATGCTATGTTTGTAAATTATGTCTGCTTGTTGGAGTGTGCCCCTACCTATTCGTAAAGAAATTACAAAATAGAGAATGGTGCCATCTGGTTTGCTTAATATAAGTCATTTAAAATTATTAATACTTTTACTTTTGATACTTAAGTATATTTTAGCAATTACATGTACTTTTGATACTTAAGTATATTTAAAACCAAATACTTTTAGACTTTTACTCAAGTAGTATTTTACTGGATGACTTTTACTTGAGTCATTTTCTAATAAGGTATCTTTACTTTTACTCAAGTATGATAATTGGGTACTTTTTCCACCACTGCAAAAATATAAACGCAACATGTAAAGTGTTGGTCCCATGTTTCATGAGCTGATATAAAAGATCCCAGAAATGTTCCATACGCACAAAAAGCTTATTTCTCTCAAATGTTGTGCACAAATTTGTTTATATCCCTGTTAGTGAGCATTTCTCCTTTGCCAAGATAATCCATCCAACTGACAGGTGTGGCATATCAAGAAGCTGATTAAACAGCATGATCATTACACAGGTGCACCTTGTGCTGGGCACAATAAAAGGCCACTCTAAAATGTGCAGTTTTGTCACACAACACAATGCCACAGATGTCTCAAGGTTTGAGGGAGCGTGTGATTGGCATGCTGACTGCAGGAATGTCCACCAGAGCTGTTGCCAGAGAATTTAATGTTCATTTCTATACCATAAGCCGCCTCCAACATCGTTTTAGAGAATTTGGCAGTACGTCCAACCGGCCTCACAACCGCACACCACCTGTAACCACGCCAGCCCAGGACCTCCACATGCGGGATGGTCTGAGATGAGCTGACGAAACTGTGGGTTTGCCCAACGGAAGAATTTCTGCACAAACTGTCAGAAACCGTCTCAGGGAAGCTCATATGCATTCTCGTCGTCCTCACCAGGGTCTTGACCTAACTGCATTTCGGCGTCGTAACCAATTGGCAAATGCTCACCTTTGATGGCCACTGGCACACTGGAGAAGTGTGCTCTTCATGGATAAATCCTGGTTTCAACTGTACCGGGCAGATGGCAGACAGTGTGTATGGTGTCGTGTGGGCTAGTGGTTTGCTGATGTAAATGTTGTGAACAGAGTGCCCCATGGTGGGGTTATGGTATGGGCAGGCATAAGCTATGGACAATGAATACAATTGCACTGTATCAATGGAAATTTGAATGCACAGAGATACCGCGACGAGATCCTGAGGCCCATTGTCGTGCAATTCATCTGCCACCTCATGTTTCAGCATGATAATGCACGGCCCCATGTCATAAGGATCTGTACACAATTCCTAGAAGCTGAACATTTCCCAGTTGTTCCATGGCCTGTATACTCACCAGACATCCCTGTTTGGGATGCTCCGGATCGACGTGTAAGACCGTGTTCCTGTTCCCACCAATATCCAGCAACTTGGCACAGCCATTCAAGAGGAGTGGGACAACATTCCACAGGCCACAATCAACAGCCTGATCAACTCTATGCGAAGGAGATGTGTCGCGCTGCATGAGGCAAATAATCTTCACACCGGATACTGACTGGTTTTCTGATCCACGCCCCTACCTCATGCAGCACGACAGATCTGTATTCCCAGTCATGTGAAATCCATAGATTAGGGCCTAAGGAATTTATTTAAATTGACAGATTTCCTTACATGAACTGTAACTCAGTAAAATCTTTGAAATTGTTACATGTTGCGTTCATATTTTTGTTCAGTGTAGATTATGCCGACACTTGACTGACCTTTGTCCCAGATTGAGACCAAGCCCTATAATTACGTTTTATCACTTCAATCAACATGTATTAAATCAAATAAACGATACGGAAAGTAAACAGCCCTACCTACCTCCATGCCATTGCCTGTGCGCACAGTGTTTGTGTCTGGGTTGATCTCCTGAACCCTGGATCTAACCCACTTGACTCCAGACGGCACGACGCTGGCAGTAGGGCGACCGGAGGAGGCCACGTTTTTAGCCCCAGCACCAACCAATGTCCAGATGGGCTGATAATAGTGCATCTGTAAACCACAGAGGAAGAATTCTGCTCAATATATAGTATTGTGCACCAGACAGCAGACTACATGTTCCTCCCCCAATAGCCTGGGGACGTCCCAAATGGCCCCCCCTGTTCCCTATGTAATGCACTATAGGCCCCTGGTCAAGTAGTGGACTATATAGGGATAGGATGCCATTTGGGACTCAACCATAGTCTTTAATACCTCACTGGGTTCCACTATGGCCACATTTTCCGCGCCTAGCTTCCTCTTCATCCGAGCGCTCATTGTGATGCCACCACTTCCTCCTCCCAGCACCAGGACCTTGTAGTGTTCTTTGGAGGAGGCGTGACTGCTGCTGGTGTGGAGATGACAGACGCCAATACCAGCAGTCCTGTGGCACTGCCTCCACAGGGCCGGCTGCCGATGCACCGCTCTGACTGTAGCCATCTATTCCCTTCTGTATGATCCTCTAGAATGGATTCAAAGTCAGGATTCAGCTACAATGATTACATAGGGCCTAGGCCTAGTGACTGACAGATTATTGACTGGAAGTATTTTTGTTATTTTATTAGGATCCCCATTAGCTGTTGCAAAAGCAGCAGCTACTCTTCCTGGGGTCCACACAGAACATGACATAATACATAACATTAATAGACAAGAACAGCTCAAGGACAAAACAACATAAAACATTTTTTTTTTTACAAAATGCACACGTAGCCTACATATAAATACATACACACAAACTATCTAGGTCAAACAGGGGAGAGGCGTTGTGCCGTGAGGTGTTGCTTTATCTGTTTTTTTGAAACCAGGTTTGCTGTTCACTTGAGCAATATGAGATGGAACAGAGTTCCATGCAATAATGGCTCAATATAATACTGTATGCTTTCTTGAATTTGTCCTGGATTTGGGGACTGTGAAAAGACCCCTGGTGGCATGTCTGGTGGGGTAAGTGTGTGTGTAAGTGTGTGCGCTTAATGTGATTCATTTATTCTTTAAAGTATCTGGTCTTGGTTTGAACGTAAATAAATTTGAACTGTTGTTGCCAGTAAAAACCTGTGATATGCCCTCAATCTCTGACATCCCAGTTAAGGATACAATCACTTATCTGGGAATAACAATAACTAAGAAACAAAAGCTAGATGTTTTCTGAACTTTAACCCTCTCATAGAGAAAACTCAAAATAAACGTAATCACTGTTACAAAGGGATTTATCTCTACTGTAAATGGTAGAATATTGCTCACAGAGGCTGAGGGTATTTCCAGGCTCACTTATGCGGCTTAATCATTACATATAGGTGGCCTCAATTGTCTCCTACAGTGTATCCCGACTAATTTATCTAATTTCCATAAACAATCCCTTTTAGCATGGTCTTTGATCTACAAGCACCATTTTTCTCCACACAGATATTTTATCTGGAAAAATACAGTATAGATATTTTATACAAAGGCAAGTCCTTGTTTTTTGAGAAATGGTTCCAAAACAATCTTCTATCGGTGAGTCAACTGTTCAATGATAAAGGTATTTTATTTAATAATGCCGAATACGGCAGTGAAAAACTATTGAGAAAACCTTTCTAAAATAAACTAAAATAAAATAAAACCTTTCAAGTATAACATTTATCTTGTCGCATCTTCCAAGCTTTTGGAATGGCCTTTTAAGAAATATTATTTGCAAAAAATGGTTGCTCTCTTTCTCAGAAGTTTCTTTTAACTAATCATATTACATTAGTTTCATATAAATGAATCCAAAAGTGCTACCCTACTAAACATTAACTTAATCAGTTTTTAAAGACATTGATGTTTATTGTACCTTCTGTAATGAACAGCCGGACTGTTTTACATTTCTTTTCGTATCGCTCTTATACCCGGAAGCTGTGGCAAGATATATGTAGATTTGTTTTGGATCATATACATGCACGTTTTGCACTTCTACTTGAAAATGTTATATTTGGTTTTACAAAGTATAGCAAAGACTACGCGAAGCCTTCTTAATCAACCTCATCGTTATTTTAGCTCAATTCCAAATTCATAAATGTACGTTAAACGTATGAGTCGAAAACCACTATTATTTGAGAATGAAATTGAACAATATAAACACAATTTCTTCTTCTCATAACAAAAAAGCTATCAAAACTTTGAATGTTTGTACTTTTGTACTGTTGTTTGAAATGTTTGTATACTTTTTTCTATATTGTATATTTTGAATTGCTAAAAAAAGACATTGGCCTGAGTCGAGCCCCAATGTCCCAACAGACTCCCAGAATGAGTTGCGTCGAAGCTAGAAACCTACCTTACTTAAGAAGAAAGTTGCGAAAACGGATTTGATCCTTGCGATCTATACCAGGCTACTCAGACTCCTTGCTCCGGCCAAATGTAGTGGCGATCTACCTTCAGTGTCTTGAACACACCTAGACAGTGTGTCACCGATTGCGTAATTAGTTAGTAAGTACAAATGGGCCTCGTTTCACAAAACCCAGACTTCACGCCGCTTGAAATAACGTTCCGCCTACAATAAAGACATGAACGACTGCATGTACAGAAACGTGAGTTGTAAACAGAAATGAATGCGCAAGCTCATCGACCTGTTGAACACAACACGTTAGTGCATTACTCGCAATGTCCACATGATGACACCATTGTCAAAAGAGATCCCTGACATTTACATTTACGTCATTTAGCAGACGCTCTTATCCAGAGCGACTTACAAATTGGTGCATTCACCCTATAGCCAGTGGGATAACCACTTTACAATTGTTTATAAAAAAATAAATAAAAAAAACCTTTTTTCTTTTCTTTATTTTTTTTTAAGGGGGGGGGTAGAAGGATTACTTTATCCTATCCCAGGTATTCCTTAAAGAGGTGGGGTTTCAAATGTCTCCGGAAGGTGGTGAGTGACTCCGCTGTCCTGGCGTCGTGAGGGAGCTTGTTCCACCATTGGGGTGCCAGAGCAGCGAACAGTTTTGACTGGGCTGAGCGGGAACTGTGCTTCCGCAGAGGAAGGGGAGCCAGCAGGCCAGAGGTGGATGAACGCAATGCCCTCGTTTGGGTGTCGGGACTGATCAGAGCCTGAAGGTACGGAGGTGCCGTTCCCCTCACAGCTCCATAGGCAAGCACCATGGTCTTGTAACAGATGCGAGCTTCAACTGGAAGCCAGTGGAGTGTGCGGAGGAGCGGGGTGACGTTAGAGAACTTGGGAAGGTTGAACACCAGACGGGCTGCGGCATTCTGGATGAGTTGTAAGGGTTTAATGGCACAGGCAGGGAGCCCAGCCAACAGCGAGTTGCAGTAATCCAGACGGGAGATGACCAGTGCCTGGATTAGGACCTGTGCCGCTTTCTGTGTAAGGCAGGGTCGTACTCTCCGAATGTTGTAGAGCATCAACCTGCAGGATCGGGTCACCGCCTTGATGTTAGCGGAGAACGACAGGGTATTGTCCAGGGTCACGCCAAGGCTCTTCACACTCTGGGAGGAGGACACAACGGAGTTGTCAACCGTGATGGCGAGACAATGGGTCACTGCCAATAACGTACAAGTACATAAACAAACCCTGGATGCAGATGCTATGTATTAGCCATTGAGAGACGGTTTGAGAGGCTTTGAAGCCACTGGTCGGCCATATTGGCTCTCCCCAGAAGGAGCAGTCCTCCATAGGAATGAATGGAATTCTACAGTATTTCAATTAACTGTTTCAAGGACAAAATGACATGTATTTAAGTATGTTGTTGTTGTAGTGGTGACAGTTACATTAGTCATCTCAAAAAACGTTTCCCACATTTTGTTACGTTACAACCTTATTCTAAAATGGATTAAATAGTGTTTTCCCTCATCAATCTACACACAATACCCCATAATGACAAAGCAAAAACAGTTGTTTAGATTTCTTTGCACACACACACAAAAAAAAAAAAACGTTTATATCATATTTACATAAGTATTCAGACCCTTTACTCAGTACTTTGTTGAAGCACCTTTGGCAGTCTTCTTGGGTATGACGCTACAAGCTTCGCACACCTATATTTGGGGAGTTTCTCCCATTCTTCTCTGCAGATCCTCTCAAGCTCTGTCAGGTTGGATGGGGAGCGTCGCTGCACAGCTATTTTCAGGTCTCTCCAGAGATGTTCGATTGGGTTCAAGTCCGGGCTCTGGCTGGGCCACTCAAGGACATTCAGAGACTTGTCCCGAAGCCACTCCTGCGTTGTCTTGGCTGTGTGCTTAGGGTCATTGTCCTGTTGGAAGGTGAACCTTCGCCCCAGTCTGAGGTCCTGAGCGCTCTGGAGGAGGTTTTCATCAAGGATCTCTCTGTACTTTGCTCCGTTAATCTTTCCCTCGATCCTGACTAGTCGCCCAGTCCCTGCTGCTGAAAAACATCCCCACAGCATGATGCTGCCACAACCATACTTCACCGTAGGGATGGTGCCAGGTTTCCTCCAGACGTGACGCTTGGCATTCATGGCGCCCTTTGCTAGAGAGAAGAGGAGAGAGAGAGAGATGAGAGAGAGGAGAGAGAGAGAGAGAGAGAGAAGAGAGAGAAGAGAGAGAGATATAGAGAGAAGAGAGAGAGAGAGAGAGGAGAGCTCTCTCTCTCTCTCTCTCTGCGCTCTCTCTCCCTCTCTCTCGCTCTTCTCTCTCTCTCTTCTCCTCTCTCTCTCTCTCTCTCTCCTCTCTCTCTCTCTCTGCTCTCTCTCTCGCTCGCTCTCTGCTCTCTCTCTCTCTCCTCTCTCTCTCTCTCTCTCCTCTCTCTCTCGCTCTCTCTCTCTCTCTCTCTCTCTTCTCTCCTCTCTCCTCATCGCTCTCTCTCTCTCTCTCTCTCTCTCGCTCTCTCTCTCTCTCTCTCCTCTCTCTCTCATCCTCTAGCTATACACTCCTCGCCAACCACCTACCTCCAGACATACCAGACCACACCCCGTACACGACCTACACCTACAGACCAGACAGACAGACAGCAGACAGACAGACATACAACAGACATACCAATCATACATACATACATACCTACATACATACATACATACATACATACATACATACATACATACATACATACATACATACATACATACATACATACATACATACATACATTACCATTCTCCTGGCAGCAGGATATTATGCTAGCAAGATGACTGCTGATTTTTTGTTTTTTAAAATAAGAGTCCCCCTACAAAGACATGCTAAACTTTGGGGATATCGATTTTTGTGTACTCTAGTGCAATATAACTGTTTTTCACAGCATTACAACCACCTTTAAAAAAAAATGTATGGATAATTTGACATACTTTTATTTTTTATATTGTATTATTTATACCAGTATTTCTTTAGAAATACACGTTTAATGCAAATATATAGTCTGCAAAACTTACATTGTGTCACGGTTTCGGCCGAGGCTGCTCCTCCTCCTGGTTCGGGCAGGCTTCGGCGGTCGTCGTCCCCGGAGTACTAGCTGCCACCGATCTATGTTTCATGTTCGTTTGGTTTGGTCTTAATGTTGTACACCTGTGTCTAGTTAGTGTTCTATTTAGTTCTCGTTGTGTGTGTCTGTGTTTGTGTGTGATTGCGCTTCTGTTACGTGTTGGAGCTACTATTTCCCTCCAGTGTTTGGAGTGGTTACTTTGCACATGTTTTGTGCGCCGTTTATTTTGTCGCCTGTGTGCGCCTTGTATTCACCTTCAGGCTTATTGTGCTTTTGTTTGTGTGAATTTTGCACTAAAGCCTTTGGACTGAGCCTCTGCGTCCTGCGCCTGATTCATACACCACACCCACCTTCAGCACACCATGACACATTGGTCTATTGTGCTGGGCAACAGGTTTAATACAGAGTGCTGGTGACCCTTACTCCACCCACTCCATTCCCTGCAATGCAACACACTGCATATGCGTTACATATTGGCTTATAGAGAAATAACTATTCTAGGTGGCGATGCCAGTCTACTCACTAAAGTCCCTAGAATACAAAACAGATGAGTTTGGACAAAAAAAAAGCTAGGTCATGTTGCTAGTTTTATGTTGACGTTTGAACAGTGGACAGCTGCCATTTTTAAAAATGTCAGCCTATCTACAAATATGTGGGCCAAAAGCGGATAAGTGTGACGTCATCTTTTAGTCCACACACTGGTCCAGTAAGGTCTTGGATAAAAAAAAGGTGAGAAGTGAGGTGTATTAAGGTTTGAAATGTTCACTAGGAGGGTCTGGAATCCTCCTGCTATTGTGCTCTTGTGCAGGGCGGCAGGTAACCTACCGGTTAAGCTCAGTAACTGAAAGGTTGAATCCCCAAACCGACTAAGTAAAAAAATCTGTCCATGTGCACTTGAGCAGGGCTCCTGAAAGTACAAAAATGTACCTTTACATTTTAGTCATTTAGCAGACGCTCTTATCCAGATCGACTTAGTGTTAGTGAGTGCATACATTTTCATACTGGTCCCCCATGGGAAACGAACCCACAACCCTGGCGCTGCAAGCGCCATGCTCTACCAACTGAGCTACATGGGTCTAGTGTGTGTAGTCTTGACCCAAATACCAATATTAACATGAGATGCAAAAACACAATGGAAATGTGGTTTGTCATTACACGAAGTGCTAACTGACAGGCATATCTGTGCTAGGCATTTGTCTAGCTTAGAGTGCTGCTGGCCTTTCGCTCTGCCCATTCCATTGGCCCCAATGCATTACACTGTAAATGAATTACTCTTGCCCTAATGAAGGTGCCAAGTAGGCCAGTAAGTAGGTGTTAAATTGAGAAGCAAATAGTTTCAATGTAAAGGATGATGGACTGGCATATCTCATAACAACCTAGATTAATTAACCTAATGCTGATGAGCCGGCTGCGTCTTAGAATTACACATTTAAAAATCGGCCCTAGGGCAGCCTTGACATGTGCCAAAAAAATTGTATCAGGTCAATCGCTTGACCTGACAAATAAAAATATTTTGCCTCTAGGACTTGGGTTTTGGACTGAAAGTCACAGGAATCTGTGTTCTGGTGTTTTGGTGATTGTGTAAACATGTATTTGCCTCCTCATAAAATGCTGTATGCGCTCACTAGGAAATCAGCAGTAGAAACCAGTGTTGTAGTACTCGAGACCGGTCTCGGTCTTGAGTCCGGTCTCGAGACCACATATTAAGTGTCTCGGTCTTGTCTCGGTGTCGGATACATTTGTACTCGGTCTTCACTCGGTCTCGGACAGTGAAGACTCGTAATTTCTTGCCCGAGACCAGCGAAGTAAAAAACGTGAAATTATAAGCTTCCATTCAGTCGGCGCATAAAACCTGCTTCACCAGGCCAAATATATACACTCCTTTCTTGAAACATTAAAACAGTATCTTAACAGCCTTTATATCTATTATAGACATGTTTGATCAGTGGCGAACCTATAGGCCTTCAGTGTGTGACAGGTTCGTGATTCTGAAAGGACAGCAACCGTAACCGTAATACCAGCGCACTCATG